ACAGGTCGATACTCATCTGTACCGGGCTTTTGAACAGGCAGCAATGGGGTGTTCCAGGGGGAAGTACAGAATTTTAGGATACCATACCGTATGAACTTATCCAGATAAGATTGGATGTTCTTCTTAGCCTTCTGCGGAATATGATATTGTCTCAGGCTTACTGGATAAACCCCAAGTTTTAGTTCGATTTTAATAGGTGGAATATTGCGGGCCAGTCCTGGTGGGTTGTTCTCTGCCCAAACTCCTGGTATGTTAAATAAGGATTCATCACTCCTCGGGTTTTGGCTAGTCAACACTGTATAAAGTCGCCACTCTTCTTCCTTTGGTACGGACAATGTCATAATACCTGAGGGTCCATTAAACTTTAAGGATGTTGTTCCATTTGGTAGGAACGTAATCTGCGCTTGTAATTTGGATAGCATATCACGTCCCAGCAATTGGACTGGACACTCAGGCATATAAAGGAATTGATGTTTTACTACGTGGCCTCCCAATGTACAGAGTCGACTTTTAAGAACCGGTTTTTCAGCACTTCTTCCAGTTGCTCCTATTACAGTAATAGTTCTTCCAGATGGAGGAGCAACTTGATTAGTCACCACCGAATGTTCAGCACCAGTGTCGATCATGAACGCACTCCTTTTTCCCCCTATTGATACATCGACCATAGGCTCCGCTCGACCAAGGGGGATGGAGCCCGGTCGGTATCAATAGTCCTCCATGACCGTGTCAGCCAATCCCACAAAGTCCCTACCTTCTCTATCGCGGGACCTTTGCGCTGCTGGATAGTACCTATCTTCCCTTACACTTCCTCTGTTCCCATTACTCCCTCTATTACCATTACTCCCTCCGGGGCCTCCTCTACCTCTCGCTCTGCCTCTAAAGTTTCCGTAACCTGCCCTGGGTAAGTCTCTCTCATACTGCTCTCTTTGCGGACACTCGTTCCTCCAATGCCCTTCTTCCTTACAGTACGCGCACTGATTCCTACTCAAAGGCTCCCTATTCCATCTACCATCGCCTCTATCTGGGCCCCGTCTATCTACGCCTGCGATCGCTACCGCTAGCATATCTGCCTTTCTACGCATCTTGCGCTCTTCCTCTTTCTTACTTTCTGTTTCCCTATTCATATATACTTTGTTCGCTACCTCCATTAGTTGGGTGATAGACATACCTGCAAACCCTTCTAATTTCTGTAGCTTGCGCTTAATATCTCCGTAAGCTTGGCTGACAAAGGCGGAGTTTACCATTCGGGAATTATCAGCGTCTTCCGGATTAAAGGGGGTATACAAGCGGTATGCCTCCAATAATCGGTCATAAAAGACACTGGGCGCTTCATCACTTTTCTGAATCACCTCAACTGTCTTCGACATGTTAATAGCTTTCTTCCCTCCGGCTTTCATGCCAGCAATTATAGCATCTCTATAGGCTTTAAGTTGAGCCATATCTGCGCCATTTACATTCCAGTCAGGATCGGTGTTAGGGTAATGTGTTGCGGCCCATGCTGCCGGATTGGCTTGATTTAAAGCACGGGCTCTCTCCTCTAGCGCCTTAATGGCCGCTTGGTTAATCCTTGTCCTTTCCTCATTATTGAACAATGTCATTAATAACTGCTGGCAATCAGCCCATGTCGGGTTATGTGTCTGAACTATCGAGGTGAACAGATCGGTCATAGCTTGTGGTTTCTCAGTGTACGAGGAATTGTGGGTCTTCCAATTCAAGAGATCGGTAGTCGTGAACGGGACATATACGAAGACTGGGTCAGCATGTGCCATTTGACCTGCGGCATCGATATAGGCTGACCCAGGATTCAGACGAAGAGGCATCTGATAATGTTTTAATTGTTGGGTACCGGTCAGTTGTCGGGTTAGTATGGGGCTACGTGGAGGGGCGTCAGTTAAAGGTTCCGGTCGAGAGGTAATAGGGCATGAGGATGTGGGAACTTGATTTTGGGAAAAGTTAGTGAATAGTATACTCCGAGCCGAGCTAGAAGAAGCTTGACCGGAAGTTTGAAGTGGCGCCAAATCAGGATATTCAGATCTAATGGGGGTTGGTCCTGGTTCCGGAAGGGGAGTTTTAATACGAGGGGGGGTGGATTCTGTACTGGAGGAGGAAGCGGAAGTGGATGGGGGCAATAGGGGAAGGGGTGCAGAGCTTCCTGCATTCGCGTCACTTCCTCTTAAAGGAAAGTAAGGGGGCGGCAAAGGGATCTCGGACTCAGGGGGCGTGTCCAAAATGGGCCTAACACCAGTCCTAGTGGACAAACAAGTCCTGGCCACCATGAGGCGACATTGCTCCTCGTGGCATATCCGGATCCATTTTGGCGAGTCGTTTACGGCCTGCCCCCAACAATCAATGTATGGAAACTGTCCGTAAAGTTCAGGCCTACCTGATACAGCCACGTGTACACGCTGTACCAGGGTTGGATCCAAACTGCCACGCGGCGGCCATGCCGCAACCAAAATAGGCCACTCCCTAGTGCACAAAGTGACCAAACGTACAGGAGACATTTTAACCCCAAAATCACATGTTTTGAATCCCTTTTTAAAATTCTTTACCATACAACCTAAGGGATCCGAAATCGTTGACTCTGACGCGCCCATACTTATCAATGGAACGTCGTTGACAACGAATACTATGCACGCGTTCTTATTCAACAGTCACACCCGTTTCCTCTGGCAACAGCACCACGTGGTACAGTTACCGAGTGAAACGTACACAATAACACAATAATCACTCAGGGAATTCCCGTACACACACAGCTGTTACACCAGTCACTAAATAATCAATATTATGCCCTTTGGCGAAACTATACAGTCACCCACGCTATAATTCTCTATATATGAATTACCCGTCTATAACACACCCCAGTAACATCGTCTTTTACTAGTATCGGTTACAGTACGGTTAGCATAGGTCAAAGCACAATTTAAGGTCACAATACAATTATTAGTGGTTACGGTGTTAAACATGCAATAGACGACAATGATTAGTACTTATATACAGTGTCAGTAAATATACAGGGTTATGGTACCGTGCACTATGATACAGCAACACACTATTAACACTCTCGCTAGACGGCTGAGCTCGCGCTATCTAACAAGATATACACTTTACTAACAATCTTTAACACATTTACAATCCCAACTAAACTATTGGCCAGTACCTTGAATGGACTACCTAAAACTATATACACCCGTTTTGGTTAGCCACACTGCCCAAACACCACATATAGCGAACTAGAGGGCGAAATTTACAAAATTGCCCTTCTAGTCTATTTACTCTATCAAAAGTCTAGTGGGTTCCAAATTTACACGCCTTCCCACTTAGCCAAGATAGGTTGAGAGCTAGCGAACCGAATTTACACAGGCGCCGCTTAGTCTCCCGGTCCCTCCGACCTAGCGAACGTAATATACACCCTAGAACGCTAGTCTAGACAAGACACCGGTGTCCGGCTAGGGCTATTTACACAGGACCCCGCCTGACTAACCAGATCAAACGGTCTTACTAAAGAGCGTTCGATCGAGCGGTGCGCCTTCGCTCCTTCCCTCCGACAGAGGGGGCAGATTCCATACACAGATTTAAACCCCTTTTGGGCCTACCGCACAATCGGTATACCCCTAGTGGGTCTGCCGTCTAAAACAGCAGTTGTCTTACCTCCTCGTTCCTGAACCTGAGTTCACACTCATCGACGGGGACACCCCAGCACTTCTTACGTAGAGGCCGATGATCTCCTGGACAACAGACCAGTGGCGCCGAGACGAAGGGAGGTCCACGCAGAAGTTCAGGGGTGCAGCCGTAGAGAACGTGGGCAAAGATAGACCGTCTCACGCCTCTGCCTCTCAGCTACCGTTGAACGATGAGCTTCCCGGCCAATGCACCAAATGATACCGGAGAAACTGACGGAAGCAAAGCACAGAGGGATGGACACAGGTTTCTTCAGGAAGGAAGAGATTCTTTATTGGATCACCGATCGGGACTCAGAGGGACTAATGTCACCAAAAATACAGCAAGTTCTGAGCCCTGAACAATAGTGCAGGCTCCCTATATAGGCACATAACTCCTCCCATATTAAGCTCCACCCGCACATTCTCTTGACCAATCATTACAAATAAGAATTAACTTCCTGCTTGACCGCATGGCTTGTCCAGCACAATGGAGGAGGGGAATACTACATCCTGTATTCTTGCACATGCTCCGTACACTACTGATCGTATCTTGCCTCGTGCAACCAACTGATCGATACGTCAGCATATGCACGTACACATGCCACGTGGTAATCTCGGCCTACTAAATTTATTTTTACCGAGATTCCACCACACCTCCTAAATTATAAGAGCCCATTATTGATTATACCCAAGAACAAAGTAATGTACCTGGCTTGTTACCGGAGTGCAGCCATCCCTTCCATACAGGGTATTAATGCATAATTCTAATTAAACATTATTGCAAGTTAAAGTTTTGTTTTATAAAGGATGCTTTAGGCACAATAACCACTACAGCTCACTGCAGTGAGTATGTTGCAAGGAAGCCAGACATTTTTTATTTATTGTTTACATGTTCAGTGTATTGGTTCTACTATAGAACACTGACAGCTGTATTACAACTCCTACAAACCCAAGTCATGACAAGCTCTACAATGCAGAGGTTAATGAATAACTCCCCCACAACTTCTATAATGGTAATGGCTAGCCATCACAGGTGGACTGTTTTCCCCATGACTCTCAGCCAGCCATGTACATCTCATTTTTGTGAACATTGAACAGTCTGTGTAGGGGGAAAACCACGTGACACGAGCATCGTTAGCTTTCTCTGTCAAAGTTGATCACATGACCTGCTGCGCTCTCCTGATTGTCTCTTGGCTGTGGCTGAACCCACGCTGCTCCATTCGGTAAAGCGTGCACGTCACGGCGTAACCTGTGCAAGGAAGATTCTGATTGGTTGAAGGACACGCCGCTGTCGGCGATGCCAGTCCTTCCCTTTTGAGTGAGGTATGCGTGGTGTGACAGCTGGCGGCGGGCGCTGATTGGCCAGTCATTTCTTGGAATGTGACAGTGGGCGTGTCTCAACTAACCTTAGATTATTCTGACTGTGGGTCATGGGCAATTCTTGATTCTGTCTCTGGAACTAACAGCAAGTGTGTATCCAGGTAACTGGTAACTATGGGAGCTGATTATCAGAACCTTATTATTATTATTATTATTATTATTATTATAATACACATACTGTCTGCAGGCAGTTAGTGTTATCTGCTATAGGATCAGTATTATTATTATTATTATTATTTTACTGCCATGTTTGCCCTGTCAGTTCTGCATGTGATTGTTGACATTTCCATGCAGAGAATGTTTAATATTGTAATTATTTAGTATTTTGTGTATTAACTATTTTCCTTCTTTCTTTCTTATTTCCTGCTAGTTCCAGGATGTGGCTGCTGGTTGCTGTACTTTGTGTGACACAGGGGGTCCTTGCCCACTCAGAGAATGTGGAAAGGACAATTAGAAGCGCAGCAAGCTTTAATTATCAAGCAGATCCTGAGTCATCAATGAATATTGTAAGTTAATATTTATATTAAGGTCTACATTATTTTTCTTTAGTAGATTTGATAGATTTAAAAAAAAAAAACATGTTGGACACTGATTAAGATGAAAAGATTAATGCTGTGTTATAATTATACAACACAATAATTATACCGTTTAAATCATGTAAAGTCTTTTTAATATACGCTAATGCATTACAGTATTTTATATTACAGTATGTTATATTAGAGCCACAACTTTTTTTTTTTTAAATCAACATCCATATGGTGTGTAAGTAGTATTGTTTATTAGTACATATATATTATGTTACTTAAACATGTTCTCTATTGTATTAAGGAACAGAATGAGAATCTGTTAAAAATAAAATAAAAAAAATTGCACTTTACTATTGCCGGTTATATGACTTTAAAATACAAAATTACCAACACCTGTTGTTTTTATCATGCATTGAGGACTGCTATTGAAGGTTGTGTAAATGATGGTCAATGCATAGCAGTACATTCTGGTTATCTGGTTTAAGTTTTTATTTCATTATTTTGCTGATTTTTAAAACTAAATTTATCATCATCTATCCCTTTCTGCTCTACATGTGTAAGAAAAAGTGTTGGGTTTAACTACTGAAGAAAGTTAATATTTTGACTTGGTAGTGCGGCTGTACTATAGCTGCGCAATATTTTTTATAACCAAATGTTTAGAAGGAAAAGTTTTAGTCTTAACATCCGAGCCGTGTGAAACTAAAAAGGACCTTGCACTGACCATACACCCATATCTCATCAGACCAGATAACTGCATTAACTCTGGGTATTCCATGCAATGTTGTATGTCAAGGCAGATGTTGAGCAATTCAATTATCTCTCTGAGAAAACTCCATATTTATTTGCAATCAGTAAAATTGAACTTGAAATGTTTTCCACTATTGATATTATATATAACAAGTCTCCATCTGCATACAGCATTGAGTGACTGTCATGTGGTCTGCAATCTTTACTTTGAATGTCCTGCAGGGGTAAAATGGCCCATGTGAAAAATATCTGATATCACCGTGCTAAGTTAGCGATCTCGAAAATGATGCTTGCATTGTGCATCTTGTAACCGAACATTGATAGTATCTATTCTTTACAATGTTTCCATTATTCGCTACCCTTGCAATGTAGTCAATTTCCTTTTTGCAACAAAGTTCAGATGGCTGAACATAATCAGCAGCTCTTTCTATGTACGTTTTTTTGCCAAATGGTCACTTAAGGCATCACTGGGCCCAAAAGACCATCTTGACATACTTACTCTATAGCTGGTGCCCTAACTTAAAACTTTTCTGTGTTAGCATATTGTAATGTTTAATAGCAAATTTGAATTTCACGTTGCTGCTTCCTTACATGGAGACCTGCCAGGTAATGCGGAAGCTAGCTTCAAGCAATTTTTCGTCTGAGACCAGCGCTGATCCCGAGTGGGTAATGGGTAACCCCAGGCAGGAAATATTAATATGGTCTAACTGTGTTTCTCCCCTCCCCGCATTAAACCAGCCTATTCCAGGTATTTTGGTGGTTTATGAATTTTGATTTATCCAATATTTGTTTGTTCTTTTAAAAGGAACACTCCAAGCACCGTAACCACTACAGTGAACTGTAGTGGTTATATTGCCACAAGTACCCTGGCAAACCCGACGTAAGTAGTCAGATCATTTTAGCATAGTTTGACTTTTTACTGGGTGTCCACTGGGCATGTGTTTCTGCCTCCACTTAAGATTTCTCTAGCTAGAAGCTCTCTATCTGAGATAAGACTAGAAGTGCAGGGCTTAGCACATTGCCTGAGAGCAATCAGCTGATACTCTGAGCTAATGAACTAGCCCTGCACTGCAGGGCCTAACTCAGAAAAGCTAATGGGAGCTCCTAAGGAAGAGTGTCTGACTCTTCTAGAGGCTTGTAGGCGGCATGGAGCAGCATATGCTGAACCCCAGGTAAGAAGTCAAACTGTTCAAAAATGGTTTAACAAGTTACAATGATGGGGCACAGGGCACTCCTGCCACCATAACCACTTATGCTTTAAGTTATGGTGTTTGGAGTGTTCTTTTAATTTGTTTACCTTTTCTCATTTATTTTCTATCTTCTAGTGATACTCAAAACACAATTATTATTTTTTTAATTTGTCTTATAGTTGAATAGTATTGCTGGGCTTTTAACACATGCAGCAATTAATTGTCATATATTGTGAACTGTTTACCTTTAAAATAAAGCTTATTTTTCTAGTTTAGGAATATTTTCAAGCTTCTATAAAATATTTTTTTTATATACATCACCACTTCAAGGATCATTTTTAGTTCAGAGATTACTCTTGGTAATAAATGACCCTAGCCTGCACTTTGATGCCTAGAAAGTAAATACTTTAGTCATCTCTGCCTCTGTTTCCATAGCTATATAAAATGTAAGTTCACTATATACACTGTTTCTGCTGCCTCAGTGGTGTACTGTTTGTTATTGAAGTTAGTTTAAAGCTTGAAATGAAAGGAATGTGGTTTACTTGTGGGAAACATGTGATATGCTGTCTTGTGACTGCAACTATTGGTTTTTAAACTTATTTAATAAGGAAGTTCATCTAAAATGTCTAAAGTACAATTCAACCTTTTCATTACATCCCTAATTATGTTATAGTTAGTGTCTCACATGCCTCTGACTTGAAAAAGGGGAAGTGAAGTGTACACAAACACAAATTATTTTAAATTCTGGGTTGTTAGTTGCTGTTGTACAAAAGCAGATTTTGAAGAAATCTGTAGAGCTTCACTTTCTCACAGTGCTGCCTTACCACATTGTCTATAAGCTCTTTGTGACAGGATTTGTTTAGCCCCTAATTATAATGATTTTGAAGAAATCTGTAGAGCTTCACTTTCTCACAGTGCTGCCTTACCACATTGTCTATAAGCTCTTTGTGACAGGATTTGTTTAGCCCCTAATTATAATGTAAAATGTTACATTAACAGTAAAACACTTGAGATTTAAGCAGCTCTGTCACTTTGCTCCAATGTGTTCCCCTGAGTAGCCTAGTTCTTTTCCCCCTGAAATGAGGTTGTTTGTTTCATATTGTTATGCATAAGGAAAAGTAGGAACTAGACCTCTAGAAGAAAAAGAACCTTAGCTAAATACCCAAAACAATTCATGTCTTTACCATTGGAGCTAAGAGATAGTGGGCAAGAAAAAATTAAAAGCATATCTACATAACTATGCTCTATATTAATATTTTGTCATCATTGCTTACAGGCCCAACTATGCAATAACCATATTTTCTAGATCATGTATCCTGGATTTTTGTTGGCAAAAAAATTAAAAATAAAATCTATTGGTGTGGTAAGGGCAAATGATAAGTGTGACAGAAAAAAAACCTTGTGCCTGTCATAAATATATCTATAGTTTTCCATCTCCGACTTTACTTATGACTAGAGGCTGAGCAATTAATCATGTCAAAAGATTTGTGGGAGAAAAAAACAAAACACGCCCATTATCGGGATTTCTGATGTCAGCCATTTCCAGTGCATGGGGGTCATATTCTGGATGTCCTAAAAAGACAGACCTGCTTATTGTTCTGTGTTCTAGAACGGTCATTGAATAACCGCATTAGTATGTGGAGGTGAACTTTTTTTACGTAGTGGCTGTATCCCACATGTGTATATGGTTTCAGGTTATCAGCATCATTTAAAAAAATAAATAAATAATATAAATATATATATATATTAATTTTTATATATATAAAAAATAAATAAATATCTTGGTTATGTTATATAATCAAACAGCTATTATATTATTATATCAGAATGGATACTATCGGCATACACTTTTGTTTATAATTAAGGGGGGAAATGCTTTATATAAATTAGGAAGCGGCATTGTTGGCATTGATGGGTGTACCCTACAGATCCCATGATGAGAAAGAGGGTACTTTTCATATATAGTTAGTACCATGCTTCCCAACTATTTCCATTCCTCCTGGGGTAAAACATAACTTCTCCTACTGTGGAACCAGTTCAAGTGCCCAGGAGCTAAAATCTTGCAGAGGCCCTGCTAATTATGTAACTCGTATGTGTTGCTACACTGTGTGTGTGTGTGTGTGTGTGTGTGTGTGTACACCTATCTCGTACCAGAAAGACCTGCTTTTTCCTTCACAAGACAGTGAGAACATTTGACAGTGCTATTCAATAAGCTTCAAATTTTAGCAAAGTAAGGTCTCGATTTAGCAAGATTTCCAAATAATTCAAAAAATTCAAAAACTTTTCAAAAAGATTTATCAAAAAACAAAACAAAAAAACACGGACTTCAGTGGTAATTTCTGTAGATAAATTATGTTAAGTTTTTTTTCTAACAGATTGTGATCAGTTTGAAAACATATTAAATCAATGTCTACATTTGATTTGCTGAACTGAGGTTTAATTAGTGAAGCCGCAACTACAGCTGAGTTCTCCAAAGCAGCTGTTTTTGTCTAAATTTAAAGTTGGATTTGATTTGCTAAAATTTCACTGCATGCAGACTTATTAGCACCACATCAGTTGTAGCAACACTTTCATAATGTTGTCAATATATTCTCTATTATATAGAGACCTGAAGACTATTGGACTAAACTTGGCTTGAAATTTGAGGCTGCTACATATGTTAAGTGATCGTTCTTGGATATTGTGGCATCCATAATACTTATGTGGTATTAAGAGGCCTAGTGTTATGTTACGACCACAACTTGAACATTTGACACAAGATACATTCATGTGGTTTATGCTTTGTTCAAGTTGTCCTTTTTACATGTTGTAGCAGGAGTTATGATTTAAAAAAATCAAAAAATTTTTGAAAAACTTTTTTTTTTTTTAAATCTGCGTGATAATTGATTATTTGTCCACTTTTGCTTCATCTTTCTGTTCTTGACCCATCCGCTTCTTAGTTTGATACCAACTACGAACTATACGGGAGGGCTTGTCTGTAAAGAATGTTTGTCAAATACTTTTCATTCAACTGACGTATTAATTAACAAAGTCCTGCAGAGCAAAAGATATTTATGCTAATTGCTTCACTCTCTGCAAACTGTAGGACTACTTTGTGTTATTGAGATACTGAGCCCTACAATAATATCAAACGCAAAGTATTTTTTTTTATATATATATAGCATGCATTTCACATTTTAAACTGGCACTCTAACCTCCATAACCACTACAGTTCATTGTAGTTCTCATGAGTTAAAGGGACACTATTGTCACCAGAACCACTGCAGCTGCGGCTAGGGAGAAAAGGTGAGTTCAGACAAATTTTCACTGCTGTGACAGGTGGGCCGGGGACCTAAACTACCACATGAGCACTATAGTTTCAGGAATACTTGTTTATATTCCTGACACTATAGTGTTCCTTCCATCTTTTTTTTTTTTTTTTCTTTAAGTCATTTTGGAGGAGTCTGATAAAAACTAGGGCTCACCCTGGTACCCATGCCTGGCACCTCTGCAGCCCTATAATTAATGTGCGGAGTAAACTATTGCATTATACAACCTGGCATTATCAGGCTGAGAGTACACGGGGCAAAGGTGGATTCTACGTTGTATTAGAACAATGTACCTAAGTGGCCATTGACTTGTAGATTTATACTTGATCTTAGTTAATACTTTCCTGGATTAAGTAAGGTATCATTACGTAATTGAAAGTCTATAAACTTTATTTCGTTGTGTCATCCAAAAAGTTCTGATTTTTAGATTCAAAGGTCAAAACGTCATCACATGGTCACCTGTAACTAGTTAACTTGGACAAAGGGTTGTTATGAGAGCTGATTTGTGTTATGTGGCTTGTGTACTTTGAGCCACCTGTCATAGAATGATCTCATTTTGATTCTGGGGAAAATGAATATGAAATGAAATGTTTCTTTTAGCCATGTCGTAAGGTTTCATGTATTTCCACTCCTTTATAAAAATGTAGTCATCCAGTAGCATTCTGTTGGTTTCATTCTGATTCATCCACAATCATTACCTTGCCCCCCAATTGCTTTTCAGAAGTAAACACCCATAAATAAGGGATCTTTTTCTTATTACACAACAGGATGAGATAGCTGAAATGGTTACAAACTATATTAGTCATGTGTACATTGCTATCTTTTCATCTGCTAGTGGTCCTTGAACAGCAATGTCTTCGAAGTTTATGGGATTTACGTAATTTCTCAAGTGTTGTTGGGCCTTGAGGACTTGTTTGTGAACTGCTTTATAAGACATTCCAGTGCTAGGGACAGATATGAAATTCACATAGCAAACAGAGGAAGCTCAAAAAAGTTTTATTTCCACATTTTGACATTGCATAAATGACATGACATTACAATATTACAAATATAAGCGTTTGATTAATATACTTAAATATACAACACATTTACAAGCATAAATATACAAACATAAATACATTTATGCATCCCTGAGAGAGAGAGGTTGTAACACTATATTTTCCACAAAATATATCCTGTTTCTTATAACAATGTATGCGCGTTTAGGTGATCTAGCTTTTTTTATCCAATATAACCACATTTTAACCGTTTTAGAGCTCCAGTTCTCTGTTCTTGCACATCCCAACTCCGTTTTGCATTGCCAGATAATGTGTTCTAATAGTCTGTCACATCGTAGCAGGTTAGATGTTCTCCATTTCCTAGCAATCAATAGTTTAGCTGCTGTAAAGATGTGGAGGACTATAGGAAGAATATCTGTTTTGCAGTGTATTAAGATTAAAATGTAGCAACGCTAATTCTGGAGTTCTATCTATATCTATGTCACATAGAATAAAAAAATAAAAAAAACTCTTTCCAAAAGGGAATTATAAATTGGCAATTCCACTACGTATGAAAAACAGTTCCTAGACTCAATCCACATCTCCAACAATTTGTATCTGTATTTGCACAATTCCTTAATTTAGCTAATGTACTTGGTACCCAATACCATCTGTTATGGACTTTATATTGTACCTTTCTCAAGTTCAAAGCGTGTATATATTTATAGGTTAATACGGAAGAGGCCGTCCAATCTTGATATGGCAATTCTATACCCAAGTCTCGCTCCCATTTTGTTTTTGCATTACAGTTTGTTTTTGCACTCGCTTTTGATAGTATTTGCACACATGTTCAATAATTATTCTAGATCTTCCACTGCCTCTGAATTACTACTTGAGAGATACTTAGATATTCTTAAATAATTAAACGGTTCTCTCCCGGGTAGATTTTTTTTTTTTTTTTTTCAATTACTAAAGTGGAAAATGATTGAACTTTGTTTATGTGATATCCTTTATTTTATGTATGCCACTGTTGTACCAATTACATAAATTGATGTTATCCATATTTCCTTCAAGTGGTCGAGAACCTAGCAGTTTATTTGTTAAATTGTTTTTTCTTTATAGATTTGCATTCATCCAATATATATCTTAATGATTTTATTTCTGAACTACTATATTGTCGATCCCTATGCAATCCCAATGTCCAGAACAGAGATGGTAAATTCCTAATTGTGAATAGATCTTGTTCTATTAAGAACTATTTCTCATTTTCTGAGCAGCTTTTCTGTGTGATCATGGTATGCATGAGTCTACTTGCTGTATAATATTTAAAATATATCTTGCATTCCCATGCCTCCTTGTTTAGTATTTAAAGTTGTTAGCGTCCACTTTATCCGAGGTTTCTTCCCTGACTCTATACATTTTAAAAAGAGGCAATGTGTTCTTTTAAACCAATTTTTCCGAGCATTTTAGGGGATTAATATAAAGAAATAATTCCAGCTTGGTAATATATATGCGCGTACTAAATTTATCCTTCCCCACCATGAAAAGTTTAATGTTTTTCATCTGATTAATTTTTTATTAGATTGTTGTAATAGATGAAGAAAATTATCTACTAGAGAATTTAAAGAAGTAATGTTGATTCCTAAATATCATTATGAGGTCTATGATAACTTAAGCCTTAAACTGATTGATAATCTGTATCTTACTCTGTTTAGAGTGAAATAATAACATATTGGGGGTATCCAAATGAAGAGTATGAAGTTCTTACTGCAGACAACTATATCCTGACTATCAACAGAATACCATGTGGGATCAAATGTGCATCTACAGGTATGGCTCATCGAAAAACTGAGGATTTTCTTATTTTCTTTACAAAACAACTACCTAACTTATTTTTCCTTTAATACTCTTTCTCTGTAACAATGTTTTTGTTGAAATGGCTGATTAGTTTTCAGGTAAAATGGTGCAAATCTTTCTTGTAACGTAAAATTTAACCTGGGTAAAGCTGGAGGCTTTTGTTGGAATAAAACAACTCAAAGGGCAAGAGCGTATTTAATTCGATTGAAGATTTAACAATATTTTCATCCCAGACAGGTGCCACCATCTGACATAGCCATACAGTAATTTTTATACTCCGAAAATACTGACCGTTTTTTCACTAAAGTGTGAATTTGGTCTTGGAATTTAAAATCAAATGGCCAAATTTATCAAATCTAGCTGATATGGTTAAATTTTCCAATTTGATATAGTAGGCTAAAATCTAAGTTGAAGAAAAACGTGTAAGTCAACATTGTTGCTGCTGTTGATCCTGGGGCTAACTTGCATGACATGAGCAAATAACATTTAGTAAGAAGGGAGGGTTGGAATTTTTGTGCTGCTGAAAGTATAGAAATATCTAGGCACTTTTAAGGTACGTTTGCTAGGACAGCATCCTAGCACCATAACCGATACAATACACTGACCGTTCCTATAAGGAGGGTATGTTAAATCCCTATTTTTTATAAAGTTCAATTTCAAATATACAATGAATAAGGCAGAAAAGCTTAAAAGGATACTCCAGGCACCAAAACAACTTACTCTAATTTAAGTTGTTATAGTACTCTCACCTTAACCACTGAGTTGCCTCCACCGGCGATGTCCACAACCCCTCTGGCTGCATCTGGCTTCTGAATTTTCAGATTCAGGAAATGAGTAGCGTCGCTGGGCACGGACACCGCTGATTGGTCATCTGACGCTCTCAGCCAATCAGTGACTCCCCGTTCACTAAACTGGCTTGGAAAGAAACGTACCTTTCTCAAACTTTTCATTGTATCGAAATACGGTATTGCATAAGGGAAGAGATACTACATTCATAGTAGTATAGGTGCAAAAGCAAAACATGGATTTCCAAACTTTCTATTTCCCCTTTGTAAATTCTGCTTTAGTTTTAATGTCCACACTTGAAAATCCATTAGGTCTGTTATCCTACCAGTTATTTCACTTTTATTTCTATTTCATATTCCTTGAATTGCTTGATGTCTGTATAAACAAAGATACGTAGACCCAAGATATTTTCAGGTATGACATGGTCATGGTGGTTGGAGTAACCCTTGGAGTAAGGACCAGAATTAGAGTTATATGTCAGTTCAAACATAATGTACCTCTTTCACATGCACCCACACTTATTATATATCATTTTGTGAAGATATATAGGGCTTTCATTTGACATCAGATATTTATTTATATATATTTATATGATCCATAATTTAATATAAATAAAAAAGAGAAAAACAATACTCCCATGTACAATTCTTCCCAGGTTTCCCCATGTACACGTATACCGAGGTTTTTATGGTTACAGAGTTACAGAGCCAGATGTGAGTCTCAGTCTTCATACATGGAGGTTTTTAGTATAATTCCAATGACCATTTAGGTGCAAAAGCAAACTCAAATATATGGCCTGTGCTCAAACTCCCACTACTCCTGAGTTTGAGCGCAGGACTTTTTTGTATCTTTGTATTTGCTTTTGTATAACACAGCCGTGTTACAGTGTTGCCACCCATCCCATGTGTTCACTGTTAAGGGTTAATTAGTATGCAGGAGTTAAAAAAAATGAAATAAAATACCCCCTGTCTGTGAAACCTAACAGGTTTGCCTTGATATGGCAGGTGAGCGTACATTGAAATGGCCATTGGAGTGATACTAAAAATCTCCAGTTATTTAAATGTGCATAGATATTTTGGATAGTGTGCAAGTAAATCTTTTCTTTGGTTTTTATTGTATGCGTTGGTGATGATGTGTCCTATAGTCATTGCTGCCGCCCAGGTGTAGTGGGAGTTTGTGTGCAGAATTTATTTTTGTATAGTGTTCATACCTGTATATTTGAGAAATTGATTTTCTGGGACTATGTCGCATTTGAGGCAGTATGCAGCCCATTTGCAAAAATAGACAATCCAGGGTAGTCACAAAACCTGGCCAAATTTAGTGTTCATGATTTTATTTTAGGAATTTTTCACACAAACACTGCACTTTCACTGTTTATTGCATCATCCTTTATTTAATTTTTTTAATTGTGATAAAACACCCATATTTCTATTCAGTAATGTCCAACGAGTGCAACAATATCCCCAATGAACAGGTTTAACCCGGAGGCAATTTGTCTAGGTTCTGTACCAAAGCAAAACCTGGCATTTGCTCTACGTGGTTTCTTCCACTGTAATCTTATAAGTGGAGTGTGTTTTTTTTAAAAAAATTTTTATCCGGTTTATTGGAGTTAAAGTGCGGTACCCACAAGACCAGACTTCCAGGTTAGAACATATTCGATCTACAGGGAAGGAAATGGTCTTCTCCAGCTACGACAAATATAAGGAGTACACTTCCATCTGGTTTAATTGGACATGGTGACTGTCCTCCAGGTCTGCTTGACTGTGCCCAACCAGCTCCCCCCTGCCTCAAACCATGCTGACTCCTAATATAGACTTGTCTTGAATTTTAGTCTCACTGAAGAAATATGGGTCCTCAACCTTGCCTGTCCCTTTGCTCACTGTCGTTGAATGCTGCAAACCTGCCCCCATTGCCTCCCCCTCCTCTTCCTCATCTTTTCCCCTCTGTCTCACGTCCCTCTTGCTCTTTTAGACTCTCTCTTTTTGAATTTTCTGTATTGGTACTTCTTGACCTTCCATGTACTGCTTAATTGACAGGCAGCCTGGCAGGCATTCATACCAGGCTGAGCTGGCGGTAATTTAGGTGGACCAACCATCATTCTGGGTGAGTCTGCCACCTTGTGTGCCAGTATAGCAATTTGTGTCACTGCCACCTTTAATTTCTCCCAATTCAAAAGACTCCAATGTTGGGAACTAGTTCCTTGGATATGCTGTTTATGACACTTCCCTCATCCCATTTTGCCACCAAAATCACCATGGGAGGCATTTATTGTTGAATACTGTTGGCAGCAATAATAAGCAGAGGTGGGCTACACTAGTTTTCTCTGTGTATCAGTGCCTTCCCAATGTTGGACAGGTTAATGGGGAAGTTTACTTAGCGGAATGGCAGAATAGGGCTGTGCTGTTGTTGCCAGATAGCAAGAACCAAGCACTCATAGACTCTTAGTAGTGATTATTTTTCTGTTTATCATATTTGTTTATTGAAGAAGGTAACAAAGTTGACATGACACAGTTTACAGAGGAACATCACAGATATGAAGTTGAATACATTGAACATACAGCTTATATGGTCAGGCAGTATATCAAGCTGGTAAATACTGGTCGCAACCACAGAAAATCGGAGAAAAGGGAGGGAAGGAAATAGAAAAACAATAAAGAGGAAGAGCAGAGCGGCAGAGAAACATCTGAAGTTACCCAGTAAAATTATCACACATCATTTATAGAGATCAATCAGAGAACTAGTTACCCCCATACATCTGAGAAACTTTGAAGGTTACCCGTGAGCATATAAAACATTCGTCATATTTCAGGGTTACCTGGAGTCCATATAGGACAGCCTGAGTAGATTTTTAGGCTGGATGTGAACACAGCTGTTATAATATGCAGATTCAGAACCTTTCCTGGGCTTTGTATATTGTTGTAGCAGAGCTTCAATACCTAGCATAGGTGTCTCTGCTGCTTATTCCTTGTAGCTGAAATAAGCAGTAAAATATCCCAAGACACTCACAGTGTAACTGATTTTTATTTTGGCCACACAACTAGACGAATCACAGTCAACTGATTTTTATTTTGGCCACACACGGCTTTTATGCACTGAACACTACATGGGGTCTCTCGCACAAAAATACAGGGCTTTTCCTCCCAAGTTCATCTGTGCCTGAGAGAAAAATCCATAACTCAATTATCTCTCAGGTACAGAAAAATCTACAATAATTTAAAACACCCCAAAAATGCATTTTAATACTTCAGAACCCCACAAAAGTCACATCACCGAATAGCTTGGATATGAGCGCACACTTTGACAAAATATCACTCAGATCCCTTCGGTGGTTCGGGAACGCCATTCGAATGAAGTTTTGACTGGTTGGCCACAAGGTGATGCCCCAAAACAGTTCCAGAGAAAACAAGGCAACGACCGGTCATCTTTCGGGGTTTCTCGCACGAACACCGACGAATGCTCCCCCTGGCTGTTAGTATACAAATGGACAGCCGAACAAAGGGAATAAAAGGGTCCTTCCACTACAATTGCCATCAAACATTTTGGAAATTAATTTTTTTTTACTACTGACCATTATATCTATCCTAGCTTGCAACTGTCTCCTATACCTCTTTATTTTACAGGTATTCCCTGCCTCTTTTCTATTAACTATTGCAACCAACTGGTGTGCTGTTTAACCCCCTGTGCACTAGAGGCATTTCATCTATATTCAACCGACCCTGTTTTGCAGGAGGAGTTTAGAGGAGACTAGTATCCCACTTTCCTATTTAGAATTCAGTTACATTGTTCATAGCAAGTAGTTTCACTTTACACCAATAAGTATTTCTTTGAAGCAACACTTCTCTTGCTATTGGTTCTATTGGAGGTTTTATACCCCAATTAGTTTATAGGACATATTATTTTGTAGCCTTGTGCTTTTTGTTTTGTTTTTATCTTTTCTATTTTTACATTTTAATATATCCATTAAAAGTTTTTATGCTCATTTCATTGTGACTATATTTACCAAAATGTTGAGACACTTAATGGTAGTTTTTTTTTTTTTCTTTTCTTTTCTGTATTTCTTAAAAAAAAATCAGGTTTTAAAGGGAGAAAATGATTGGTAATCTCTCTTCCCTTTGATTGAATTGATTTTAAGTTGTTGAGAATTCCCAGATTACGTGGAGCACCGGGCTGGGGGCCTTGGTAAACTCATTAGCTTCCTTGGGCTTCCAATATCATTTCTATGCAGATGACACGCAAATCTACCTGTCCTCTCCTGATCTCTCCCCGTCCCTCTTGACTAGTGTCTCTGACTACCTCTCTGCTGTTTCTGACTGGATGGCTGCCCACTTCCTTAAACTAAATTTGACCAAATTCTGGTCTTTCCTCCCTCAAGTGTTGTTACTCCTGTGTCTGTCTCCCTCCAAGTCAACGGTGCTACCATCAGCTCCACCACGCAGGCTCGCTGCCTAGGTGTTCTCTTTGACTCTGACCTCTCCTTCAAGCCTCATGTTCAATCTATCGCCAAATCCTGTCATTTCCATCTCAGAAACATTGCGCGCATCCGCCCCTACTTAAAGCCAGACGCGACTAAGGTGTTGGTCCATTCCACTTTCCTTTCTCGCCTTGACTACTGTAATCCGCTTCTCAGTGGTCTTACGTGCTCCCAACTAGCGCCGTTACAGTCCATAATGAATGAGGCTCATCTTCCTGTCCGCCCGCACCTCCCATGCCTCACCCTTCTGTCAGTCCCTTCATTGGCTTCCTATAAAATATAGAGCTCAATTTAAAATTCTGGTTCTTGCTTTCAAATCTCTACATAATGCTGCTCCCACCTATCTATCCTCCCTTTTACACAAGTATGTCCCATCTAGGCCCTTACAATCTGCTGAAGACTTACATCTATCTTCTGTCCGTACTCCCACCTCTGATGCTCGCCTTCAAGATTTCTCGAGGGCTGCACCGTTCCTGTGGAACTTGCTTCCCTCCTCCGTTAGATGCTCACCCAGTCTCCACTCCTTCAAAAAATCATTAAAAACCCACTTCTTCATAAAAGCGGATCAAATAAACTGTTAATAGCTCCTGACTGATTCCTCTTCTGCAACTGTCATTAGTCTAATACTATCCTTACCTTTTTGTGTCATTTTACCCCACTCCCTCTAGCATGTAAGCTCATTGAGCAGGGCCCTTAACCCCTCTGTTCCTGTGTGTCCAACTTGTCTGGTTACAACTACATGTCCGTTCGTCCACCCATTGTAAAGCACGGCGGAATTTGACGGCGCTCTATAAATATCATCATAATAATAATAATAGTAACAATTAGCATCCAGCATCTCCAGCAATTCAGTGTTACCAATGGTTAGATGCAGGATATAGTGCATAGAGCTTTCCTTCAACCCTTTACTAACTCAAGCAGTTTCTCCCTGTTCATGTGATAATCAAGTGGTGAAAAAACATTCTAGTAAAAAAAAAAAAAAATCTCAAAAAAAAAATCATACATATAAAAATTATTAGTGGGTACAAATTTGAGTATAGTCGTGATTGAATACTTTTGTTTTTCTTTTCACTCCAGACATGTATCTTAACATTGTGCTGATATTAAACAATATCTGCCCTAAGAATTAAACCAGAGCTGAACCATATGACGGAACACAAAGTTAGGAAACAGCTGTCCTTTTTTACAAGCATATCTTGGCTCATGTTCCTAAACACAGTAGCCTTTCCGAGCGGGTCTGTAGCAGACATTTATTTTTGTTGAAATTCTCCTTTCCGCATGGAATGACACAATTTTCTTCAATACATACGCTCTGCTCTTTGTTGTAATTAAGTGTGAAATGTTCTGTATAGGTTTGATGGAGTGACACCATCTGCTTCAAGAAACTGAAAGCTCGAGACCCACACAGATGTTTGGGTTGGGCTGTAATAATACGACACCAGAACTTCAGCTGTGCCGTTTCCTTACTCCCTTGGCCCATCGTTGTCTACTGGAAAAACATCTCCAGTCACCTTGCCAAGTTCTAACATGAGGTTTCCTTGCGGCTGGGACAATGTGTACATGTCCGTGTGAGACTGAATGTTTTCTTGGAACCAACAGAATAAAGGAGAAGCATATTCTTTTGGAAATGTGAGGATCTGAAATCTGATACACGCCTCATTCAGGAATGATGACAGAACATTACTTGAACGCATAATGTTGGTTGCCAAATTCTTCTTGATGGAATTGTGTAGCCCTGCTAATCCTCTTCTTTTGGAAACTACACTGTATCAAAACAAAGGCCAATCTGGCACTATGAAAACAGTGACTGCTCAAACTCCTGTGTTTTTAACGCATTGTTAATTTCTAAGATTTTGTTTTCATTGTTAATATGATTAATTGCCTTATTCTTTGAGTTCTCTCCAGACATATATTACATATTATAATGCACATGTTGGCCTTATGTGGATCGTAAATAGGGATTGGTGTAATAAAACTCAGCTTTTAATTCTTACTGAGATGAATTAAGTGTTTGAAAGGACAGATTTTTTTTATTTATTTATGTTTCTCTCCAGATTGGTGAGCTCAAGCCATCTTTTATATTTTTAGTTCGGAAAGTGAGTGTAATAAAGTGCAGTAAAGCAGTCTAAAAAACGATGATCGCTTCTTACCTGGTAGAGGAAAAGTTATCTCTTACAGCACAGGCTGGTAAGGTATTTGAGCCAACTTGGCAGAACCCTCTGATTTCTTTTAAAGCACTAAATGCAAACTGGCCCTGTTTACGGTCTTTCTATGAGCACACGCACCTGTAGGTCTCTTTAAAAGAAGATGCCAGAGCACGTATGAGTGCTGCTCTTGCATCATGTATTGACTCTGGTGCATGTACCTGCTTTGCTGCGGAGGTAAATGTGTTTAATACTTGACTCCACTCTATTTGAATAGTGTTGATTGGGGTGTCGGAAAACAATCCGTTCCCATTTAAGAAAAAGAGTGAACTTTATGAGTAGGACCATTTTGACAAGTGCATATTCTGTCAGGAAGAAAGTGGCTGTAGGGTGCATATTAATTCAGAAGGAATTTTAGATGTATAAGTGGCAGGTCCAACTTGTGTTATATATCAGATGAGTTTTATCTGGAAACCGAATCATTTAGTGAGTTTAGGGCCAGCAGTTGTAACCCTCACTTAGGTAATGTCAAGTCTAGTTCAACTTTAAATAGTGCAAGTTTAGTAAGAGTTTTGGTGTGCACTAATTGTCAGAAGAATGTTACTTGCAAATAGACTATGTTGGTACTCCATTCTCATCGCCACCTTGCTAAAACCTGGACTCCTATCACTATAGTGTGCTAATCCCTAATTATATTAGCCATCCCCCACCCCTCCCTGTGAGCAATGCAAATTGTCACAAAAAAAAACCAAGTTTTACTTTTCCAGTGCCGAGACTTCCTTGGTGCTCTTCATATAGGAGCCGTGGGACATGAGATGCATGTGTGCATCCAATGAAATGCATTTTTGTGAACTGCATTTGGTCACATGACTGAGTTTCTCTAGTTTCTTGCAATGGAAGCTCCTCCAGTGGTTTCTGGAAGACGGCCACTAGAGGTGTATTTAACCCTGCAATGTAACCATTACAGTGTCTACAAAACTGCAATGTTTTACATTGAAGGATTAAAACTTCAGGGCCGCTACCACTAGACCTCGTCATTGAGAGGAAGTGCTCTGGGTGCATTTAGTGGCCTTTTAATAGTGACGAATGGATAGAGCCGATAGCTAGAATTGGAGCTAGGATAGTGCCTAGAAAGAAGCTCAAACTTGTCTGCATGTTGGAGTGGGAGGACAAAATAGGCTCAAGACGAAGCCGGCGACAATTTGTGAACAAATTTTGATTTAGGTTGATCATGGTGTTTAAGTTCTTACCTTATTGCCCTTTTCTGCTCTCACATAATTGCTGATTGTAATCAGAAACACTATGCTACTATTACTGCTATGCCTACATTTTGGGATAAATTTGATATAGTAGTATGGATGACTCTGCTCCCTAAAGCAATATTATACATTTGTCAGTGGTTTACGAATATTTGAAAGTCCTTTTTGGAAGGCAAGGAATCCTATTTGATTTTTTTAAATTTATTTTTTTATTATATTCTTTTAAGGAAGGAACACTGTGAATTCACTTTTAAACATAATACAATTTGTTCCTATGTGGGATGTGAATGCTGAATTCTATTCTATGAGCATTTGGGGGCCATTACATAACATAAGCGCCTCCTAGTGTTAAAACTAGTTCATTACAGGTGGATTTTTTTATTTATTTTTTTTGTTATATATTTTATTTATTTAACAGTTCTTATATAGAGCTGTCATCTTGAGCTATTTATGCGAAAAGAACATTGGTAATTATACAAATAGAGGGTTATATAATTAGACACATTGATACAAAAAGATGAATCTTTCCCGTGGGCTTCAACCTCCCACAAAGATTTATCAGGCAGAATTTTAACATTTTCAAAATCTGAATATATTTAATTCAGAACACTGACGTCAGATGTAATATATGTTACAGTAATAGGATATAGATGAGATAATATCTCAAGCACTGTTAAGAAGAAAGATTACAGAGGCATCAACACAGTAAATTACATAAAATGGTTGAATTGAGGGCTTGATGAGTGGGTTGTGGAAGAGATGGTCCAGGCACGTCAATGTTCTAAAGACACTTTTATTGGAACAAGGTGGACACCACAACGTTTCGACCCACACAGGGATCTTTGTCGAGTTACCTCACACCACAAGTTACACACAAGTTATAGGCAGTAAAACGTATGCAATAATACAATCAAACAATTCGTGAATCATTTAATAGAATAATACATGATTAAGAATATTCAGTGCTTACGATGTCCTGATCTGATTCATATGCGAATAGTCCATGTAGTTGAATGGCAGTGGTAAAACAATAAAAAGTTATAGAAAATAATAAAACTTACAGAATATGAAATAATAGTAATAGGCAAAGAATTGCCAACTAATAATAGAGCGTGATGATGTCACATGTTGGACATCCAGAGGACGTCCCCCTTGCTGTGGGACAGTGCCAGAATGGGATTTTCAGCGTTCTATCTTCATTTACTAGACCGGAGAATGGGCACCGCTACCAGTATACCACACTTCTTTACCTCTTCATGTTCAGATACTGACCTTAGCATGATGAGAAATGAGAAACCAGCCATGTGTAAACATCTATAACAATATATTGAGAATTATTATAATAAAAAGAGAAAGTGACCTTATTATAAGTATGTGTTCATTGTGACTGCAGCTACATTGACTTTATTGGTGACAATGTATAGTGTATTTCCAGTGTTAACTATTTGCTTTGTTTTAGGTCCTAAGCCTGTGGTGTATTTGCAGCATGGCTTGCTTGCTGATGGGAGCAATTGGGTTACCAATCTTGCAAACAATAGCCTGGGATTCATCCTGGCAGATGCTGGCTATGATGTTTGGATGGGAAACAGTCGCGGAAACACTTGGTCTAGGAAACACAAGACTCTGTCTCCCGCGAAGGATGAATTCTGGGCTTTTAGGTAATCCAGTATCTTTGAAATGTTATGCATTGGTAGGGAGGATTAACAAACTGGTTAGTGGTTAATGGTCTCTCAACATTAAGATTATTCCTCTAGTCGAAGAGCAATCTTTGCTACATCACTACTTCTTATTGAGAAGAAAAAGGTCCGGGCACTCCAAAGCTCAATGAGACATATTTATTTGGAACAAAATGAATCCAGCAACATTTCGACTCTACAATGGTCGAAACCCTATGATTACAGTCTGTCTTTGTACCACAAAAATAATTAATCTCAAACGCACGTTTCCTAGATTAATATTAACCCCTTAAGGACCCCTTAAGTACAGTCTGAAATACCACAAGGATCAGATACAATAATATAATTTCTTGTTTTTTTTTTCTCTTTTTGATGGTACTAACAATTTGTTTTGCCCTTTTTAAGTTACGATGAAATGGCCAAGCAAGATCTCCCAGCAGTCATCAACTTTATTCTAAAGAAAACAGGCCAAGAACAAATCTACTATGTTGGGCATTCGCAAGGAACTACAATAGGTATGTAAGCAGTTCATCAATATTGTTTTATGTTTGATTTTGTTTGTGTTTGTATTTTTCAGTGGTTCTTAATAAGGACTAGAAAATTTCAAAATGACTTAGATTTTTTTTTTTTTAATTATGTTAGATAGCAACTTCTGTGATATCGCAGGGAGTTTGTGTGTTAATCTGATGTAAATTTACACCGTACTGGTAAATACTGTTGAATTCTGTGAAAATCTAACTTTAATGTTAAAATATATCTTATTACTGTATATGTTATTGTCTTCTTTAGCTTTTATAGCTTTCTCGAGCATGCCTGAACTAGCCAAAAAAATAAAAATGTTTTTTGGTTTGGCACCTGTGGCTACCATCAAGTTTTCCAACAGTCCCCTTGCGAAGCTAGGCTATTTCCCAGAATTCATTGTCAAGGTAAGTTCTGGTGCTTTCGTTTATGGCTTTTCTTTTTTTTTTCTCAATATGTGGAATATTGGAATTAACTAAACATTAATTTACATTATCACCAAAAGCTCTATCTGCAATATACATGACTGTGATGGACCTTCTGTTGCATTGTTAGGGCTGTGGCCCTGGGTAGAACGTGGGTGCACCCACTCCAAATATGCCTCGTCTATAGCGAAATCTGTTAACCACTTCTCTTCCTGCATCAAACCTATATTTTTCGTCTCTCTCCACCCTTTTTGTATCTCTCCATGCCCTTTCCTCTGCTTGGATTTTATCTTTAAAAGTGTATTCACATAAATTTAATAAAAAATATATGAACAGATGAAATAGCATTCCAACTTTACTACTGGCTAGCATGCAAAATGATTATGTTTTATCCAAGATCTTTGTATGTGATAATATGTAATTTTACAAAAATCCTGTCTCTCTGGCAACATGTTGTCTTTCAAAAACTATAGCAACCAAGCAGCAGGGGCTCACTCCAACTGGCATCAAAACACCTCTCACTGCAGTTTAATGACTGTGACATGTGGCTCTCCTGGTTGAGAATTATGGGAAATGTAGTTCACACATATTGTGGTGCAAATGGCAAAGGTTATTCACCAGAAGCCACGAAGATACTTGGTAAAGCTCGGCAGGGCTGAAATCAGAACACTTAGAGCCCCTTACAAATCCATATACTTGGCCACTCGAGATTAGCAGACACAATTGTGCACACACTCCCAATACATACAGATACATACTTACTGACTCACACTCAGATATGCATTCCCAGACGCACTTTCAGATACTCACATAACAGATAAACATTCCCACAAACACTCATAGATGTGCATGTCCAGACACATTGACAGATACACACTTGCACAAACAGATACACATTGCACAAATACACAGATACAGTCACTTACAGACACACACTGTCACACTGTCACATAAATACAATATATAGATCTAATACACATATATTATTATTATTATTTTATTATTTATATAGCGCCAACAAATTCTGTAGCGCTGTACAATGGGTGGACTAACAGACACATAATTGAGATCAGACCACTGACGTACAGGAACAGAGGGGGTTGAGGACCTACAATGTCTCACCTGCGCGCACACACAAATGCAACTACATATACACACTGCCAAACAAAGATATACATGCTGACACACTGACTGCCATACACATATAAAGACTCCCACATACACAGCTTTTAGGTTCTGTTTTAGTCACTCTCTCCTCGGGACTGCAGACTATTCTGAGTCTGCTTTCCTTACCTTACTGTGCTGCTTTTTTTTTTTTTTTCACACTGGAAAGATCTGGCATTGCTTCCTCCAAGTGCTGCTGCAAGGCAGAGAAATGGGGGCTGACAATACATCAGAGCACTAGCGGGTCTCTGGGGCACAGCCAAGACTCGTAATGGAGTTCCAGCTGTCACCAACCTGATGGGGGCCCTGAACCCTTTTTCATATTACTATACCAAAATATAAAGGGGGGCCCAAACTGATAACCTGTTTAGGGCACTATGGGATCTTATGTAAATGTGAAAATTCCACCATTTAAATATACAAATAAGGTTTATTATAAAATTCAACTTAAATCATAGGTACATAGCCTCCCAGGGTAACCTCCTAGATAGTAACCAACTATAGCAGAAATGTGTGTATATATACACAAAGATTTTTAACACTATTGTGCAAATTATTTTAATTAGTTCAATAAATATCATTTTTTTTTTTTTTTTTTGGAATAACCTCTAGCAAATCGTTTGGGTGATTCAAAGACCAGTCCGGAGAGAAATCCAAAGGAGGAACTTTGGTCCCCTATTGATATTGTTTGTGACACCCATAAGGCACTTTTATCGTCTTTATTTGTGTGTGCAACCAATAATTTGCGTTGTCACTTATTTTACAATATCACACTATATTACAATGGGGTTTATAGGAAACATAGAATGTCACGGAAGATGCCAACAGAATGGGATTTATGATATTCAAACAGATTAAAGTCTCTACTACTTAAGTTCTCATTATTATTTTATTTTCAGGATTTGTTTGGCAAGAAGGAATTTCTTCCACAAACCTATTTGATCCGATGGCTTGCCACCCACTTTTGTACGCATGAAGTAACTGAAGAGTTGTGTGGCAATATTTTTTTCGTTCTTTGCGGCTTTAACGAGAAGAACCTTAATATGGTATGTGTAACCCGTTTTCTCTGATCATTGTCTGTTTATTATAACCTGTCAAAGAAATGAACTTTCATTCAAACAGACCCGTGGAATATCACTTCTGGTAGCTTATAAAATATCTGTACAATTTATAGAAAAACTTGTAAACATTTAATGCTATAATTACCTGCCCAACATTATCTCTTAATGTTTACACGTGTGTGATGCCACATGCTGGGTATTGTGGGTAGCTTCACTTAGCTTTGTGGGAGTGGACTAGTGCTTGCACAACCAAGGAATAAGCTTTATTTGTAGTTTTATACCAATATGCTACAGCATCTACGTATGAGCTCAAATCTTAATCAAGAGTCTAACCAGTATGATGTTGGATGCTTTGTGTCACCTTATCATTTTGCATAATCGGTACATCTAAGACAGAAAATGATTACTAATGAATTCTCTCATTATCCAAAAGTAGTATCATAATAAAACAATACTTTTTATTAGACTATTTACAGTTTTAATTAACTTTTATAATGTATTAAATGTGAACAAAAAACTCTCCCATGATGCATGTCTGCAACAAGCAAAAGCTCACTGGCTGATTAGCACCAGTTGATAGTCAGCACACACTTGTGGGGAATCATGGGAGTTGTTGCTAAAATAATGAAGAAAGCAAATTGTTCATCTCTGGCTATTGTAGTTCTCAAGACTTGTTAGTTATTTTTATAGAAAACTTGGCTCTGGAACTTGGTGAAATAGATGGTTCCATATTGGCATTAGCACCTGTAGGGTCCTTTTGTATTATTAATCATTTAAAGTCCACATTCTATGCCATTCAATAAATTAATGAATACCAATCTCAGGTTACCTCTTTTTACAGAGGAATGTGTGTAACAAAAGTGCTTAAAGAGTAGAAGTGATTTACAGGCAGTTCTATACACTTGTGTGGAAATATCCTCTATTCCACTAAACAATATTGGAGATAATAGTGCGGTGTAAGTGACGGAGGCCTACACCTATAAGTGGAGCACTCAAACACATATGCAGCTTACCAAATGTTTTCATTCAATAGTGCAATATAAAGTACATGTCAAAAAAAATATAAAGAGATACAATATAGTGCAGATGGTATGTAAAGTGACAATGCAAGTAGTAAACTGTACACTCACATTTCAAGGAGCCTGTATATGAGAACACTGGCTCCGTATTGAAGCTTGTGTGCTTATTATGGTAGCACCACCCTTCCACTTGGACTCGAGGTAGTTCTCAAACACAAAAGGAGAAAGTGGACCACTGTGTAGAAAATGGCAATAAAAGCATGGGTGTAGAACAGTAAATGTGGTGCTCACCTGGTCCTGAGCCCGGCTCTAGGTATATAGGTTTGGTGCCAATTAAAATGGGGATGGCACTACCCCTATGGAGGTTCTTAGAGGTTCCACAAAGGACTTAAGCAGGATCTTGAGTAAAATAACAAATTTATTAGTATATATAAATATAAAAAATAAATGTTAAAAAATAGTCCTCAATAAAAGTCCTTTTAAAATGGCCAATACGCGTTTCACTCTCAATAGAGCTTCCTCAGTCAGCTTTTTTTTTTTTTTACATGTACTTCATATTGCACTATTGAATGAAAACGTTTGGTAAGTTGCATATGTGTTTGAGCGCTCCACTTATAGGTGTAGGTCTCCGTCACTTACACCGCACTATTATCTCCATTCAATAAATTAATACACACTTTTTAGTTAATACAGAGCCCTTGCCATAAATGCAATAGATATATAAAGTACTCTATAGGCAGCAGATATATGTAGTAAATCGTATCTGTAGGTTCAATATAAGAGTCTGGCTATTCATTTCTGTTACATAATGAAATGTCTTTCGTATGTATTTAGTGAATTATTGCAGCTGACGTTCTGTTTAAGATTTTTGTTTCTCTTTTTTTCTTTTTTAATATATTGTTGTTAATTGTTTTCTACATTATCTTGTAGACTCGAGTAAATGTATACTCTTCACATTGCCCTGCTGGGACATCTGTGCAGAACATGATCCATTGGGGTCAGGTAATGAGTTTTCGTGATTGTTGGATAAGTGCAAAATATATGAAACACATAATACACATATTTTCCATCCCACATATTTTTGTCCCTCAGAGTTATTTATATTCATATTCTTCTGAATATTAATGATATGAATATATACAACTATCTAATATCTAACAAGAATGCTGTGACCTTTTGTTAGTATTTCACACCAAATCCACTGTATCCTGTTGTTTACAAGACATCACATTAACAATTCCATTAAAAATATTTTCCACTTTAAAGTTCACAGGATTCAACAATGCTAGGGGGGAAATAAGAAACACTTTGAGCTAGGTAGATCTTCATCATGTGGGTATCAATTTCCCTAGAATGAAGTGGAGATGGAAATTCTTCATTAGAAGAGCATGATGCACCGTATACATTTTTATATGGGTGTGGGATCAACTATAGTTATCCTTATGATACCAGTATCTGAAAATTCAAGCAAGCAGTAAATGTTATAATATATTGAACATGCTCAATCTGTTTAAAAAAAAAAAAAAAATAGTTATTGTATCGATCAGCACAATTTTATGCTGCAAAATTTTAAAATGAAGGTTTTTCCTATGAGGATTAACTTACTTAAAATAGATTTTAAATGGCCATTGATTGATTCCTGGTTCATTGAGTGTGTGGGTGATCAGATTCAACATGTTGGTACGGAGTAGGCAGTCATCTTTCTGTAGGTGTAATGTTTTTATTCCGAGAGGAACTAAGATTGGAAAGACTAAATATAAACCCTGAAGTCCATTCTTTTATGCAGTTGATGAAAAAGGAAAAAAATAAAATGTAGCCATTTCCAATTATGCCACAAAAAGGGGAAAATTTTTCTTGACTCCCTTATGGCAATCAGATTTTCCTTGGATTAACAACCTATTTACAAACATCAATTATATCCTTGAATATTCTATTCATGCAAAAAAGCACCCAAGCTTTTTTTTTTTTTTTTAAATTATCTATAAAAATCTGATAAAACAACCTCTTTAGGTAGAGAATTCCACATTTGTATTATTCTTACAGTAAAGAACCCTTTCCTTTGCTGTAAGCGAAAACGCCTTTCTTCCAGTCTCCATGGGTGACCTCTAGTCTCTCGTATGAACCAGTTAGCACATAGTGGTTTGTACTGACTATATATATATATATATATATATATATATATATATATATCTCTGTATAGTGCTATCATAGCCCCTCTGAGGTGCCTTTTTTCTAAAGAAATCAATTCCAATTTTTCTAGCCTTTCCTCATAACGAATGCTTTCCATCCCCCTTATTAGTTTTGTAGCTCGCTACACTTTTCTAGTTCTGCAATATCCTTCTTTAAAACGGGTGCCCAAAACTGCACCGCATATTCAAGGTGGGGTCTTACAATAGATTTGTAAAGCTGCTAAATCATATTTGGATCACATGAATCAAAACCCATTTTTATACATGGAAGCACCTTACTAGCTTATGCAACAGTAGACAGGAATTGCATACTGACTGTTGCCTAGTTTGTGATCTATAATTGAGTCCTTTTCATTTATTGTTATCACTAACACAACCCCATATAATGTATAAGTGACTTTTGGTTTCCTTATTCCAAAATGCAGGACTTTACATTTATCAGTATTGTATCTTATTTGCAACTTGCCTGCACAGTCCCCCAATTTATCCAAATCCTTCTGTAGACGTTATGTCATGTTTTCTTACCTAGTTTTGTGTCCTGTGCAAATAATGACAAATGACTTTCAAGGCCCTTGGTAGGATATTTATCTTGATTTTATATATATCCATATATTTTCTACTACATGTGTCTGCTGAGATTCATTTAAGACACTACAGGCACTTAGACCACTTCATCTTAGTAAAGTGGTCTGGGTGCCATGTCCCCCGTTTTAACCCTGCAAGTGAAAACTTTGACGCTCTGCAGAACGGCAATGCTTTCATCGCAGGATTTAAATTCCTCTAGTGACTGCGCATGCACACTACCCGCTCAATGCTACCCTGGGAGATAATCAATCTCTGTGAGCTTCCCTGCAGAGACCAGCGTTGTGAGGAAGAAAAGGTAAACAACAAATTTTACTCCCTACAGCCAACAGGGCACTGTATCATTAGGAATACACATTTGTATTCCTAACTCTATACTGTTCCTTTAAAAGTAGACTAGTGCACAGAATATTTTGGTATATTTATTTAACTTAGATATTCCATTAGGAATAATGTTCTAAAGTATATTTCTCTCCAATATCTTTATTAATCACTCTGTAGTTGCCAGAATTTAATTTGTTAGATATATTTCATGTTGTAATGCCTTGCTAGCAATTTCTTTTTACATTTTCCTTTGTTCTTTATTGTTTAGGCTGTCAAATCTGGAGAATTAAAGGGTTTTGATTGGGGCTACAGGGGAAATATGGCTCACTATAACCAGGTAACACAACGTTTATTTCTTCTTTACGTCCCTCAGGGGTATTTGACAAAAAGATGTATTACTGGTCCTTCATATGATTGGTCACAGCCATAGAAAAAGTGATAGTTTACTTAACACCTAATTGGTAGACTGCATTAAGGTAACCAGGAAACATCTTGAAAACAGAATAAGACATGTGGAAGGTGAGAGATTAGCTAATGTTCTGTGCAGGCAGCTGACTGTAAAACCAGATAAATAACCCAAGGGCAAAATTCTGAACAATTACAGAATGTAGAAAAAAAAATTCAATATGGATTCCATCATAGAACATCAATGCTTTAACAAGTAGAAGACTGAATTGCGTTTTTTTTATAACCGCTCATGAGAAGGGATTAACCACACAGAACATGGTGCACGTCAAATGATAGTGTATGGGCTAAATAGTGGACTGGGAAACGAATAACCTATGATGGAATAATGAGCATACCAGGTTTAGATCCACCTGAGCATGTAACAAACCTATACAGGACCTGCCCTCATGAGCAGTGTGGAAGACTGTTAACCCCTTAAGGACACATGACGTGTGACATGTCATGATTCCCTTTTATTCCAGAAGTTTGGTCCTTAAGAGGTTAATGTGCGGAACCAGAGACCATTTGACAGAGAAACACCATTTTTCTATTGGGATTACTTTTTTCTAGAATTCACAATTCCTGGTTTAGAGAATAACCCTGAGTACCATAACCTGAAAGTAATAGAGATAAATAAAAAAACAACTGCCTTAACTTATCCATTTGTATTGCCATAGTGTTCTGATTTATTTGTTTGACTTGAAAGATAATTACATGATTTAGAAAGAATTTGTATTTGTGATTTAGAAAGAATTTGTATCTAACGGCACCTGTCATGGGCTGGGATATGTTAGGCAGCAAGTGAACAGTCCCTTCTGGAGTTTCATGTGTTGGAAACACTGGATCGGAGCATCTCCAAATCCGCAAGTTTTGTGGGGTGTTCCAGATATGCAGTGGTTAATACCTTCAATAAGTGTTGCAAGGAAGGACTGGCGTCAGGGTCATGGGAGCCCAAGTCTCATTAATGCAAGTGGGGAGCGAATGTCCGATTACACAGAAATGCTACTGTAGCTCAAATTGCTGAAAAACGTAACGCCGCCCATGATAGAAAGGTGTCAGAACACTAAGTGCATCACAGTTTGCTGACTAAACGCAAACCGCTAAGAGTGCCCATGATGACCCCTATCCACCGCCGAAAGCGCCTCTAATGGGCACATGAGCATCAGAACTGGACCATCGAGCAATGGCAGAAGGTTGCCATGTCTGAAAAATAATTTTCTTTTAGATCAAGTGGATGACCTGGTGAAGAGATGGCAACAGGATGCACTATGGGAAAAAGGCAGGCTCGTGGAGGCAGTGTTATGCTCTGGGCAATGTTCTTGTAGGAAACCTTTGGTCCTGGCATTCATATGGATGTTACTTTGACAAACATCACCTACCTAGATATTGTTGCAAACCACATACACCCCTTCATGGCAGTGGTGTTCCATGATGGCAGTGGGCTCTTTCAGAAGGATAATGCACCATGCCACACTGTAAAATTGATCAGGAATGGTTTGAGGAACATGATAAAGAGGTCATGGTGTTGCCTTGGCCTACATATTTCCCAGACCTCAATACAAATGAGCAGCTGTAGGATGTGCTAGAAAAACAAATATGATCCATAGATAACCCACCTTGCAACTTGCAGGACTTAAAGGGTCTGCTGCTAATGTCTTGGTGCTAGATACCACAGGACATGATCAGAGGTCTTGTGGATATTTCATGTCTTGACAATTCAGAGCTGTTTTGGCAGCACGAGGGGGACCTACACAATATTAGGCAGGTAGTTTTAATGTTGTGACTGATCAATGAAGGTTTATTAGACATACACATTTAAAACTTGAGACTTGAATAACTGGTCTTGGCACTTTAAGCACCATAACCATTACAGCTTGTTGTAGTCATTCTGGTGCAAGGCTCTGGGTGCAGCCATTTTGTTTTGTTCTTATTTTAACATTGTTGTTTCCACTTACCCTTTTCTCTTATTTCCTTGTTTATTATAGCAGTTTAATAGATTTCTATAAAATGCTTGGAACCAATTTAATGTTAGAATTGCCCGTCTAGTCTTTTTATAGAATATAATGCCTGATGTGCATATGAAATATGTCATAATGGGCCCATGTCAGCTGATTTCCATCACATGTTTTCTTTAGGTTCTATATTAAAATTCACCTTATTGTGTTCGTCCATATTTGTGCCCCGAAAAATAACTTGTGTGAAGAGAATGATTGTAATGGAAACCTAAGCACCATATTATTCTGACCGTGCTTTTTCTTTCAGAGCACTCCCCCTATGTACAATGTGAGAAATATGAAGGTCCCAACTGCCCTGTGGACTGGAGGCAATGACTGGCTAGCAGACCGCAAGGATATTGCCATGTTGCTTACACAAGTCAGTAATTTGGTTTATCACAAGGAGATTCCAGAATGGGAACATCTAGATTTCATCTGGGGATTAGATGCACCTTATCGCATGTACAACGAAATCCTCGAATTGATGAAAAAATATCCGTGAATATTTCTACAGTCAGGTGCTAGAACACTCCTCTAGTATTGGCATTTGAAACTGGAAATCTTAACCAAGGACTGTCTTCCAACTATTGCAGACTTAACTCAGGTGCTTTTGCTAAATGTTGATTTTTAAAGGTATGGCTACAAAATGAATGAGTATATCCAGGGCCAATCAGAAAGTAATGTTTGACCCTATATTGCTAGAGGATCACATTGTCAAGCCATACTTATACCAAGTGCGCTGCTGCTACATATTTTATAGGTGACCAATAGTAATTTGCAGTAACTGAGCAAAAGGCATATATCAAAAACTTTCACTCAGGACTCCATGCCTTACGTTACTGTGCTTTTAACGGTGTCCTATAATGCAAACAGTATTTCATTTTCAAGGTGCCGAATATCACTGAACCAAAATGCCATTACTCCTTTCTGACGCTACTCTATGGAGCCAGAACCACTATTGCATCACTCTAGTTAAAGAGTATTTTGTGTCTTGATAAAACATATTTTGATATTTTTCTTCCCATGAATATCATTTTGATTTGATGTAGGAATATTTTGTTTTGTATTAACTTTGCAACTGATGTGATGTTTACAACGGACTATCAGTCATCTCATTGATAGTCTAAGATACAATTATTTTCTAGTAGTCGGCAGGGCAGGTGATCTGCCAAATGATACTGATAAACTACTGGATCAACTGATAATCCATCTGAAAGCATGAATCACCTGCAAAATTAGGTACTGATTGTATTCTAAACCAAATATTCTATTTCTTCCTCAAAGCATAGCTGCTGCAAGTGAAAGAATGGTTTGCGCAGTGTGAATGTTCTCAGGTAGTTCAGGTGTTCAAGTCAAAATCTAAAAAGCTATTTCTACCATTATTATTATTATTTTTTTATTTAGATTCTTACAGGACCCCTATTTGCCTTATAGAAGGAATTGTGATATGGTTGTTTGAGACTGGATTATATGGAGCCACATAAAGAATAGCATACACTGTAAACAAGGAATGCTAGCTCTTAACTATATCTTCCCTGGCCAGAAATTGGTGATTATATGACCATCAGAATTTAGTCATTAGAAATAGGAAATGGTACTTCTGTGTCTTTTTTTTTTTTTTTTAGCACTGGAAGGTAAAGTAAATAAATATCTTGGATTGTAAAAATGGTTTTTTGTATTTAAAAAAAAACAAAAAAACAATCACATGAAATTCTGTCATTTAAAGGAGCACTATAGGGTCCGGAACACAGGCATGTATTCCTGACCCTATAGGGATAAAACCACCATCTAGCCACCCTGGTCCCCTCATGCCTCCCTAAATGTAGTCAAGTCTGCAGCTGCTTACTTAGTCCCAATTTCCTTTAGACCTGCCCACCGCACAAGTCAAACCCAGCCTTGGCCAATCAGCATCTCCTCATAGAGATGAATTGAATCAATGAATCTCTATGAGGAAAGTTCAGTGTCTACATGCAGAGGGTGGAGACACCATGTTTGGATGAAATTTAGGCAGCAATGACCCAGGAATGCTCTCTAACAGCTGAGGAGTGGCCGGCGAAGTTATCATTAGGCTGTAATGTAAACAATGCATTTTCTCTGAAAAGAGTGTTTACAGCAAAAAGCTTAAAGGTAATGATTCTACTCACCAGAACAATTTAAATAAGCTGTAGGTGCATGACATGTGTGACATGTCATGATTCCCTTTTATTCCAGAAGTTTGGTCCTTAAGGGGTTAATGTGCTTTGCACTGGCTAAATTTGTTTGTAAAAATACTATTTATTTTTTTTAAATAGGTTTTTATACCATGCATTGTGGTAATGTATGCGTTGGAACAATTGCACGGGCATAGCTGTAATGTACATCTCTGTGTGAAAAGGGGGCGAATCTAGAGGATGCGTATGAGACCGTCAGTTTTGGTTAAATCACTTAAAGGGACACTATAGTCACCTGAACAACTTTAGCTTAATGAAGCAGTTTTGGTGTATAGAACATGCCCCTGCAGCCTCACTGCTCAATCCTCTGCTTTTTAGGAGTTAAATCCCTTTGTTTATGAACCCTAGTCACACCTCCCTGCATGTGCCTTGCACAGCCTTCCATAAACACTTCCTGTAAAGAGAGCCCTATTTAGGCTTTCTTTATTGCAAATTCTGTTTAATTAAGATTTTCTTATCCTCTGCTATGTTAATAGCTTGCTAGACCCTGCAAGAGCCTCCTGTATGTGATTAAAGTTCAATTTAGAGATTGAGATACAATGATCTAAGGTAAATTACATCTGTTTGAAAGTGAAACCAGTTTTTTTTTTCATGCAGGCTCTGTCAATCATAGCCAGGGGAGGTGTGGCTAGGGCTGCATAAACAGAAACAAAGGGATTTAACTCCTAAATGACAGTGAATTGAGCATTGAAATTGCAGGGGAATGATCTATACACTAAAACTGCTTTATTTGGCTAAAGTAATTTAGGTGACTATAGTGTTCCTTTAAACAGTTTGCCCAAGAAACTGGGCTTAACTCCATAATCGCTACACGGCGTGCCTAGACCTTTAACCCCCTAAGGACCAAACTTCTGGAATAAAAGGGAATTATGACATGTCACACATGTCATGTGTCCTCAAGGGGTTAAAGCAGTACTCAAAACAGATTACTATAGTTTATCTAAGTAAGCTATGGAACACGTATCTGTCATTCCTGCTCTTAGATCTGACAGTTTTTGAGGAGGTGGACATTTTCCATTTTTTTTAAACCGATCGGTAAATGTTAATAAATAAAAAAAAATATATATATATATATATTTTTTAAAGTCTGCGTGAGAGCATGTGATGCCAGCACAAAATGAGAACCTGGTAGCTGAGCGGATTTAACAGTACATGGAAGAGAAAATTGGCGAATGCTAGAAATTAGCTGATCTGCTGTTAAATAGATCACACAGAATCAGGATCTAATTATTGTTGTTCCTTAAACAGATTGAAAAGGGTACACTCCACTGCCAAACTATCACAAACCACGCTTTAATTATGCTTTTATTTTCATTTGGCCATATATAAAAACAGCTTGCAGTTCTCTTGTCTGCAGCCTTTGCAAGTCATCCCCTTCTAACCCGCCCAGACTTTCTGTATCCGTCCAATCACATACTTACCAATACAGCTAAATCAGAAGTCTTTGCAAGACTCTGGGCAATTGCTGTCTCTCTACCAAACATCCTGGCAGTAATAGGACCAGCTGCCTCATTGACAGACAGGTGGATGTAACAAATTTCTAGAAGTGTCAATTTCTAATCTATTTCTGAAATGATTGTATTAAAACATTTAAATATATTGATAATATTTTAATGTTTGTCAAATCACCAGTTTTGAAGTAGATGTCCAAAGAAATTTAGCTTTTCATTTGATGGTATGAACCGGTCAGATTTTAAAGTTGTATTTCTTAATCTTCCCGTTTAATTTGGTAAAATCATTTCGCCAAACAAGTTCCATTGTTTTACACACCTCCTTTGATTTGGTAACCAGTGAATGTTTACAGTAGCGCAGGAATGTTAAGAAACACTGTTCCATTAATTTAAAGTCTAATAGTAATTATTATGGCAGAAACATTGAAGTTCAAGGTGTAGTGTCTGTTAAAGCAAACAAACAATCTTTCATGCAGGCTGTGTTTACAGTTGGCACATATTCATAAGTGGAGAACATCAACCATATTGGCCCTCTGTGTCATGAGAGATGCAAATGTAAGAGATGAAATGATAAAACAATTGCTAGCTTTTACTCTTAATCTTTTGGCAGTTACGGTTATCATAAATATATAATGTTACCCTTCAGTATGTAGAACAACTGTGTTTAAAAACAGGTTTTCCAGAAGACCTAAGTAGCGGAAAACTGGCCTGGTAACATAAGTTCATATGCGGAGCCCTAAAACATTCTCTACTAGTTACCTGGAATCAAAAGGTGGGGTATGCTCCAATCATTATTTCAAAGGGCATATTTGGGAAGACTATGGTGTCCACCTTATGTTTTAAGAATAACAAGCATGCTCATGTAAATGAGGTTATCCAAAAGCAGCCCATGTGACATAGAACCACACATGCCAGTTCATCAACGTGGAAAAGAATCATGGACACAACTCATGCAGGTAAATGGAATTATTCAGGTTTAATACTTTTAGACTACAAGGTTCTGCTTGCGTCTTAAAGTGAGCGATGGGAGTAGTTGACTAGACTGCAGATTTAAATATTTTCTCTGATATTGTATATAAACATTTATATACTCTTAACACATTTTTACTGAATCGTGTATGTATATATTTATATGTAAAAAATAAAAAAAAAAATTCTGAATTGCACGAGAGTTAATTCATAGGTTCTGTGTTTTTGGATTAACCATTCTGTAATGCTATTTTTGTGCTTTCATCGCTATACAAATCTGTTTTGGAATACAGTTTTTAATTCAATCATTGTTCCACTTTTTAAAATATCCATGACCTTTTTTGATTAATCAAGCAATAAATAATTTTATAAATATTTATTACAAAACTGTGTGAGTGTAAAGTGTTTTACAAACGTAATTTAAAAATGCATTTGTGTTTATTAGAGAAAACATTTGTATAGATTGCAAAACTTGGCAGGTCTCTAGGCAGGGTCAGCATTTTGAAAATTGTACTTCATAAACCTGGAATTCCAGGGAACATTAAACTGATATAAGTGACAAAATATGCTATGATCAAACATTTATAGCAAGGAAAACCTATTATAACAAACATCCAATACAAAACAATGCTATTTCTGTAATATTTTGTACAGTGCATTTCCCTTAAACATTCTAATAAGAATATGTGCTTCAGAAATGTTGGATTGTGTGTAATGTGTGGGGACTATTCTCAAAATGGGTTGTAGATTACTTTATATATGCAACAAATCAGGACAGAATAGTGACTTAATTGAAAACCAAGTAGTGCCAGTGGCTTGTACGTTCTACCTTTTGATTATTAATTCTGTGAGATTTGAAGTAAGTGAAGCAAACCTATGATGCACCGATATTTGCACAAACGCAGATAACCCATAAATTAAACTATATGAAAGGTAACACTATCAGAATTATTTGCAAAAAAAAAAAGTGAATTTCAAATTTTAAGATCGAAATAGATTAACAGGAAAAATTGTCTAATGCAGCTATGTTTTCAGTTCGGCTACATTTGGTCTTAAATTTGGAATTCACTTTAGTAACTAACCCAGTTTGTCTACTCCTTTTGTCATACATCCTTCTTACAATTTATTAGAGTAGGGCCTTCCTCTATTTCAGTTTAGATAGGCTAGTATTTTTTTCATTTATATATATATTTTTTTTTTAATTGCTTGCAGCCTTTCAGAAGGATTGGCTAGCCCAAAAGGTCCGTAATAAGCAATTTTATCATTTATCAATGCAGAAATCCAGATATGCCATTAAAAACCGTGAGTACACCGGAGAAAAAATGTGCTCAAACAGTTTCCGTAAACTAAACTATTTGCACAGTAAAACCCTCTAAAGAGACCATTTTCAAAGACACACGCAATATTAAATAGACATCCAACATTAACTTCTGTCTCAAAGAGAACATTACAGTATGTACATTTCTAAGTGTGACCAGTGCACAGAGAGAGACGCATAGCTACAGACCATTCAACTTCCATTTCAGGATGACTTCTTTAGGGAGCTCATGATTTTGGTGAATTTTAACCTCGTTGCAATATCCATTGGGCTCTCTCCATCCTTTACAAAAAATAAAATAAAGATTTACAAAGTATTTCAATACTTTCTTTCAGTGTGTCCAGCTCTTTAAGTTCACCTATAGGTTTGTTAGTACCCCTATTGTAGAGCTGTGGAATATGCTTTTTAAAATTATATAAACACACACACCTGATAAGAATGAACCAAAGCTAACCTTTTTATTAACCCCTTAATGACCAAACTGTTTTCAATTTTCTTACCGTTAAGGACCAGGGCTGTTTTTACATTTCTGTGGTGTTTGTGTTTAGCTGTAATTTTCCTCTTACTCATTTACTATACCCACACATATTATATACCTTATCTTCTCTAAAGATATTATTTTCATCATATACTATACTTTTTTAATAAAATTAAAATAGAAAAAGTGTTTAACTTTGACCCCCAAAATCTGTTACACATCTACAACCACCAATACACATTTAAACGGACATTATAGGTGCCTAAACACCTTTAGCTTAATGAAGCAGTTTTGGTCTACACATCATGCCCATGCAGTCTCACTGCTCAATTCTCTGCCATTTAGGAGATAAATCACATTGTTTATACAGCCCTAGTCACACCTCCCTGCAGGTGACTCACACAGCCTTCCTAAACACTTCCTGTAAAGAGACATCTAATGTTTAAACTTCCTTTGTTGCACATTCTGTTTAATTAAGAATTTCTTATCTCATGTACTGTTAATACCCCGTTACAGGAGCATCCAGTATGTGATTAAAGGTCAACTTACAGAGAAGGAGATAAGAGCTTATAGAGCAAAACATCTTTCTTTTTTTTCCATGCAGGCTGTGTGAGCCAGGGCTGCATAAACAGAGACGGAAGTGATTTTACTCCTAAATGGCAGAGAATTGAGCACTGAGACTTCAGAGGCTTAAGTGGTATTGATGCTTAGTGTCACTTTAAGTACACCTCACAATCTGTATTTTATACTTGCCTTGTTCTTTAAATACGGATCTGCTTGTGCGTCAATAAGAATTGGTACAATAGTTTGACTTTTCATCTTGCATGCATAATAAAGAGCAGTGTTTCCTAGCTGAAACAAAAGATATTTACGTTAATTTTTCAAATTAAGCTTTCAGTACTTTACTAGTGAACATACAACCCAATGTTCAGTTCCTATAGAAATGGGTTTTAAGCATGTTCTAGATTAAAGTCCAAATAAAGATATGGCTTTAATGTACAATTGAGAAGCTTTGACAACTATTAAACATATGTATCATACAGACATATATTTGATAATAAACTAACAGGAAAACCAGCAACACTTATCTTATCATTTTGCAATTACCTAATTAATTATTCATGATTACAAATCATCACATATATATTCTTGTGTTCCAGCTTGCTGCCTAGAAACATTTTGCTTGAATGAAGGTCCAGAGAGAGAGGTAGTAACTAGAAAGGTTATTCTCTAACCCTGTAAATGTCCACAATTTACAATATATTAATTTTTTTAGGCCAAAATAGCTAAACTGTATTTCCCTCCCCCTCCCCCCCATTTTAACTATTGTAAGTAAATATTAGCAATTCCCTTGCTAAAGGGTTACTCAAACTTTTTTTTTTTTTTTAAACCTAATTTTGTATTTAAACAAATATTGCCCCATTGGGCATTATTCATTAGGTCCACTATCCAATTGCTAACAAAAGAATTAAAAAACAGTGGCAGGCAAACTTCCCGGAGCTGTTCAGTACACCCCCATCTGATGTCATTGCAGCTGCTGCGGGGACTTATCAAATGTTTCTCATAGGGAAGCTCTGAGCTAGAGGGATGGAGGGAGCAGGGATCTTAAAAAAAAAATAAATACATTTAAATGGAGCTTATATGGACACAGGGGGGCTGCAGTGAAGAAAGGAAGACACAAGCTTCCCCCTTGCAGAAGTAGAGCATTGAAGTGTGCATTGACGGCTGACGTAAAGTTTGCACAAAATCAACACTTGGCAGTCTGCACCAAAGTTCTGGGCAGCCAAAGTCACATGTACCGGGGGGTGTAATTAGCCCACAGCACAAAAGTGCAAATATACCCATATATAAAAGACTGGCTTGAAAAAGGGAAGTTTCTTTTCAAGCCAGTTTTAAAGGATTGGCCAATAGAGTCAACGGACCGCTGCCCAATTCTGCTAGAACCTTCTGTTTTAAAGAATTTTGGAAAACGGAAGGGCAAAGAGGCAGAGATTCAGCGTTGGAACATAGACTTTTGGGTTAAACCATTCTCAAATTCTCGAGTCAGCGTCAGGGACCTTCAGGCACCATAACTTAATTTTGATAAAGTAGTTATCGTGCCTAAACAGTCCCTTTAACTTTGTGTTATTTCAATGAAAAACACAAAACCGTACTGCAAATTACTCATGCACTCCCATATTTTGTGTCACCGGATTACATAATCCATGCTAGATTTTAGAGAGACTCTTAAATTTAAAGCAACACTGAATGCTTCTGTAACATCCAATTATTTGCGTGTACACAAATTTTAGATTTTGCCATCTTGGTGCATGTTTGCAACAGGCAGGGTTATTCAGTAAGATGAGAATTCAAAGAATTTAAAATTTAAGATCAGAGAAGCTGAATGGAAAGTATAGCTGACTATTTCCAGTTGGTTATTTTGATCTTAAATTTACCCTGAATTCTGACTTTCGTGAATATCCCTAAATTAGATAAATACTATATGCTTCTGGTGGAGTTACTAAACATATTTTTCATTTACTTTTTTGTGAGATTAATGGTATGCATAAAAGACGTTGGTTGCCCTTTGGCTAATAATGTTCTAGCATTGTGTTTGGAGAACTCCTACGCAAATAGGATGAACCTAAAATGTCAACACTGTAACGAGCAAGCAAATCATTTCAGCTAGGAAAACAAGCACATTATATTCTCTTGACTGGCAAAACAGAATGTCATGGTTAAAGACTAAGATACCATGTGATACGGTTTGTAAATGCACTTTCCAAATGGAATGCTTTCTGACTTAGGAGCTTTCAATGCTACTTCTTATCTGTTCCCCAAGGAAAACCATTGTGTTGCTTCTGGAACATTCTGATCAATTATCAGATCAAAAACAGGCCATTTGATGCACTCAACGCATGATGAAACCGATATACACAGTTACTAATGTGTTCATTTAAGCATATGAGATCACCAGCACCAGTCAATCATTATTAGGATGATGACGCGGTCAGCAAGGGAAATATGAGGTTAAGTGACTCATCTGTGGATTTACAGTAAGAGAGACAACAAGAAATGATCAATGGGCCTATTAACAAAACATGATATGGACAGCATCAGAAAAAATTCATTCTTCATTTCAAAAAAAATTGGCATAAACCTAGACTCACGGGAAAGCTGAGTTTTCCAGAGATGTATCCCACCAATTATTTGTATACTGGTATAATGCAGCTTTAACTTAAGGCATAGCGCTGGCTAAATCAACATATTGTAAAAAGCGTGATATGGATTTTTGAATTGGAAAAGAAGAAGCAGTAGGGGCTAAACAGCTGGTGAATCAAACACCCTTGAGATAGCTCCAAAGTGAGAAGCTGAAGGTCATATCACGGATCGACATGTGTGTCGTTTATTGTCAGATTCTATTTTACCATTTGAGCTGTAGAAATGTAAGGTGTTTATAAACCTCTATGTCTTCCGATGTTATCCAAATGTAATTCCCATTATTGGCAGTCAGACTGCAATTAGACATTTGCTTTTCTCTGAAAGTGCGGAGGGAAGAATATATTTAAATTTTTTTATTTTTTTTTTAAATGTAAAGGTACAATGGGATCATATCCTTTTGTGACTTGAGACAGAATTTGAGGGGATACCCACTCCTCCGAGTTATTCAATACTATCAGGGACCAGTCTGGTGTGGCGCATCCTCTTGCCTGTAGTGTCTTTCCCGTCTACGCACTCTGTGGCCGAACTGTAATGCAGTCTTTTTCCTGATGCTGGCTGACGCAAATCGGAGCTCTTAGATGGCTACACCTTCCCTGACCCAATAAGTTGCGTGAATGTGCACACACCACGCACATTCTGGGGTCACATGACCACTAATAACCAATTACTGCCTCCTAGGGCTACATAAGCTCATTTGGCCATTATGTTGAGCCCTGTCGTGGTTTTTCTTCGTTGTTATCCTAAAGTGTGTTTTCTATAGTTGTATCTAAGTTATCGGACCCCGGCTTGCATCTTGACCATTCTGCATTCTATTATCCTTAAACTTTGGCTTGTCTACATATTCTCTGTGTCCCTGACCGGTCTTTCTTGTACTATTCTATATAGCATTAAGCTTAGCTACTCTAAGGCCCGAAATACGCTTTTGCATTCTGGTTTATTTTTGTTCACTTAAGTTCTGTGTGTTGGATCATAGTCCATGCGAGAATGTTATCTGACAATTTGGGAACAGGTTGGTATATTTGCCACTGCAAACAAAGGAACAAAATAACTTTGAGTCCCAAATATAAGGGGATACCATCACTGGGATAAGTTAGATGCACCAGTCCTCATTTTAATTGTCTCCTAAGCATCTGGTTGGAGTGGATTTCTCTTACCTTGATCTCTTCTCCTGGGTTATCATTCCTTCTGCATGTATAGGTCTACTTATAATTGAATACCTTAACTACATCCCATGTTTATTTGTGCTTGTATTACTAATCAATATAAATATATTTTGTAAGACCAGAGAACCCCATGTCTGTTTAGTGTATTAGTACGGCCCATGGACATGACTGCCCTTCCAAAAAAAAGCTGATGGAACAGTGTAAAAAGGTAAACTCTGGGCCAGTTTTAAACCAGTGTTTTTGAGGTTAAAGAAAATCATGTACTTAGAAATAATGAACTTGACGGACATGTGACTTTTTTAAATCCATCTCAATTAATAAGCAAATAACGACGTAGGACTGATATGTGATTAATATTAATGTGGAGTCCGGTTTTAGGGTAATTGGTGGGGGGAACCTTATTGTATCTTCAAGGCTCCATGCTGTCTGCCACTGGCTCTAGTGGCCCAGTATGAAATGCAAATAACTATAAGAACATTTATTCTAATATGACCTTGCAAAATGAGCCATCCATACATTTATTGTCCATCGGTGAAAGTCAGGAAAGTCTGATTACTGTGTATAAATCATATGGCAGGAATTTATGGTTTACTGGAATTCGGTGTATGATATTGGAATGGGAATTTGTAAGACGTTTGTACATAAGAATTCTAAAAATACTTACATAATCTTGCACATTAACATCCACTCCATACTCTACTAACAGCCGTATTAGTTTCTCATTCTGCTTGGTCTTTGAAATCTGTTTTACAAAAAAATAAGCTTTGATCAGAACCCACATTTGGAAACTATACACAGTGAAGAAATTAAAGGAATGTATTAAGAAATACTAAGAAACACAAGATATAACTCCGTGATTTAATCCAAAAGTAATCTGTGGTGAAATTAATAATACTTTGTAAAATGGATACTTTACCCAAATTGGCTAAATTTGTTTAAACTTTGCAATTGTGTTGTGAAGACATATTTTTGCTTCGCTAGTCATTGGTATATTGGGGGAAACAAGCAGGAGATTTTAGTTTGTATGCAGGGTTCTCCAAACATTCTGTGTCTGTTTCAGTCTAAAATATACAATATATGCAGAGCTGTGAGATTGTCAGGTTTACACGGTTAAATAATATTAAAGGACCACTCTAGGCACCCAGACCACTTCAGCTTAATGAAGTGGTCTGGGTGCCAGGTTCTTCTAGGGTTAACCCATTTTTTAATAAACATAGTTTCAGAGAAACTGCTATGTTTATTAATGGGTTAAGCCTTCCCCCTAATCCTCTAGTGGCTGTCTCATTCACAGCCACTAGAGGCGCTTGCGTGCTTCTCACTGTGATTTTCACAGTGAGAGCACACCAGCGTCCATAGGAAAGCATTGAGAATGCTTTCCTATGTGACCGGCTGAATGCGCGCGCAGCTCTTGCCGCGCGTGCGCATTCAGCCGACGGGGCGGAGAGAAGGAGGATCGGAGGAGGAGAGCTACCCGCCCAGCGCTGGAAAAAGGTAAGTTTAAACCCCTTTCCCCTTTCCAGAGCCGGGTGGGAGGGGGACCTCAGGGCACTATAGTGGTCCTTTAAAGGAAAAGGAATCTGTGTTACTAACCCTATAGTGCTCTCCTCTTATTAAATTTAGCCTACCCCCACCAAAATATGAATAAAAAAAATAAAAATTAATAAATGCATATTACTTCTCTTTTTTCCAGCACCAACAGAGTGCAGTTGTTCAATACGCCTCCCGCGACATCACAGCAATGCTTCTAAAAGGTTTATTCCAATGTTCCGTATTGGAGACAAAAAGTGCATGCGTGCCCAGCTCCTCTGATAAATCAGAGGTTAGCTGTGAGAACCAAGTTTGAGTAGGTTCTTACTCAGACAGCCACTAGAAGCGTATTTAACCCTACAAAGCTTTACATTGCAGGGTTAAAACTAAAGGACCAATGCACCCAGATCACTTCACTGAAATTAAGTGGTCAGGGTGCTCTTTGGTTGGCTTTTCAGGAGAAAGGTAAAACTAACCCTTATTTGAAATAGTCCTCTTTAAATGAAAATACCATATGGTCCACCAAATTTATCACTGGTATGCTAAAGCTTGCAGTGGCAGGTAACTTTTAAGGCTAGGCGAGTAGTATAGGATTTCAAATGTTAAGCCTTGTATATTATACTATACACTGATCAGCCACAACTTTAAAGCCACCTGCCTAATATTGTGTAGGTTCCCCTTGTGCTGCCAAAACACTTCTGAAGCGTTGCGGCATGGACTCTGCAAGACCACTGAATGTGTCCTATGGTATGTGACACCAAGATATTAGCTACAGATCCTGTAAGTGCTGCAAGTTGCTAGATGGGACCTCCATGGATCGGATTTGTGGTTCCAGCACATCCCACAGATGCTCAACTGGATTGAGATCTGGGAGATTTGGAGGCCAATGCAACACCTTGTAATGTTTCTCAAACCATTCCTGAACTATTTTTGCAGCGTAGCAGGGTGCATTATCCTGCTGAAAGAGGCCAGACTTAGGCCCCCCGGCAGCAATGCAGAGCAGGCACCTGCCTGCCCAAAACGGCAGGTGCCTACTCTGCTTTCGTATCGTTGGTGGGATGGATGGAGGGCTGCGAGGGAGCACTGACTTAAGCGCTGTTCCAGCACTGCTCCCTCCACTGATGCCGCCGGGAGACAGGAAATTACGTCTATCAGGCGGCGCCACCTTATTGACGTCATTTCCTGTCTCTCGGCGGCATCAGCAGAGGGAGCAGTGCTGGAACAGCAGGTAAGTCAGTGCTCCCTTGTGCCCTCACCTCCTCACAGCAGCGGAATGGAATCAGATGCTGGTGGAGAGAAAGAGGAGGAGAGGCTAGGGAGAGGGGGGGAAGGAGGTGCTGGGGGGGAACACATGATCAGGTCCCTTTTAAAAGAAGCAAATAAATAAGGAAATGTGATCGTCAGAACCCCCAAGTAACCATGTGGTCTTCACCTTTCCTCTCTTTGTCAGCAGTGTGCAAAGGGTTAATTTACTAGGAAAGAGCAGTACGATTGTTAAAAAAAAAACTAAAAAAAACAAACACTTTCATCCCATTTTTACAAAGATGACTTCGGCATCTTCAAGCCCTCGTGCCCATCTGCTGTGCTAAATTACAGTTATTTAAATAGCGTCAACATACTCCATAGCACTGTACAATAAGTAAACAAGACAAACATGTTTGTAAGCTCATTTAGACAGGACCTTCTTTTCTTACTAATCCTGTATGTCAGTCTAAATCCATATAATAATTAAAATGTGGAACACCTAGTCCATTGGTCTCCGTATACTTTTGTACCACCGGTTTACAATATATATTTCAGAGCCAGGCGTCCAAAATCTACTTGGAACACATACACACATAGTGGTTAATCCTCTTGATCAAAAGTGCCTTTTTCTGTCCCAGACCATGTGGCCAGATATTCTCAAGTGTTGGAAACCTACTAGAAAAAAAAATTACTTGTTTTTACCTCCCTAGCGATCATCCTACCTTAAAACAAACAAACAAAAAAATATAAACCCACACTACATTAATTCTTAAAGTTATTAGAAGTACAAGTAAATCTGTAAAATAAAATGTTATACTTTCAGTAAACATCACATCTTCCAACCATTGAATAAATCTTTGTAAAGAAAATTCCTACAGGCTAGGAGTTACCATGGAATAAATTGGCATACTATGAAAAAAAACCCAAAAAAACACTTATCAGTGTGCACTTACCATGATAAGATATCCAACAAGCAAAACCGGCATTAAAATAATTATTAGCAGGTAGTCCAGGAATGTAAATCTTCGTCTTACAGCATAGTGCAAACATGTCCTTTCTTTCTGCAGGCATAGTAATGGGATAAAACAAACAGTAGGTCACCTTCACCTGCCATTTAACTTGAAATAAATATTCTTGAATAACTGAAATGTGGTTAACTGTTTTTGCAATCATAAAAAGATTGTAGTTCTACAAAAGTGGATTATATAAAACTTGATTTTGATTTATAGGTCTGGTTTCCAAAAGTAATATGTATATAGGATTGTTTGTAATTAAAAAAAACAAAAAACAGCCTGCTGCAAAAGCGGATTCCAAACTGTGCACTTGAACAAAAAGTAGTAATCTTTCTTCAATAAAGAGGACAGTAGTTATCAATCTTGGACACTTTGAATTTATTTACTAAACCAGGGGATTGGCAACGGGATAGTCATTTCTGGACAATAGAGCAGAGCTAAAGAATGTATCTATTTTTAGTTTTTGCCAAGTCTCTACAATACCTGGCAATCACTACTCATCACAGGTTTGCAGCCAAAAAAAACTCTGTAGATGAACTGCAATAATGTTATCTACTGATCAATGTACACGACACTATGTGCCAATATCCTAAAACAATTACACCATTAATACGGTAGAATGTCCCCTAGGTAGAAGGCGTGCCCAACAATGCATTCTAACCAAAATTTATACCACGTTTAAACATTTATTCCATACTTTGCAAAGTTTTTCTTCCTTTATTTTGTTTGTATATTTGCTTAAAGTGTTTGCTTGGTTGTTTAAAAAAAAAAAAAAAGCAAAAGGTTGAGTGATGAATGTTCATGTCCATTTAAGCCCAAGAGTATTTGTTCTTCAGGATTTGATTGGGAACCAAATTAACATGTAAGAGTGTACAAGCAGTGTATTGAATTATGAAATCACATTGTGAGAACATTGATAGATTTAGTACTTACATCATTTGTGAGGTTTATATCCGCTTTCATGGACAGTAAATAACTTGCCACTCGAACGTGTCCTTTTTTACAGGCACATATCAGAGGAGTATCTCCCCCAAAGCGATCACGTACATTTAAGACTTTGATGTCTTCATCTAGCAAGAGCTTGACTTCATCTAGGTTATTCTGATATGAAGCTTGGCAGATTGGCTAAGAAAACAAAAAAGCAAACACAACATTAGCATGGCACAGATCTAGAATTACATTGTACATCAAAGAGGAGCTATCCCCAAAGAGAACATGACAGAATGTAAGAGGTTTATTTCCTAAAAACAGAGTTGTACCAAACCAATTATCAACATATTGTGAGCAAGCTACAATTGTATCCCTTTAATTAGGAATTTAGTGCGGTTTTAATAAGTGGTGTAATGTGTAATATCGGTTTATATAGATATAAATTTGCAATGGTCTTTCTCATACAAAGTAAGGGAACATAATCCAGAGGGTTTGTTTTAGACATTCTATTTTATTAAAGCAGATGTCACTTTCGAGGATCTTGTATTTTTCATAAATTTCCAAAAATCAACAGATCCAGTGTAGGTCTGGTGGCCGCGGGGGGCAGGTGAAGTAAGCTTTATTTATCTTGAGCTGCCCCTTGTGGTGCAGCCCTTTTCTGCTCCTGGTGCTTCTTTTGCAAGGTGATGGATCAGCACAGAAGCCTATGAAGGATACAAGTCCATGGTAGCCTCCCTAGGTCCATGTCTGAATCCCACAGCCATTAAATGTGAATGGACGGAAGTTGATGGTGGAGCTCTGCCTTTTGTTAAACCTACTTTGTCTTATATCGTTTTTGGATTGCGTTGGAATTTCAGTGAAATTCCAACAAAATCTCGATCAGTATTTCATAAAGATTTTATCTGCATAAAATACTGAAAAGTGACAGAGCCACTTAAATATTTAATATTTTTTAAAACTTGTTCAACATAAAGCACAGGTTCACCATTACCATTTGCAGGGTCCAGGCCCTATTCACATATACATAACAAGTCCCTTTAATCCAACAGGGCATACATAAAAATATTTATCCAATCACATACATATAATTAGCCAGAAACACATACATAACTTGCTACTCTGCAACACATTCACACAAGCATACACAGACACCCTAAAATGCATAGATACATGTTGACATGCATACATACAGATATAAAAAGTCACACAAACACTATCAGAGTTTGTGTGACAGTCCCAATTTTCAGCTCCTGTCCCACGATTTCGACTTTGGGGACACTAGGGAAGTGTTCCCAACAAGTGTAGCGTAAGCACATCATTAATCCACTAGCTCATAAGCTCATTGAGCAGCGCCCTCAACCCCTCTGTTCCTGTGCATCCAACCCATCTGGTCACATATACTTGTTTGTTAGTGCACCCATTGTACAGCGCTGCGTAATTTGTTGGCGCTTTATAATAATAATAATAATAATAATAATAATAATAATAATAATAATAATAATGCTTGTACTAGGTTTAAGGCACTAGGACTATACTATAACAGTACTCCCTGCAGAGTACACAAACAAAATTAACAATAATACATAAACACGCAGATATGAAATAATAGATAAACTAGCAATGAAAGAAAAAAAAAGAAAAGAAAAAAAAAAGAAATGACCTAATTCGAGTGTATGTAAATTAGTACGTATGCATGTCAGTGATTGTGTCTGACACGCATACACTAGCAAATCCAAAATTCTAATATCATTCCCTCTACTCTTTGGAAAGAAGTGGGAAAGCTCCAGACTACTGTCCCTGGAGTCCAGAAAAGGCTAGTATTGACCAACACATGCTTTCCTCTTACTTTCCCTGCATGCTCTGCTAGCACAGATTGTGTGTGCCAGGATATGATGTCACATCTAAGCACCTGCTTGCACAGAGGTGGAAGCCTGTGTGAGTGCAACTCCCACACCAGCAGGGTCCCTTAAAGTATGAGTCCCAGGTCCAGAGCAAAGGTCTCCATGCTTTCTATATGCTGAACATAGAGCAGAGTCTGCTCTGATTCTTGTAACTGCTTGGAAACTTGGCATTACTTTTTGCCCTGGCAGCTGTATTTCAATCTTCTCTCTGAATTTACCACTTTAGTTGGTTCTAGTTTAACCGAATTCCAACACAGCCATACATTACTTCTGTTTATTTAGATTTCTTGCACTATTGTACATTATAACTTAGAGAGAGATACCCAGCATTAAAATAACACCTGCCTAATATCGTATAGGTGCCCCTCATGCTGCCAAAATAGCTCTGATTCATAAAGATATGGACTCCACAAGACTTCTGGAAGTGTCCTGTGGTATGTGGCACCAAGACATTAGCAGCAGATACTTTGTCTTGCAAGCTGTGAGGTGGGGTCTCTATGGATGGGATTTGCTGTTCCAGCACATTCTACACATGCTCAAAAATCGGATTGAGATCTGGGGAATTTGTAAGCCAAGGCAACACCTTGATTCTTTGTCATGCTCCTCAAACCATTTCCGAAATTTTTTTGCATCAGAGAACATCATTGCCATGAAGGGGTGCAACAATACTTAAGTACGTGGTATGTGTCAAATTAATATCCACATGAGTGCCAAGACCCAAGATTTCACAGCAGTACATTGCCCAGAGCATAATACTGGCTCGCCAGCCAGCCCTAAACCCATATTGCATCCTGCTGCTATCTCTTCCCAGGTAAATGACACGCACATCTGGCCAGCCACCTGATTTAAAAGAAAACTAGATTCATCAGACCAGGCAACCTTCTTCCACTGCTCCATGGTCCAGTTCTGACGTACACATCCCCATTGAAGATGCTTTAGGTGGTGGGCAGGGGTCCCCATGAGCACTCTGGCCGATTTGAGGGTACTCGGCCCCATATTTGATGCACTATGTGTTCTGACACCTTTTGATCGTGGCCAGCATTCGTTTTGTTTAAGCAATTTGAGCTACAGTAACTCTTTCATGTGATCTGACCAAATGGCCTTCGTTTCTCATGTTCATCAATGATCCTTGGACGTCCATGACACGGAGGCCGGTTCACCGGTTGTTCTTCCTTGCACCAACCACTGAATGCAGGAAACACTCCACAAGACTTGCTATTTTGGAGATGCTTTGACTCTTATCTAGTCATCACTATTTGGCTCTTGTCAAAGTCACTCCGATCTTTTCGCTTGCCCATTCTTCTGGCTTCCAACACATGAAAAGAACGGACTATTCACTTGCTTCCCAATACGTGGCTGATCAGTGTATAGTACAATGTGTTGTAATTATTAGCACCATTATTTATGTGAGGTGTGTACCTAATATTTAATGATTTGCACCATATTTTTATGTATTTTCTCTTACATGCTCATCACGGTTTTGATAACATTGGACAGATGATATATATTTTAGAGCAGATCCTTACTTTGGTATATTTTTAATCTATGGCAACTGTTCTGAGGAGGTGCAGTTTTTGCTGCTCATGTTTTTACAGCACGTTGAGTGCCTTTATTTTTTCCTCAGTTTTCGGTTATTAAATAAAAACATGGTTTACTCGTTTAATTTTTAGTGGGATGACCAATTTCCAAAATTAAAGGAAAACTCAATTTATTATTACTGAAATCAACATTTTGCATGTATCATAGCTTTTTTTATTTATTATTTTGTAATGAATACATACAACTTTAGGAACTCTTTAGTACAGCTAGCTCATCCTTGTGCCAGCAGTTACAACCTTCTTTGACTCTCTTTGGTCAGAAGTACAACTTATCTGCTATGACCATACACAATTTGAACTAAAACTGTCCTAGAGTAGATATTTGCAGAGCTGAACAAACCCAGGTGCCTTACAAACCCTCTTTAGCAAGAGTGGTTAAAATTCTGCTCATCAGATCAAAAGATCTCCCAGACTGTTGGCCGTCCCTTGCCCCTAACTATACTGCAAGGCAGTTTGTGGTCTGCAGTCATGTGAGCATTGCAGTGGAGCTCTGGTATATACTCAGCCACACCAACAATATGGAGCTCCAAAACAGAAGAACATTAGGATAGAAAAGAGGAACAGGGTGATCTGGGACCAAATATGGATGGTCTCTACTAAAAAGAGGCACTTGGAATGTTTGCAAAAGTAAGCAGTTGCCATTGAGAAGTAAAGTGACAGTAAAGTCTCCTTATCTAAAAAAAAATGTGCTCAAGGTACTCTACATTATTATTTTATGAGAAGCTGCAACTGGTATTACCACATTTTCCTAAACAGAGAATAGGCGTACTGACCAAACAGCAGCACACCTAGATCAAAACAGTCATGTTGGTGATTAGTCACATCTGACTAATCTTCCCAGTGACTAGATAATGGAGTGGATTCTTCTTGCACACACAGAGGAACCAGGGACACTCATTATTTATTAACAATTCCTTTAACCATTTCAGGAACAGACATGTTAAAAGTGTTTGAATTTTAAGGCCCTAATGCAGTCACCCATCAAACAAAAGACAAACAAAGCGAATTAAATTTTTAGTTTTTGCACAAATCAATAGCCAACTAAAATTTACTTGGGTTGTGCTAGTGTTTTATTTACTAATCTCGAACGTTTATTTTGCTTTATTTTGTGGAACTGTTGCGTAGCGGATTATATGGCCGAATGGTGTAACCTAATTCCCATGTTTGTTTGCCAAGATAGTAGATTTTAAGTAAAACACTGTTCCTTAAATCTTTAAACATATGTTGTGTCTTTACAACATCACCACTGCGTGTTCTGCATGTCCCCTCTCTCTCCCCCCCCCCTTTTTTATTTTGTTTGTCAGGCTGGAATTGCCAGAGGGGACCTCAGAACATAGACAAATTTGTGTTGCCCAGGGCCTGAGGCAGGATGCCAGGTTGGGGCCCCTCCTAGAGTCCTGGGCTCTGTTCTATTAGTGTTGTGTGTAAGAGTGTGTGTTTATTGGCTGAGTTGTGTGGGAGGAGGAGGCAGAGAACCCCTTTGTGTGCTGGTTGAGTGTTATGTCTGCAGTGGCTTGTGTGTGGAGGAGTTACATAGTTACATAGCTGAAAAGAGACTTGCGTCCATCAAGTTCAGCCTCAGAAATGTTGTTGCTGTTGATCCAAAAGAAGGCAAAAAACCTGATCTGAAGCGCTTCCAATTTTGCCACAAACTAGGAAAAAATTCCTTCTTGACCACAAAATAGCAGTCAGATGTCTCCTTGGATCAAGCAGCTATTACCCCACTAATTAGAAATTATATCCCTGTATGTTATGTTTTTGTAAGTATTTATCCAATGTCAGTTTAAACATCTGTATGGACTGACAAAACCACCTCTTCAGGCAGAGAATTCCATATCCTTATTGTTCTTACTGTAAAAAAAACTTTTCTTTGCCTTAGATGAAATCTCCTTTCTTCCAGCCTAAATGTGTGACCTCGTGTCCTATTTATAGCCCTGTTTATGAATAGATTTCCACATAAACGTTTGTACTGGCCCCGAATATATTTGTATAAAGTTATCATAAGGCGCCTTTTTCCCAAACTAAACAGATTAATTTTTTTTAACCTTTCTTCATAACTAAAATGCTCCATTCCTTTTATCAATGTTGTAGCTCGTCTCTGGACCCTCTCCAGTACCATGATATCCTTCTTTAGAACAGGCGCCCAAAATTGCACAGCATATTCAAGGTGTGGTCTTACCAGCGATTTATAAAGAGGCAAAATTATATTTTCATCCCGAGAATTTATGCCCCTATTTATAAATGACAAAATCTTACTGGCCTTAGCAACTGCAGATTGACATTGCATATTGCTGCCTAATTTGTTGTCTTGTTGTGTGTGTCTAACTGTTGTCTGTGTGTGTTTGCCCCTCTCCTACTTATCTTTTCATGATGGTCCAGTGGATGCACACTGAAAAAAGGATCCCAGATGAGGGAGTGTTGTAATCTGCACTGGTATTAGGTGCAAGTCACTTTAAGAGCTTCCACACGGTCTCAGCATTCAGTCAATGTTGATGGAGGACAGTGAAGGAGCTCTTAAAGTGATCTGCACCCAAGAGGTGCAGACCACAAAGCTTCCTTGAGCAAAAGAGGAGGCTCAGGCCTAAGCAGGGACATTTTTTTTTCTTTTTTTATCTGCCCGTCAACTCAGAGAGGACCCCCTTACAGATAGAACACCTATGCTGCCTTATGAGTAATCTGGCTATGTCCCAGGAGTGCTGTAGCAGTAAGGATGTTTTATATTTATCTGCATTCCTTTCCTAACCCCAATAAACACAATACCATTCATTTGGGCGAGGGAATGGGGAACTGTCACTATTGCAGAAGTGGCAGTTATGTTATAGTATTATGGTATAGTATAGTATAGTATAGAATATGACAGTATTCGTTTTAGTGTATAGTATTTTATATAGAATAGGGTCTTCATCCATTTTACACCTCTGTAAGTTTGGTGGTCCAGAGATCACAGCAATAAAAAATTAAATACTAGAATGAGAATGTATGGATGTCTCTGGAGGAGACCATAGTGGCAACGGAGTCATGGGAAAGAACCTGTGTCTCATAGTTATGCACAGATCTCTAAAGAAGGCTCAATGATGTTGTGCAGGTCAACTCCAGCAACCTCCATCTGTCAAACCCATACATTGCTTGCTCCCTGTGACTAGCACCATGCACATCATAAGAAATGTCTGGTATGTTCTGTAGCAGGGGTGCACAAAAGGTAGATCCCCGGATGTTGTACAACTACAACTCCCATGGTGCTATGTATGCCTTTATAGAATGACGAAGCATCATGGAAGTTGTAGTTTTAGGACATCTGGGGCATCCTTGTTCTATAGCTACTCACATTCTGTTTAGAAAAAAAAAAACTCTTAACCCCGTAAGGGCAATGATGGAAATTTTGTGTCATGCTGGCCTTTTATTTCTGAGGGGTTACTTCTGTGTTTTGTTTTTAATTTAATGACAGGGCACATTCACAAAACTCAAACTTGTGATATTATCAACTTGTTTATTATCTGAAACAGTAAACCACAATGTAGTGCACTGCAAAATCTAGGCTATAATAAACAAGCTGCACTATTGTTATTGAAAGTTATCTATGGCTTCAATCTGCTCTACCTTTGTGAGTGCACCTTTCCCCCACCTCCCCCCTTTTTAATTTTGATATTGTTTTTTTAAACGGATTTACACTATTATTGTTTATATACTTGTGTTTCTCCCTTACATGTATGGTTTGTTATTTGGAGAAGACCCACCCTATACACAGACTGCACCTTGTATTATTTTGCACTTTATCATATTTAGCACTTGTGGCACTTTTTGAAATTTATGTCTTAAAGACACAGCGCACCTTATTTATAGTTGTACACTTGACTAGTTTGTCCTTAAGTTTGCAATTCAATCTCCTTTCACACAATTCAGGTTCGCTGAATAAACCAACCGTACTGCTGTAGGTGTAATGCAAAAGTGTAAGAACTGAATATTTCTTTGCATTGTAAGAGAGCTAGAAAGTAAACACACGGGGACAAAACAAAACCAAACATTCAATTACACGCTCACTTCCATCTAATACTGCAAACAAGACATCATATTTAATCATTTAACCCTTTAAGAAGTATAGTATACATGTTTACTTCCAATAAGTATTTTATCAAATTTCAGATGTCTTGAATATATACTAGGCATATTTTGCTATTAGACCACCATTTTCATCATTAAATCAATATATCCTCGTCAATACACATATGTATATGCATTACTATACCATAATACTATAAATTATCAGTGTAAACATTTCTAATAGATGTCAAAAGGGAGATACCCAACTGTTGCGCAACTACAATTCCCATGATGCTTTGCCTGACCATCCTAATTTCCATACCCAAAAGATTAATTAACTTATCCAGACACTCTTCTTTTTTTTGTTTGGTTTGTTTTGGTTTTTTTACACATCAACCTTGGACGTTGTTTCTACCCACTTTGCTCTACTTTGTTAAAAAAAAAAAAAAACAAACAACAAGTTAAATTACAAATTACGTACAACTTTAATGCAACTGCAATCTACTAGTTACCTTTATCCCCTAGCACATCCATGTTCTTACATACAAGGTGTCACCTTTGTCTAGAGAGGTAGAACTGATAAAATCAGGTATTTTGTTACCTGCTGCTAGACTTGCTTCTGGCTCATAAATAATTAAAGTTTAACATACCTCAGAGTAAAGGATCCCCATGTCCTCAGTGGACAGATTGTGTCTTCACCGTTTGCTGCTTAGAAATAAGAGATGGTAGAAAAAAAAAAAAAAATTAAACAAAAAATGAAGAAAGATTCCTTTACACAAAAGGCAACTCACAGGTGGAAGTGTGAAACATTCTGAAGTGCAAGAATTACAGTTAAAGACGCCCAACCCATACGTGTCAGGTTTCCCAATACCATCCAGGGCTGGTACGTGTTGAAACACAGGCCTTCCCATTCATTCTTCACATGTAACCACACAGAACATGCAGACTAGTAAAACACAGGGAGAGCATAACGTGAATCATATCCTGAATGTAGAAAGATATATTAAATTAATAAAGTTGTATTGCAGAAGAGTTTGTCTGCTTGTACCAACATATACACCAGTATTTTTTACCCAGTGCAAAAATGGCCACCCACAAAAAACATTAAAGTTGAGGTACAAGAAGCTTGCCTAAAGAAAAATTAAAACGTGGAAATCATTTTTATAAGCCTTGGAGTAAAACCCATACATGCAGCAAATGTAATGACATTAGAAAGGAGCAGTGTGCAGTCAGCACGTTGGCTCATTCTATCTAGTTTAGGCAGCTTACCTTGCTTTGAAAAACAGACAGGCTATACTAATTTGCATAATTAATTATATATGCATCGCATTACAGGACTTGATATCACGAGAGGGGGGGAGGCAAGAAAGAGAGAGAGAGAGGGGGGAGGCAGAGAGAGAGAGAGAGGAGAGGAGAGAGAGAGAGAGAGAGAGCAAGAGAGGAAGAGGAGAGAGAGCAGAAGAGAGGGAGAGAGGGAGAGGAAGAGAGAGGGAAGAGAGGAAGAGGAAGAGAGAGAGGGAGGAAGAGAGAGAGAGGAAAGAGAGAGAAGAGAGAGAAGAGAGAGAGAGAGAGAGAAGAGAGAGGGGAGGAGAAAGAGAGAGGGGAGGAGGGAGAGAGGAGAGGGAGAGAGAGAGAAGGGGAAGAGAAGAGAGAGGAGAGAGGGAAAGAGAGGGGAGGAGAGGGAGAGAGGGGAGAGAGAGAGAGGGGAGAGAGAGAGAGAGAGAGGAGGGAGAGAGAGAAGAGAGAGAGGAAGAAAAAAGAGAGGGGAAGGAGGGGGGAAGAGAGAAATAATTAGTTGGGAGTCTGGGTGAGAGGGGGGGAGGTGAGAGAAATGTGGTAAGATGTGAAGCTCTACAGGGGGGAGGAGAGAGGGGGGGAGGGGCTGGAGAGAGGGGAAGGGGGGGAGAGAGAGGGGGGAGAGAGAGAGGAGGGAGAGAGAGAAGAGAGAGAGGAAGAAAAAAATGCCCCAAAAGAGGGGGTGTCTGCACAAATAATTAGTTGGCCAGTCTGGTGTGAAGCACCCTGAGCTTGGCATAAAATGTGTCTAACGATGTGCTTGCTCTACACTTTCTAAGGACTGTCCCCTAGCACTCGCTGGTCCACTCCTCTCCTAACCTTACTAGCAGGCAGAAGCTACTGTTATACAGTCTGGGACAAAGAAAAAATGTATGTAGAAGAAAGTGAACATGCCACAGTGTTAGAGAGACTGAAGCAGCAAGAGCATTTGCATAGTGCGCAAAGTCAGCTTTACCTTAACTAATTTAATTGTCAGTCAGTCCACACCAGTGTTGTTCCCCTACATCTATTTTACGTTTCCATACTTAACCCCTTAAGGACCAAACTTCTGGAATAAAAGGGAATCATGACAGGTCACACGTCCTTAAGCAAGAGCATGTGAAGAGTAGTTTAAGGGGAAAAAAAAAAAAAATTTTTTTATTTTTTATTCCTTTTATTTTTTTACTTAATGGGCTTATTCCATATGCATGGGCCTGGAGCTTAAGCTCCATTAGCTCCTGTGTTAATCCGGCCCTGGTCATTATCTTGCTCTGCTACCAGTCATGCACTGTTTAGTAGTCCAGGGCCAGAATTACGTCTCTGCTCGACCACGGCCGCATACATGTTTTCAGACCTTAGATCAGCATTCATTCTGAAAGCTTTGCAGTGCGCACGCATAAGCAGGCAAATGTGCGTGCATGGAGAGATAGCTTCAGAGACTTCTCAATGAGAAAGTCTGAAAGGCTTGAGCCCAAAAGCTATTTGGTGACCCCTTCATAAAGCCCCAACCCAATTCCACCTTTTAACATGCCTCTTGGCACACACAGTGTTGCTTACACAGTAACATACACACAGGTGTGCAGACAGACATGCAGAAGCACACACAGGCACAAACAAAATCCTACGGTAATAACAGAATCTATAAAACTGAACTCCCTAGTAAGAAAATAAACAGGAAGTTTAGGTTATATACAGCATTATATATGGGCATAGGTAGTGAATCATAGCGCTACACCGCTATAAATCAGAGAGCAACTTGAATTTTGTATGTCAGTATCACAGATTTCCACTGTAATAAACCTCACAATTGCAAGTGACTGCCCTCTGGTATACTACTTATGGTGATACCAGAAACGGTTTTGTTAAGGTGTTTAAAAGGTGTGATTGTGTGTGTGCTAAAGGGGCAGTTTGTCTCTCTACGGCCCCTACAGCACAAACCTACTACTCCACAGAGCGTGTATTTAGAAGGGATTTAGTGTGTATGTAGAGAATGCAGTGTGCTATTGCTGGTAATTCAGTCTGTGTGTGCGTAAGGAATGTATTGTGTGTCCTGGTGATGCAGTATGTGTGTGGACACTATTGTGCTGCAGTCAGGTTGTTAATACAGTGTTGCATTTTGATCTGATATTTCTTTAACCCCTAAAGGACCAAACTTCTGGAATAAAAGGGAATCATGACATGTCACACATGTCGTGTGTCCTTAAGGGGTTAAAGGATTGCGTGTGTGTGTAACAAGTCACTGGCTTATGAGCTTAATAGTAGTTTGGGTTACTTTTGAATAATAATGGGCGTCTTATGTGCCGTTTTGGATGGCCAGCATTTGTGTTTCTACAGGTTTATTGAGAGTAGTTCTGCATTTCTTTTCTTTTTTTTTATTCTTTCCAACACAGTACATCTTATACATTACGTACATAACCATTGGCAGACATTCACAGAATACATACAAAATGACTCCGAGACCCTAGAGACAACTTGGGAGTTTACTAAAAAGAAGTCAGTTCTGGAATATGTGTCGTGTGGCTGTGAGTAAAAGGTATAATCCTTCTCATCTGGGTGTTGAGCTCTCCAAATATCTATAAGCCCTGTTTGTTGTATGAATGTGTGCAATAGTTTATCTTGTCCGCCCCTTCTGTAGGATCGGGGAATTCCCTTACAGGGTCCCCTGTCCACCGCCGGGGATGGAGCCGCGTTGAAATCGCCCCCCCACTATTACCATTCCCTTCGTGAGTGTGTTGACAGTGCGAGTAAGTTCCTCCCAAAACTCCCTAGACGGATCGTTGGGGGCATATAAATTGAGGATATGAATCGCGTGGGAATACAAGAATCCCGACACTAATACAAAGCGGCGCCCTGGGTCGATTCTAACTTCACTAATTCTGATCGGGCACCTCCGATGTATCAGGATGGCTACGCCATTCCGTTTATTGAGGGCTCTCGCTTCATATGTGGTATTGTATGTATAATCTTTGAGAGCGAAATTGGCCGTTTTAGGTAGATGTGTCTCCTGTAGGAAGGCTATATCTGGGTTCAAACGCTTCACTTCCCTAAACATGAGCCGTCTTTTCTTAGGTGCATTCAAGCCCTTAACATTTAAAGATATTAACCTAATAGGCATGGGTAAATCCGTGGTGTGCCACCCACAACTAAACATACTGGCACCTTGATTACTAGAATGAGCCCCTGGGCCTTCCCCATCCGTTCCCCCGGGGAGTGTAGAGGAAGGGAGGGGGTAAGAGAGAGAAGAGATAGGATAGAAGGAGGGTAGAAAAAAGAGTAAGAAAAAGTAAACTATGTACATAAATCGCCTGGGCTTACCTGTAGCCAGGCACGATTGGGGTAAATGTCCCGCCACCCCCAGTGCTTCCAAGAACCCTGGGGTGTACGGGGCATGTGGGCACTGTGTCAGTGCCAACTGAAACATCAAAAATAAACACCACCACCTGTGTGGCTTGTAACGAATATAATAAAAACAGTAGAGCCGCCTCAATGGGCGCAGTTATCAGCCCAAGATCCTCTCCCATATTTTATCGCCCATTATTTCTTATATGGGATATAGGCCTCTCCCCCCTTTCTCTCCCTTTTCATTCTTTAATTTATTTATTTATTTTTTTTAAACATTATGTCCTCTTTTTTTTCACTTTTTTTTCTTCCCTTCCCTCTCCCCCCCTCCCCTTCTTCTTCTCCTCCCTTATCCCCCTCCCCTCCTTCTCTTGCTAATACCAGTATCTAATGTGGAGGGCCGTCAACCAGCCATTCAGTGAGGGGACCAGGTTGGAAGCCTCCGCAAAAAGCCAGAGTTGTGGTAATGGATCCTAGGCATGTTGTATTGTATTATGGGGCAGTAGGACATAGTTCTTGCATACATATATATGAGCTCCTCTGAAATAGTCGAGGAAGTTTGGTGCCCCCGACCGCGGCCCTTCCATGGTGGCCCGTATAATCCCGCCCCCGAAGCCCGACCGGATCCATCGCCTCCATTGTCCTACCAGAACATAACTGGCACGTAACACACCCGTTGTCCCTCCTCCTTCCGTAACCCAAGCCAGAATACAACAACGTCGGGGCATGTGCCTCTGCCCGTGGGCCGTTCCCTCCCCCTGACAGGCCTCTACGGCGCCCCCACCCCACCACCGGCATATAGCAGGATCGCTTTTTGACCCGAGATCCTTTTAAAAGGCGGAGAATGTTGGGCCCCAGCCAGTTGGCTGGCAACGGCTCAAAACCCCCAAGTAGGATTGTGCACAAGCCCTAAATCCCCTGACAGCCCCTTCCCCACTCATGTATATTCCTTTGCTTAAAAGCGCACCTTCCCATATGTAATCACACCAGTAAACAAGGGAGAGAGAAGAAAAACAAACAAAAAAAAAAAAAACCTAAAAAACCACAATCATAATCACAGAGTCCTGGACAAAACACAGTAATAAATGAGTCTGGATCACCCGGAAAACCCAGTTTCCCGCAACACAGGGGGAGGTCTGGAGGGGCTACGGGCCGCTCGCCCTCCGCAACCGGCAATAGAGCCGCACATCCCTAGCCCACCCAAAAGGGGTCGAAATGCCTGCGAGATTCTACGTTGGCTAAAGCCAGGAGCTCTCCCCTCTCTCAACTGAGGTCAAAAATAACCATAAAACACAAAACCCCTCACGAAGAAAAAGAAAAAAGGGAATTCCGCTCGGCATGGGGGCTCCCTTGTTCGAGCCGGGGCCCAGCTTCCACCTCCCCAACATCTAGGCTCTAACCCATCCCCACTTCTAAGCGAACCGGGGGTTCCCTCCTGCCAGTCACTGGTACCGCTGAGTCCGCCGAGGACCAGGAGCCTCATTCTCCCGCTGCATACCATTCGCGCGGGAGGGGCTGTAACTCATCTACCGGGGGAAACGCCGCCATGTCGACAGGGTCCTAGATCCCCAGGCTCCGTAGAAACTCTCCTGGATCGCCATCGGTGTTTAGAGTCTTGGTGCGCCCTTCATGGAATGTCAGGAGTCGAAAGGGGAAGCCCCATGCGTACCTCACCCTATGCTTCTGCAGAATCTCCGTCACCGGACGCCATGATCGCTGCTTCTGGAGGGTCGCCGGCGTTAAATCCTGGTATAAGGCGAGTTCCACTTCTCCATATTTAATCGTGCCCTCCCGGCTGCGTTTCATTAGGGCCTCCTTTGTCTGGAAATAGAGAAATTTAATTATAATATCTCTCGGGCGTTTATCTTCTGCCCGCTTTTGGCGGAGTGCCCTATGGGCCCTTTCAATGTGCCATTGTTGTTCTGGCACCTCCGGTATGAGTGGTTTTAGAATTGCGGTTACTACCTCCATCAGGGAACCCTCTCCTTCCCTTTCAGGTAGGCCCCGCAGCCGAATATTATTCCTTCGGGATCTATTCCCTATTTCATCTAGGGTGGTCTCCGCCATCGTTAGCCTCGAGGACAGCTTGTTGATATAGGATGTAGCAGTGTTGTGGGCCACAACCGTGGACTCCACCTGCTGTTCAAGCCATCCGCCATCTTGAGGAGTGGATCTCAGGGCGCGGGATGCCGCGAACATGTCGGACACCGTGGTGCCCTGTTCTACTTGCTTTTTGGGCTGTTTTTTCGGCGGGCGTTTGTCCATGTCGGCGACTCTTCGAGCCACACAGGTGAAAAAAGTGTTTTAAATGCGTATATTAGCTATTGGCTTCGTGGTCCCAGTGGAGCTTCACTTGGAGACGTCCATCTTGCTCCGGCTGCAAACCACGCCCCCAGTTCTGCATTTCTGTAGTGTGAATTTTTGTGCGGAGCAGATTCCAACATTGTGTTTATAGGGAACGTTGTGTGTGTATGGGATGCAGAGTGTATATGAGTGTGCGCTGGGATTTGGCTTCCTATGTATGTACAGCATGCTCTGTGTGCACTGCATCCCATCAAGACACTTGTACTTGTTGTCATGGCTACCCTACCCAACTTACAAGTATAGGTCAAGAACACTAGACCAAAAGGACGTTATTACCAAACCTTAGAATGGCCGGGTTTAAATTAAAAATGAGCGAATGCGTAAACTTAAAACAAGCAAAGATCAGGACACCAGAAATACGATATAACTAACCAAGTCAGGATTACAGAAGTGTCCATAAAACAGAATTTAAAAAAAAAAAAAAAATACAAAAAAAACAAACCATCAAAGAACAAGGAAATCAGGGAACAATATAAATGCACTAAGTGAGGAACCAGTAGGAAACCATGACAGGGTAATGACAAATTAAAAAAACAAAACAAAAAAAAACCCTTCATTTAAACCCTATGGTAGAGGCGGATTGCCCATGCAACTCCAAAAAGGGACATGGTGCATTGAGAAAGGGAATACCTGAAACGTATGTGATATTCTACCCTTCAAATAAATACCAGTAGCACCGTGGTGCACTCCAAAAAGTGTGGAAAAGGGGTCGCGGTGATGACATGGCACTGCTAATGATATTACACTTAATTGTATTATAAATAGATGGGTGCTGCGAGTGTGCAGCATCCATCTCTCTAATACATTGCAGAATAGCATTCACCTCCTGATCGGAAGGGACTATAGGGAGAGCTGCAGTAACTCGGGAGGTGTTACTTCCTGAACTATGCATGCAGCACACTCATTCGGCCCGGAGCACTACATTGATTAAGTACACGAAACTTGTAGCCGTGGCGCAGTGGTGTGGCTTTTGGCTGGAGTTGTGTCTGGACTGACCCCTAGCAACTCTGCTCATCATTTCTGCACCACTGCTGTTGGCATAGTCTTGAGTCCTGCCCTGATCCTGCATCGTGGAGCTCTGTGCACCTGACTCCTGTGTTGCCTTTAGGTGGCCACCTGCAGCACACAATCAGATCCGGACTGGGGTTCTGCCAATCTGCAGTAGTTCTCTGGCTCACCTGTTTCCCAGGTCAAAGTATCACTGAAGTTCAAGCACTCATGGCAAGTATTTTCAGAGTGCTGGACCTTTAGTGGGAACCATTTGTGCCTTGTGTTCCCGACCAACCGCAGGACTGGGGACTAAGAATTCTAACTGCCATTTTGGAGACCTGGGGCTTTTTGGGAGCCCACTCTGCGCTCAAGCCCAGGTCAGCCCCTTGACACCCCTGAAGGAAGGGTTTGCAAAGTCTGCAGTTCTTATGAACTGCCTCTTTTGCAAGCTCTTTTACAATGTACCCACAACGAATACTGTACATGAATATATGCATTGGGGGCATATCTACTAAAATAGTGATTTGTTTTTTGGCATTTTCAATTTGGAAAGTTTGTTTAACTGGAAACCCCCAGCTGCCATTCTAGTAAAATTAATTTGCCCCAGTAATATTACAGATATGAGATGCCCAGGCTGTTATGTGAACAGCACAAGGACAATTGGATGCAATATATTTGCTTTCTTCACTTAAAGGACCACTATAGGCACCCAGACCACTTCCGCTTAGTGGTCCATCTAGGATTAACCCTTTCTGCTATAAACAGTCCCCACCGCCGAAAGAGCTGGCGGTGGAGAAAAGGTGAGTGTTCAACCCCTTTCTCACCCTAGAGCCCGGTGGGAGGGGGACCCTAAGGGTGGGGGGACCTAGAGACCCTATAGTGCCAGGAGTATGTTTTCCTGGCACTATAGTGGTCCTTTAATTAAGAAGTAGACTTTTTCTAGTAGTTATCTCCTCCTGGGGTGTCTTTTACATTCCTAGGTCAAAAGTAGATTAATTTGGGCTTCATCATTTTGACAAATTATTATTATTTTTTTTTTAAAACACATTTCCACCTCCAAAAAACAAACCACGAACTAGCCACCTAATGGTTTTCCAACCGAAAATGAATGTATGTTACTTGAATACTCCACCTAGCTGAGAAGGTTTGACTCTTCGAGTGGAACTATAATTTCTGTAGAACTTAGACAACTAAATAAAATGTTGGAAACTAACTACAATTTGTGTTATAACTTTTTTATTCGTGTGATGGTTTTCTTTTAAAAATGTATATTAAAAATTTAGCAATTAACATCATAATCTAGTTCAGTCTTGGCACAGGCAGGGCACACATGATTGAACTGACTATTATAGAATTTATTTACTAAAGTGGGAATTGAAACGAACTTTAAAATTTAAGATCAATATAGCTAAACTGGCCTTAAATTCACTTTGAATACTCACTTTATTAAATAAACCCTTAGGTTTCCTCTTGTCTGTTGATCATTTTTGCTTCCATGAAGATATTTGATACAAGTTGGTGGAGTGAAAGTGGGGGCTCTACGCTGACAGACTGGTACAAAGGCTGAAGCATGGAACAACGATTGGCAGGGATCCAAGATGGAGGTGCTCAGTTCCAAGATTGAGCAGAGACCGTGGTGTTGATTTTTTAATACTACTTTTCTGACCTCACCAAGCACATATTGGTTAAATATGCTGGAATATTAACATATTATTAGAACGTGTTAGAAATCCTGGGAAGAGACAATTTCCTTTAAGCAAACAAAAAAAAATTAGACTGGTGATTTGAGAGGAGCTGCGATGACTAATAAAATTTTGGATTCTAATTTATACATTACATTATAGAGAGTTAATATTTATGTTGAATAATACGTACCGTCAGCTGGGATGTTTGTGCACAAAGCCTCTGGTTTCTGCATGAAGTGTTAAAATGGCTACAGCTGCCACATAGCAGGGGTGTAAAGCAGGCAGTCTGGGGAGGAGGCTGGCTCACTTGCAGACTGTAGCTCTGAGTCTGTATTTTATTTTATTATTGTTGTTCTTTTTTGGAGGGGGGAAGTACATTTCAGTAGTACAGTTCACTGCATTGTAAACCAAAAAAAAAAAAAAAAAGTGAATACATTTAATGCTCTGAAAGTGTGATTTAAAAATCTTAAAAGAAAGCATACCTCCGAACATTTGAAATGGACACATTTTAGGTGGTCACTTTAGAAATTGCTTAAAGGCCATTCCAAATATTATGACCACTTAACTGATTTGAAGTGGTTGTGGTTCCTGGAGTCTGTAGGTGCAGAGTTTTGTTTGGAAACACTGCTCATACAGAGATTAAACCCTCTACTGGTTACATTGGGGCATTGTTATGTTTGGTTTACATGCAAATATCAGCCAGCCCAGAACAAGAGTTCAAGACTTCTAATGTTAATTCTGTACAAAATTGGAATCTGACCCGAGCACGCACTAACCGTCATCAGACAACACATAGCATGCGTCCGTCCCCTCTCCGTGTCGTCCTGTCCTTTCCTCAGTCTGCCTTCCCTTATCTCCCTCTCCACTCCAGGTGAGATGGGGAGGGGATGGGGGGAGTAAAATCAGTGGAGGAAGATCGGGCTGAGGGATATCCTGGCCTTGGTGAAATAATTAAATTGTTTTTTAAACCAGTGTTTACTTCATCTTGCTCTGCCACCTTAAATTTGCCCCTCTCAATTTCTGAACCATTTCTTTTTAAAACAGAACACAAATTAGGGACTATGTCCGCTTGACAATCCTGACAGAGGGTGGAGCTTAAGGCTCCAAAAACAGCTTTAACGTAATGAAGCCGTTTTGGTGTATATATGGTGCTCCTGTAGTTTCACCACTCAATTCTCTGTTATTTAGATGTTAAATCTCTTTTTATGCAGACCTAGCCACTAGGGCGAAGTCTGCCTACAGTGCTGCCACTTTTTCATTATTTACAGGCACTTAGAGCTTGCAAAGCAGAAAACAGAGGTTGTGAGGAATCTGCGGTACCACAAAAATATAAAAATTCAAATTTGTTAACGAATGCGGCCAAAAGTAGATCAATGCGGTTTGCTACCAACAACATACAGAAGAGATAAATATGGTGGTTCAATGCAAAAGGTGCACGAGCGGCATACAAACTTTTACTGCATATAGCAGTAGGCATAGTATCAAGAAGATGTTTCAGGCTCACAGCCCTTTATCAAATGCTCCCACAAGAACATACAAAAAATAAATAAAACAAGTTAAGCCACAGATAAAGTTTCAACAGGCACCACCTGACAAGACTCCCCAAAACACAAATACCTTGTCCACCATCAGATCCATTGGCTCCTCCCACATAACTGGATGTTTAATGTGCTTAGAGCTGTAGTAGGTAATGTAGTGTGTGTTTGTAGTGGTTGTAGTGTGTTTAGGAAAAAGTGTGTGTGTGTATATATATATTTATTTATTAGGGAGCAGTGTAAAAGAACACTCCTAGAACCATAAGCACTACAGCACACTGTAATGGTTAATACCTGTTGTGGACAAAAATATTAATTCAATTTAGGTTAGTAAAATGCCTATTTACTCAGCATACCTACAATCAGCATTATTAAATTTTATATGTGATTTACCTAAAATGGCTGCTAGGGAGTTTCCCCTCGACATCGACTAACACCCTCACTAACAAGATGGCGTTGGAATCTGGGGGAGACCTCCAAGATACCAGTGACATGACACCCAGTAGGAAGAGCAATAAATGAACCACTTAACACCTAACCAATTATTGATGTATTATTTCAAGTTATCTCTGACAAAGCATATGATGTAATTTTGCTTTATAAGCGGCATGCCATCCCCTCAGAATAAACATTCCTCAAATTCCTCAAGTTTCCTCAAGTTTTTCATTAACCCGAAACCTGTGTCTTGTGTGAATTACTTTAAGGAGTGTGCATGCACTACTTCTTTAATTTGGCCGGGGGCAGATACACAAGATAATCAATTGATTGATTCTACATCATTTGGCGCCCAACGTGGGGCACCGGATTGCGCCAGTTCGGACAGCCGGAAAACGGGACCGGAGCAGACCTCCGAAAAGTGGGACGATCGGAGCCTGATCACCTCCTAAATACAGCGGTTTGCCTGTATTCTCCTGTTTTGTGTCGGTCTGTCTCCGTGTCCATTTCCGGCTTCCAGAAGGTTACAAGACAGGTAATCTCTTATCCGGTGCCTTTTAAAACGAACCTGTCGATTGTCTATCTGCCTCTTGAGTGTATGTATGCGTGTGAGACAGCTGCTGTGTGTTTTATTACTATTTTTTTTATTATTATAGCTTGAATGCCTAGCGGGCAGGGAACGCATCCACCCGGTAAAGGGCTGGGAACCGCCTAGAGAAAGGCTGGGAATAGTATATCAACTATGCTCGTTGTTATACTGTTCTTTATTATTTTTTGGTTTTTATTCAGTTTTAGCCATTGTGTGGGTACCCTAGTTGTGTGTGTGTGTTGTGTGGCTCATCCTTGATTATGTGCACAGATCTACATCTGTGACTCATGTAAAAGTCTTCTGATTAGTCTCTCCACGTTCACCTTTTCCCTTATTCTCTACCTCTTCTGTACTTGCTGCCCAGAGCTGTGTTAGTCATCCACGCTCGCCCACTCAGATCCGTGGCCACCATCTTGGGTGGGCGGATCCCGTGACTAGTCTAAGTTTTGGGAAGACGCACGAGGACCAATTCCTCGTGGCAGTCGAGCACTGTAGACATTCCTTCTATTTCTTCGCTCTCTCTCTGTCCCTCATACGTGGGAAGCCTTGTTTGGTAAAAACGGGACAAGAACATGCCAGACCTTCTAAAGGCTATTTAGCATGTGATATTGTTAAGGAGAGAGCAAGGGAAGAGGCTATGTTAAAAATGAAGAAGATAGAAAAGATTTGTGGTTTTCAAATGTCACCCAGTGGTAGATTACAACCAGAGTTTTGGAGGAAATTACTCGTTGATAAAGAGGGTTTGTTACTGGATAACGGGTTAACGAAAGCCGTAGAGGCTTAGTATTGGGTAGCATGGGGTCTCAAGCGGGAGGGTTGGTCAGGGTAAGAAATAGATTTTGAAAGACAAACGATTTATGTATATCACAGAAATATTTGCAATGATGATTCATCTCCCGCTGTTCCCCAACCACCGCCCTATGATGGCGCCCAGAGCACTGTGAATGAATCTCGCCCCGCCTCCCCAGTCGCCACCTCCAGGTGGCGTAGGCCCCTCTGTCCCAATCCCTCTGTACCCCGTCCTCGGGGCGGATGGATCTTATTATTACCCCTTCCCTCTCCCACCTCATCCCGCCATTCCCATTACCCCAGCCCCTCTCCCAGTTCCCTCTGGTCCCGTCTCTCTTCCACCTTCCATTGTCACTGCCAATCCCGTCTATCTTCCCCCATCACTTCTTCCGATGTCACCCCTCTCCCATCTCCTTCTATTATTCCTCCTATTCCTACTACCATCCCATCTTCACCTGCTGCCTCCCCTGTCACCCCCCTCGTTCCTCTCCCTGACATTCCTTCTCCTCCTGTTCCCCTCTCGCCTCCACCCGTTGTTCCCCTCGTTGCATCTCCCTCTGCCCTTACTATTCCCTCTATTCCTACTCCTCCCTCTCCTCTCCCCTTCGCCCCCTCCGTCCCAGTTCCTGATTCCCATCCCCTTCCTGTGTCTAACCCTGTTGTCCCTCCCTCCTTTGATCTCTCGTCACTTATTTCCGCCCTCTCTGCCTCCAGTGCCACTCCCTCTACTCCTCCACCTCCACTTCCCGATTCCCATCTCCTTCCAGTCTCTAACCCTGTTGTCCCTCCCTCTTTTGATCTTTCGTCACTCGTTTCCACCCTCTCCGCTCATTTGCCTCAGCCTACCCAGCCCCCCCCTCGCCCATTCCAACTCCTGTCTCCACCTCCCTCACGACGGTTCCCAGTTATCAGATGATGGTAGTTGGCTCGAATGAGTCTACCATGTCGGGACAACCTCACGCTGTAGGCATTTCTCCTGCAGCGTCAGGCTTCCATCCCACTGCCTCCCAGTTAGTTACTCCCCAGGCCATCGCTGTTGGTTCCCCCGGCTCCGATGCTCCAGCCGCTCAAGCCCCTATGGACTTCCAGTCAGGTATTACTTTCTGTGAACAGCTTCAGGCCTGGGCCCAAGATAAAGTAGCTGACCAAGCCACTTGTATAAATGACATTATACAAGATAAACTCGAGTCAGTGGAGAAGTACCATTCACGATTGACTCAAACTTTCTCAGACCTTGGGTTCAGTGTACACAACAAAGCACATACCCAGATGTTATCTGCTGCCTTTGTTGCAGGCCTTAAGGAAGCAATCAGGAAAGGCCTAGTGCTCTCCCGTCCCGAATATGGAATTATTCCTCTGGATACTCTCCTACTGGTTGCCAAAGGCCTAGAGTCTGTCCTACAACCACCACAAAAGAAAAGTAATCCCCTTATGTTTTCAGCTTATGGCCCTGCCATCAGACCCACCCCGGTCCCCCCAGGATATCCCGTGTCATCCACCATGCCAGCTGCACAAGGACAGCAGATGATACCCGCCCCTAGGCCTCAAACTAGAGCATGCTTTAATTGTAACCAACTGGGCCATTTCAGGAGAGCTTGCCCTCACCGCAGAGTGCCTAGACAGCCAACCACTAGACTGTCTAACCCTGTGTTCAGCTATCCTATGTACCCCAATGCTCCCCAGGCACATACTTCGTATTTCCCTCCTCAGGTATATGGCCAAGCCGTATACCAACCCTCTCCAGCTGATACCTGACACCCTTTCCCTGATAGTTATGATACAGATGATTACCAGCCAGATGACCGTCCTGTACCCAGTCAACATCTCCCTATACGCCAGCCTCAACAGGCCAGCCACTCCACCACAACCACACATCACTACACCTGCCCTGATCAATCTCATCTAGACCTTGTGCAATAGATAACCGGCAAACCTGTGTCTCTCATGGAAGTGTCTACAGGGGACAAAGGGGGACCTCTCGCTACAGTAGTCCTACCCGTAGAGGGTCATCCTACTACCTTTTTAGTTGACACAGGTGCAGCCCGCAGTGTTCTCAGAGAACAAGACCTGCCTGTATCATCTTACCTATCCGACACAGATGTCTCTTGTGTAGGTGTCGATGGTATCCCTAGAAACAACCCATTAACTAAGCTCTTGCGGGTGGGTTCAGACATTCTCTCACGGTTTGTTGTCTCTTCTACTTGTCCAATTAACCTTTTAGGTGCTGATGTTCTGTCCCATCTTCAAGCTTCGATCTCCTTCACCGCTGACGGCTGTCCTCTGCACTCTGCCCTTACTACTACACATGACATCCCCCACCGAGGAGGTAAGGGTCCCAGATGCCCCCCAGTGCCCTGGATAGAGTCCCTGCTAAACTTTGGTCCACAGGTCCTGATGACATTGGACGCCTACGAGTCCCACCTGTGGTAGTAACACTGATAAGGGGAGCTAATCTACCACGACGACCACAATACCCATTGAAACCTGCACAAGCACTTCCCATCTCAAAGCAAGTTGAAAGTCTACTGGCAAAAGGTGCTCTGGTCAAGTGTGTTTCACCGTGCAACACCCCTCTATTTCCAGTAAAAAAGGAAGACTGAAAAAGGCCAACCTGACCAATACCAAATGGTTCAAGACCTCCACGCTGTTAATGATGTCACCAAACGAGACACTGCCGTTTCCCAAATCCACATACACTGTTGTCACAAGTCCCTCCCACGGCAAAATTCTTCACTGTGGTTGATCTTGGCAATGCCTTTTTCAGCATGCCCTTGGATCCCTCTTGTCAATATCTGTTTGCCTTCACACACGATCATCAACAGTATACATGGACTGTTAGGCCTCAAGGTGCACAGAATTCCCCAACCCAATTCGCAAAGGCTATGTCAGCTGTCCTAGAACCTTGGCAGAAGTCTCACCCTGACTTGGTCCTGCTCCAGTATGTGGATAATCTACTCCTCTGTGTGGATGATTTTCCAACTGCTGAACAAAATTCCGAAGATCTCCTTTGTTTCCTCGCTGAAGAAGGATGTAAAGCTTCCAGAACGAAACTTTAGTGGTGCCGGCCCTCTGCGGTCTTCTTGGGACATTGCCTTTCCCATGGCACCCATCATCTAACAAGGACCATGGTACTCGCCATTATAAACCTTACCCTTCCGACCACCCATCAGGCTCTTCATGCCTTCGTGGGCATCACCAGGGCCGGCGCTACCTGTAAGGCGGACTAGGCAGCCGCCTAGGGCGCCCCTTGTGAGGGGGCGCCGCCAGGAGCGCCGGCCCCCCCATGCTGCAGCCGCCCGAGCGCTCTGCAGAGAGCCTCAGGCGGCTGCAGCTTTGCCCGGGCGGTGCGTCCATGAGGGCGGACCGCACTGCCCGGGCGCAGCCTGAGGAGAGGCTGACAGGAGGGAAGCGTTCAGCGCTCCCTCCTGTCAGCACCTCTCTGTAGCGTGGCCGAGCCCTGTATAGTCGGCGGGTACAGGGAGCATCTGTCTCCTGTACCCGGCTGGACTAACAGGAAGTGCACACATTGCCTTGGGAGGGGAGGGGGGGGAGAAGAAATATTACAGGAGGGGGGGGAGAAGAAACTGGGAGGAGGGGGGGGAGGCTGAATTGTCAGTGGAGGGGGGGAGAGAAGAAATTGGGAGGGGAGGGGGGGGAGGAGAAGAAACTGGGAGGAGGGGGAGAGAAGAAACTGGGAGGAGGGGGGAGAAGAAGAACTGGGAGGAGGGGGGGGAGAAGAAACTGGGAGGGGAGGGGGGAGAAGAAGAAACTGGGAGGAGGGGGGAGAGAAGAAATTGACAGGGAGGGGGGAGAAGAAGAAAACTGACAGGGAGGGGGAGAAGAAGAAACTGACAGGAGGGGGAGAAGAAGAAACTGACAGGAGGGGGAGAAGAAGAAATTGACAGGGAGGGGGAGAAGAAGAAATTGACAGGAGGGGAGAAGAAGAAATCGATAGGAGGGGAGAAGAAATGACAGGAGGGGAGAAGAGAAGAAATTGACAGGGGAGGGGGAGAAGAAGAAATTGACAGGGGGGAGAAGAAGGAAACTGACAGGGGGAGAAGAAGAAATTGACAGGGAGAAGAAGAAATCTGATTAGGGGAGAAGAAGAAATTGACAGGGGGAGAAGAAGAAATTGAATAGGGGAGAAGAATGAAACTGATAGTGGGGAGAAGAAGAAATTGACAGGGGAGAAGAAGAAATTGTGGGGGGGAGAAGAAGAAATTGGTGGGGGGAGAAGATGAAACTGGTGGGGGGAGAAGAAGAACCAGGAGGAGCGGATAGGGGAGGGAGGGCAATGAGAGGGAAGGAGAAGAGGAGGACAAGGAGAGGGGGGAGAAGAGAGAGTGACACAAGGAGAGGGGGGGGAGAAGAGAGAGTGACAAGGGAGAGGGGGGAGAAGAGAGTGACAAGGGAGAGGGGGGAGAAGAGAGTGACAAGGGAGGGGGGAGAGATTCACATCCATCACACACACATGCAATGCACCCCTTGCACACAGAAAAACACACAATGCATTACACACACACACACACACACAAACAAGGCAACCCTTACACACAATGCATCCCTTACACACACACACAAACACACAATGCATTCCTTACACACACTCAATGCACCCCTTACACACACTCAATGCACCCCTTACACATGCACACACTGCATCCTGTACACAGGGCCGGCCTTAGGTGTTCAGGCGCCCCCCCCCCCCTCACCTGTCTCTGTTTGGACCCCTTCAAACTATTTTAGGAGCATTCACAATCTGTTGCCTCCACCCCCTTCTACAAAACCACTGCACCTCTTAACCAAAATCCCTGCCCAGATCTTCACCAAGCCCCTGGCCACCACTTCATCAAACTCCTGGCCACCCCTTCCCCTTCATCAATGCCCTGGCCATCCCTTCGTCAAACTCCTAGCCACCCCTTACCCTTCATCAATCCCCTCCCTCCCCTTTATCAATTCCTGCCACCCCTTCATCAGTCCCCTGCCCCTCTCATCAATTCCCTCCCACCCTTTACTCAGCCCTCTGCCCCTATTCATCAGCCGCCTGACCCCCTAATCAATCCCCTCCCACCCCTTTAACAGCCCTCTGCCCCATTCATCAATCCCCTGACCCCCTCACCAATCCCCTCCCCCTTTTATCAGCACCCTGACCCCGTCATCAGTACCCTCCCACCCCTATCACCCACCTGCCCCCCTTTAATCAGTCCCATGCCCCCCTTTTCAACCCCCTGCTCCCCTTCATCAGCCCCCTTAATACATCCCATGCCAAATAATCCAACCCCTGGCCACCCCTTCATCAGTCCCCTGCCCCCTCATCAATTCCCTCCCACCTATTTATCAGCCATCTGCCCCCATTTCATCAGCCCCCTGATCTCCTCATCAATCCCCTCCCACTCCTTTATCAACCACCTGCCCCCTTTAATCAGCCCCATGCCCCCCTTTTCAGTTTCCTGCCACCCTTTATCAGCCCCCTTAATAAATCCCCTTCCAATTAATGCAATCCATGCCACCCCTTCATCAATCCCCTGCCCCCCTTAATTAAATTCCTGCACCTCTTCAACAAAACCTATTTAATAAAAAAGAAAAAAAAAAGTCACTCACAGTAAAGGCTGCTGCTCCCTGGACTGAGCTGTCTCCGCCGATTGAAGAGCACCGGGTGCCGTCTTCACTCACTGAATTGGATCCTTCCGCGGCTCCCTCTGATGACAGAGCACGTCGACGTTACGCAAGTACGCAGCATAACGCCCCCACGCTCCTCCTCCACCCTCCATACAGAAGTGGATTCCCGGCGGCGGCTCTCTGCTCATAATTTGCAAGTCAAGTGCAAAGCAGTATTATGCACACTTTAAATACAGAACTCGGCCGGCCTGCGAGCTGTGTTGGCCGCCCGGCGCCCCTGTTGCCATGGCGCCCTGTGCGGCCGCACAGCTCGCACACCCCTAAGGCCGGCCCTGCCTGTACATACACAGAAACACACCTTGCAGCCCTTACACATACAAACTCAGATTCACACAATGCATTCCTTATCAGGACATCCCCTACACACTCCACCCCCTGTGAACAAACTCATTGGTGGAACATGAAGGTGGACCCTGGGACCCAGACCTTGAGCTGTGTAAAGGGCCCCCAAAAAATGGAGCTGCTTACCGTTCTCCCAGAACATTGATTTTTGTGACCACAGTTACAAACAGCCTCCAGAGAGCCTGTTCTACACCAGACCAGTGGAGCCAGACTGCAGCTAGAGCCCATCATCATCCTCATCTCGTTGTAAGTAGGCAATCTAGTATATTATTCGTGGCACTAATCTCTAATTTACCTCACATTAAAGAAGCACTTTAGTCTCCAGAACCACTGCAGCTTAATGTAGTTGTTCTGGTGTCTATAGCCTGTCCCTGTATGCCTTATAATGTAAACACGGCGGCACTGCAGCACTGGCGTTAGTTAACATGGCAGATCATATGGGTGGAGCATTGTGATGTCACATGGGGGGGGCGGCAAACTTTACTTTTACCTAGGGCGGCAAAAATCCTTGCACCGGCCCTGCTCATCACATACTACCGGTCCTGGATCTCTGAGGCTTCTCAGCTCATGCAACCTCTCTATGACGCCTTGAAGACTGAACCCTTTTCATTGTCTCCTACAGCTCACACTGTTAGTTTCAGAAAAGATGGGCCATGCTTCAGGGGTCCTTTGTCAATCACATGGCTCCCGTCAACGTCCTATTGGTTACTGCATGCTAGACCCCGTGGCTAGGGGTGGTCCCTGCCGTTTGCGTGCTGTTTTTCATGCAAGTGCCCTGCTGGACAAAACTAATGTCTTTGTTCTTGGACATAAACTCATTGTCCTTGCTCCCCATGATATCACGGCCATCCTGAATCAAGTCCAACCAAAACACCTCCTCCTCCGCCTCCAAACCTCTCTCCTCTTACCTGATAACGTTACTCTACAAAGTAGTTACTCTTTGAACCCAGCCACTCTTCTGCCACTTCCGAAGGGGGGAGTACCACAATACTGGTACAGTCTGGACATAAATCCTGATGTTCACATGGACCTTCAAGTGAAAAAGCCTACGGTTCCACATGATGAACAACCCGATAACTACTTACATTGCACCCTGTGGTTCAAGAGCACCCCAGGTCCTGACCCATACTATGAAGAACTCTTCAGACTGGTAGAAATACGCATTACACTAACAGACCTGTTTTGTGACTCCAAAGGAAACATTGTTCTCTTAGACTACCTGCCTATGGAGGTTTCTCAGTTATATCACCATTGGGAGGTGGATGTTCCTCATATCTCCTTCACCAAGTCTCCAGATCTCTCATGGAAAAAACTTGGCCCAATGGCCAAAACATGGAGTACTGCAACCCAAGAACAGCTCACATTAACGGGGGTCACCAAAAGAACCATAAACTGCAACACAGTGGGTTACCCTCGATATCATACAGAGATATGTGAAGACATCCCTCCTACAGAACAAGACCCGGATGCCCCTCCCTGATTGCTTTTGCAGATTTGCAGATGAACAAGGACAATATCATACCGGATATGCAGTCACCACAGAAGACCAAATACTCCAAGCATCTGCTCTTCCATTGTCTAAGTCGGCACAAGAAGCCGAACTAATAGCCCTCACGGTAGCATGCAAAATGTCTGAAGGGAAGCCTGTTAATATATTTACACAGACTCAAGGTATGCTCTACGCGTGGCACATGATTTTGGCTTAATCTGGAAAACCAGGGGGTTCCTTACAGCAACAGGTACCCCTGTGAAACATGGCGCAGCTATCCAAAGAATTAGACGCTTTACTGCTTCCTGAAGAGGTGGCCATACTGAAGGTAAAGGCCCACCGGAGACTAAATTCAGATGAAGCACATTGCAAACACTTAGTCGACCAGGCCGCTATGGATGCAGCGCGAAAGTGTTGGGAAGTGGACAGAAGAGTGTCCGTTGAAAAGACTCGTATTTACACTATGCAGACTTTACCCACCGATCTCAAGCTCCTAAGAGAACAACAGGCCAGAAGCCTTTCCAGTCGCCAATCTCACTGCCAAGACCACGGCAAAGCACCTACTTACTGAAATCATCTGCAGATATGGAGTTCTTGAGGTGATCGAAAGTGACCAGGGAACATCCTTCACCGCCTTACAAACCAAAGAAATCTGGGCAGCACTGGGGGTGACCCTTGCATTCCACACACCCTATCACCCACAGAGAAGTGGTAAGGTAGAACGCACTCTGAAAGCCAGAATGCTTAAGATGGCCCAAGAAACTAACCTACCCTGGCCGGAAAGTCTTCCCATAGCACTATTTAGTGGAAGGTACACTCCAAAAGGGAGATTTAGCTTATCCCCCTACGAGATTTTATTTGGTACAGCACCCAGGTTAGGCTGTTACTTTCCTCAACAACTTCAAATTCAGTCAGATGCAAGGTAGATTATATAACTGCACGCTCACATGCTTTGACCAAAATCCATGCACAAGTGTTTTCTTCTACTCCAGATCCAGAGTCAAATACAGGTACACATAAGCTACTTCCTGGTGACTGGGTCATGGTCAAGATGTTTCTCAGAAAACATACCCTTGAGCCAAGGTTTGATGGTCCATTCCAAGTGCTATTGACTACGTCTACCTCTGTAAAGTTGGCCGGGAAGAGTACCTGGATACACACCTCGCACTGTAATAAAGTTCCTGATCCAGAGGAAGCAGATTCCGCCAAACCATGAGCTTCCTGTGCCTTTTTTTGCTGCTAGGCCTATTAATGGCCCAACAAGTTGGTATTACCAAAGATAATCATGTTTATACATTCTGGTATAACTCTTCAAACACACATGTAGCTACTTTTACCTTTGATTACTGTGATATTGTTCCTTGTACCTTTCCACAGTCACAACACTCAGCAATATACAAAGACATACCGAACAAGAAGGACCCCTACATTTGTGCGACAGGTGGCCATTGGGGACACCACTGTGGTACCTGGAAAGCAGTGGGTTGGAACACAGGCCGACCATGGGGCTACAGACCACAAAGTGCCTTAGATAGGATTGACAGATATGGGAAACCCTTGTTACACAGAATTGACAGATATGGGGAACCCTTGTTACACAGAATGACCTTATGTAGGCCAACAGGGTCTACCCCAATGAAACTCACCTTAAACATAGAACATCCCTGCCCAGGGGACGCTGGAGAGTACGTAATGAAAATGTATTGGAAAGGGGGTGGCTCATATAACAAATTGGGGACCTTCTATTTACAAGACATGCTTACGTCACCTGGGTAGACTCTACACACATGACAATTAACCCTCTAAAACCACACATTAAAACCCTTAAAGACATGGTAGCCATTGCTAATCCCACATTTGAAGATACTATGGCTGTAGAGACCGGGTTTTCAGATACTAATCTATTGCTTGAGCGGATGAGGTAGAATGCTAATTCACATAATAAAACTAACTGTTAAGTTTGTGGAGGGGCCAGACTCCATCTGGGTACAGTGCCCTTCAGTTTACCTTCAGATGTTGAAACATGTTTCCTAAGTCTCTGTGCGCAGTCACCAACACACTCATCTGTGTGTGAATCATGGAAAAACGTGTACCCAATAACCCAAGGGAATATCAAGTCACCTGATGGGATCACCGTGTACCCAGGTAACTACACATGCTACAAGATACATGGAGCCACAGGAAAATTTGTGGGTAAATTCCTTTCTGGCTACTGTACTACCGACAGAGAACCTCCCACTGCCCTATTAGTAAATCATGTTAAATCTGTGGGAGACATTTATTGGCTATGCGGTGACATGCAGCTCAGATCTAAAATGACTGGCCTGTGGTGGGGAGAATGCACTCTGACCAAAGCTATCATGCCCATACATATAATTTCTGATAACCACCAAGGCCAACTTGATTCACCACACACATATTTAGGGGTAAAAAGAGACCCCTGTTCGAGGTAGTTTTGACCCACATATATCGATGCCATAGGTGTACCAAGGGGGGTACCAAACGAGTTCAAGGCCAGAGATGAGGTTGCGGCAGGATTCGAATCCCTGATCCCACTCATCACCTCTAACAAGAATGTTAATTGGATCAATTATATTTACTATAATCAGCAACGCTTTGTCAATTACACGAGAGATGCCCTCCAGGGCTTGGCAGAACTCAGCAATATATTTCAGAACCGAATGGCCTTAGACATGATACTAGCAGAGAAAGGGGGCGTGTGTAAAATACTTCCCGATACTATGACATGCTGTACCTTCATCCCAGACAATACAGGTCCCAATGGTAAGGTAACTACGGCCATAGAGAAATTAGAAAGTCTCTCTGATGAAATAACAAAGAACTCGGGAGTCCACAATTCATGCGAAAGATGGTTTGGTGGGATGAGTGGATGGCAGAAAACTCTCCTTCAAGGCGGTATGGCGGTTCTTACTGTGGTAATTCTCTTTCTTTTCCTGGGTTGCTGCCCTGTGTGCAGAAATACTTACAGAAGACTGTAGGTCAGACCATTGACCGCACCACACCTACATTCCTACATCAGGATTTTGACGATATAGACTGACACACCACAGACACACACCTCATCAGTCCCACCACAATCAATTGATTGATTCCACATCATTAAGTATTTAATGGAGGCATTATCTAGAGCTTGTCTGGAATGACTTACCTTAAAGTGGCGATACGTTTCTTCTGGTTATCAGGTGCAACCAAATCCTTAATTTAGTGCATTCAGTATTGATGTGGAATCAGTCGATTATCTTGTGTATCTGCCCCCGGCCAAATTAAAGAAGTAGTGTGTGCACGCTCCTAAAGTAATTCACACCAGACACAAGTTTCGGGTTAATGAAAAACTTGAGGAATGTTTATTCTGAGGGGATGGCATGCCCCTTATAAAATTACATCATATGCTTTGTCAGAGATAACCTGGAATAATACATCAATAATTGGTTAGGTGTTAAGTGGTTCATTTATTGCTCTTCCTACTAGGTGTGATGTCACTGGTATCTTGGAGGTCTCCCCCAGATTCCAGCACCATCTTGTTAATGAGGGTGTTAGTCGATATCAAAGGGAAACTCCCTAGCGGCCATTTTAGGTAAATCACATATAAGGTTGAATAATGCGGATTGTGGTTATGCTGAATAAATAGGCATTTTATTAATATGAATTGGGTTAATATTTTGTCCACAACCGTCCCAACTTAAAATGACTATTTACTAAAGAGACAACTACTAACTGACCCTAATAATGTCCCTACTTGGCTGCAGCTCATCTGTCTGAACAGGCCTCGAATGCTTCACTGCGCGGATATCCCGTAGTGGCTAACCCACTACGTCTCTGGCGTCAGACTCCTACCCATGGAGACAGACGCTGTGTGGGGAATCAAGTGGGCCTTGGTGGTTATCAAAACTTATATGTATAGGCATGATGGCTTTGTTCAGAGTGCATTCTCCCCACCACAGGCCAGTCATTTTAGATCTGAGTTGCATATCACCACATAGCCTTATAAAAATAAATAAATAAAAAATAAAATACTAAAAACAAGCAAACATGTATAATAGAGAGCTATGCAGACTTCCTCAAAGGAACTTCCTTGTGCAGTTCAGTCAGTTTGGAGAGAATTTGTGGTCCCTGGTCAATTCTAGCAAATACTTGGTTTAATGAGTAAGATGGATTAAGACTTCCTTAATGCCATGTTAACATCAACAACTGCCCTGGCCATGAATAGTGATCTGGTGATGCCATCAAGGCTGTGATAAACAACGTATGACTGCCAATGTGGAACATGGACAAGAAGAACATGGCTTTAAAGCTTGATTAAACTTTTTGGAATTTGAGTTTCAATTCACCATAATTCAAATGTTTACTGCATTGACAATTAAAATAATTAACAGATATTAATTCAAAACTGAATAGCAAAATTTGGGACATTGGAAAACAGCTGGTGTTTATGAATGTGAATTAATTTTTTTTCTGTGAGTAAACCCTGCTGGAATTTGAGAATTTTCCTATCCATCTATTTTTTGCCTAAAATGTGCTATTCAGTCTCAAATTTACTACAATCTACAGTTTAGTTTAGAAACTCTTCTAAGTTAATGGCTGAAACGTTGTTAAATTAATCACGGTTATTCAGTGAAGAGTGAATTCTCAGATTTCACTAGGGAATTAAAATTATACATGTAAAATAAACAAACACTCTCTGGGTTCCAGTTCATTGAATTCCCAATAATTATTAACAGTTTTTGAGAAAACCTTGAAAATAAAAAACTTTTTGTGCAGCTGTGGTTTTACAGTTCTTTTTACGAAAACTGTATATTTTATTGACATTAATATAAATGAATTTATAAAAGGGATTTTTTAAAGAAGCAGCCTCACCCCTTGAAAACATTTGATGACTAAAATTAGCAAGGACTGGTTTTTCCGGTCTATATGCTGGTTTCAAACAATAATAGATGTGCCAGCTACTCAGCACTACCAGATTAATAATGCACACTCAGGGGAGTTAAAACAAAATTAGTCTTCTGTAGGATCCACTGATAAGAAAAATGCTTAGAGGCAAGAGTCAATTCTTATTTCTCTTCAATGGGTAAAATCCTAATAACATTCTCAAAATACTTTTTGAAAGGTCTGGGTTTGTTTAAGGCAAATTACATCTTTCATTCTTAATAAAAAATTATTCCGCCAAGGTTAAAAGGGAAACTATAGTGCCAGGAAAACAAAGCTGTTTTCCTGGCACTATATCTTTCCCCTTTGTCAAGCCCCCCTCCCCCCGTGGTGCAGAAGGGGTTAATAACCCCGTTTGTCACACACCTGGGTCCAGCGCCGCTGAGCGCTGGCTTGGCTCCGTCCACATTCCTCCCCTGCCATCAGCCGTGGGGAGGGGAGCAGACCTAATGCGCATTCACTGCTTTCCTATAAGGATTCGAGTGACGCTGGAAGTCCTCATGCATAGCGTGAGAACGTCCCGCATCATTTAGGCGACCAAAAGTGCCATCGAGACCGAAAGTCCCTTTAGTGGCTGCCTGGTAGACAGCCACTAGAGGAAGAGTTAGCCCTAGAAGGCAATTATTGCAGTTTATTAAAAAAAACACAACAAAAAAAAACACAAACACATTTCTAGTCGTACAACAGGATACATTTACCATATTAGTCCCATTACCAAAAACTTTCCTTGATATGTCAATGTACGAACACTGAAACATTGAGCATTTGGTAATGTCAGTCTGCTAAAATTAAAGGGACACTATAGTCACCCAGACCACTTAAACTCAATGAAGTGGTCTGGGTGACAGGTCCCTCAGGTTTTAACCCTTCAGATGCAAACATAGCAGTTTCCAAGAAACTGCTATGTTTACATTTGGGGTTAATCCAACCTCTAGTGGCTGTCTTCTGGGTGGGGGCACACTCAGGGCACTATGGTGTCAGGAAAACTGCTTTGTTTTCTCTGACACTATAGTGATTCTTTAAATAATTTATTTTATTTTAAAGTCCTATGACTGCGCCCGGACGCTTCAGAAGAGGCGCCGACTGTGCCACATCACGAAGATCAAGACTAGAGACCAGTCGACCACACAGCTACCGGATAGAATAATGGGCGCATTTCGCGGATTCTACGAAGAGCTTTATAACCTACCCACAGACCGCTCCGACGATGCCCACCGCCGCAGAGACACAGAGATAGAAGCATACCTCCAAAATCACGTTATAAAACACTTTAAGCCGCGAACAGGCGGAGGAGCTGGATGCCCCTCTTACCCTGGAAGAACTCCAACTAGCGCTGAAGGGCGCCAAACTGAACAAGGCCCCGGGCCCGGACGGCTTCCCGGCAAGATATCTCAAGGAATTCGGTGATGTCCTGCTACCTAAATTGCTCACGGGCCTTAATTCCCTCCTGGACGGCGAGGCCCTTCCACGGGACCTCCTAACGGCCACTATCACCGTTATCCTTAAGGAGGGAAAGGACCCGTCCAGCTGTGCGAGCTACAGGCCGATATCCCTCCTAAATGCTGACCTAAAGCTCTTCACGAAGGTCATCGCCACGCGCATCGGCAGGATCCTACCAGAGCTGGTACACCCAGACCAGGTCGGATTCATCCCGAGAAGAGAAGCTAGGGACAACACTATACGGGCTCTGAATGTCATCCAGGCGGCACGGCAGTCCTCGCAAAAGATCCTACTTCTCTCTACAGATGCGGAGAAGGCCTTCGACAGGGTCGACTGGCGCTTCATGAAGGCAACGTTGAGGGCCATGGGTTTTGGGCCGAAAATGTTGGCGTGGATCTCCTCCCTGTACGTGGACCCGACTGCACGTCTCCGGATCAATGGCGCACTATCTGAACCTATCCGGATTCGAAACGGAACACGACAAGGCTGCCCGCTTTCCCCCCTTCTGTTTGCCCTCTCCCTGGAGCCATTCCTGGGGGCGGTCAGGCGGGAGGGGGGAATTGGGGGACTCAATGTCTACGGGCAGACGCATAAGGTAGCGGCCTATGCCGACGACATGCTGTTTTTCGTTGCCGATCCATTGGTGTCCTTGCCGAACTTGCTGAAGGCCTTCGCGGAATACGGTAGGGTGTCTAATATGAAGCTGAACACGGATAAGTCAGAGGCACTCCCCATCACCATTAACAAAGAGCTGACCGAACACTTGAAGACCCAATTCGCCTTCACGTGGTGCTGCCATAAAATTAAATACCTGGGAATATGGCTCTCGGCGGACTTAACCCAACTTTACACCCACAACTTCGCCCCGATGCTTCACACTCTGAAAACAGACCTGACACGCTGGGGGAGCCTCTGTGTGTCCTGGTTCGGAAGAATAAATGCTATAAAGATGAACCTCTTGCCCCGCCTCCTTTACCTATTCCAAACCATCCCCATTAACCCGCCTATCTCCTTCTTTAGATCCGTCGAGGCAGCCATCACACAGTTTATATGGTGCTCTAAGACCCCCAGATTGAAGAAAATCCACCTTCACCAACCGAAAGACAGGGGTGGAACCGGCCTCCCTTCTATAAGGGACTACCACAGGGCGACACACCTGCTCAGAGTAGTGGACTGGCACGTGCCCAGGACCGACAAGGCCTGGATCAACCTGGAACGGGCACAATTGGGAGGCGCCCTGCCGGCAGTTGCCTGGCTAGGGGGCCCACTGACTAACTCGCGGACTCGGAACCACCCTCTGATAGGGGCGACACTGCGGACCTGGTACTCCATACGGACGAGGCTCCAGCTGTCCACCACACCGGGACCACTCACCCCAATCACACACAACCCGGAACTCGCGGGGAGCCTCACTCCCCGGGATATCGAGGCGTTTGGAGAGGCGGAATGGACGTTCATGCACCAATGGTGTACAGAGGACTCATTAAAGCAACTCCCGGACCTGATACGAGAGGCAGTGCCATCGGGCCTGGACAGGTTCCGGTACTTCCAAGTTAAGACCTACTATCAGTCACACACTGGACGCAGCCTGTTCCATAGACAGACCACGGAACTCGAGGACCTGTGCATGCAACAAACCCATATGACCCGTGGTGTCTCCACCCTCTACAAAATGATCATCACCGCATCCGCCGGGGAACCCATGAAACACATGACACGCTGGGAGGAGGCCGCGGGCATCACACTTTCAGCCCCCCAGTGGACGAAAATCCACATCCTGACCCATCAAAGCGCCATGAGTTCCAAACACCAAGAGCTAAACTATAAACTACTGACTGGCTGGTATAGGACCCCAGCGCGGCTTCACCGGATGATGCCCGAGGTCTCCGAGGTCTGCTGGAGGTGCGGCATGGGGACGGGTACTGACTTGCATATTTGGTGGTCATGCGAAAAGATAGCCACCTACTGGAGGCAAGTCCATGCAAAGATTAAGGACATTATGGATATAGAGCTCCCCTTTCAACCGCTGCAGATGCTCCTTCACCACACTCCCCTACCCTTATCGCGCTATAAAAAATCCCTGACCAGACACCTCTTAAATGCGGCCAAACTTCTTATCCCGATCAGGTGGCGGTCCCCTCAGGTGCCAACTCTTGTGCATTGGATGGACAAAGTGGAGGAGATTCATGGCATGGAACAACTCACGGCCTCTCTCCGGAACACCACGGAACGCTACCTACAGATCTGGACCCCATGGCTCATATTCATCGCTGAGAATCGCACTGCCAGGACACAACCAACGACTGACGCCACCCTCACAGCTGCAGGTGGGACTGCATAGGTCACTCGAGGGTTTCGGACGAACTTGGGAGCCCTAGGGGAGCCACTGTGGAGGGGCGCAGAGAGGGATTGCACCCCGTAGGGGGGAACCTCGAGAAGATCGCATTGTCCTCTACCACCCTTCCCTTATGCCGTCAAGCTTCCCCACTCCCCCTCCCCCCTCTCTTTTACTTCCTGTAACTCCGCTCACTCTGCTTTACCTGCTCTCACACCTCTAGGCCTCCTGTACCGAATACGTCTAGCGCTGGGCGTAAGTGGTACAGTTAAAGCGGGCTAAAGCTGGGCCAACCGAATACCTAGAGTCAGCGCCACCCCGTACATCGTTTAACAAGCGACCGATGCCCCCTGATAGACACTCCGTGAGTAGGAGAGAAGTAGGGTACCATAAGGTGGACATTCAGCTATGAGAGCCCCCTAACCAGGGTGACGCAACACGACGTCAACGACACAAACATGGTAGAGGCCGACGTCCGACGCATGACGGGGAAACAGCATATCCACGGGAGCCTGGGGATTACTGGGACGAGGAGAACTGAGATCCCCCACGAATACTACATCACTCATGACACTTAGCTCTTAGACCCCCGACAGAAAGCTGACCCCTGGTTACAAACGACCCACTGGGGGAGACATACCGACGAGTGCCGGGTACGCTTACACATCATAAGGGCTGCAGGCTCGCTAAATACCCAAGCAACAAGGGGACTGCAATGCACATACGTGCCCTCAACCCAGACATCTAGCTGTTCCACCGTAAGGGTTCACTGCTTTGGGTAGCGCTCACTAACCAGGCTAATATCTGCTAGGTACACCCAATCCAAATTATCACTTAATAATGGGAACAATGCTAACGCACTCATTTAAAGCGAGCCCAGGCAAAGCGTATGGCCTAAACTTCACTACACGCTCACAGGGAGCTGAGGTGAGTGCCCATGTGCTTCTCACTTGCCCTCGACCGATCTCCCTGTAATCCCCTAAATTTTCACTACTTGAGATTCCTAAACTCCACATACTGCTGTTCGCTTAGACTACCGAGAAGCACGATTGATACATAGTTACAGAATACCTTCACACAATATCAACCGTTTTACTACCACTACGCTATTCTTCCTAGAAATGTTTCTCTTAACATATACAGAGGCTCAAAGTTACTAAGAATTGTCTTAAAATGTATTGTATTATACCTGTTATGTATGGAACATTGTTGTTTCCCTTCTTCATTTTGTATCCCATACGACTCAATGCCTCAATAAAAAAAAAAAAAAAGTCCTATGACTGCTTTCTTCCACACGGGAAACATTTTTTAAATGATCTTTCCCACCTCTATATCTGCACATTATGGTAGCACAACGCATTGTAGGGCTATTATAAAAATTATTTTTTCCCCACGGTCAATTCTACTTCCCAGTCTGGTCATGGTTATATATCCTTATCACATCACTAAAGTGTTGAGGAATATGTTGGCTCAATAATAATAATAGATTGGATAATCATTCATTTCACATACTAAATCACACCACTTTTTATTATACACATTTTCACACATGCATTTACATACTGCCAACTTTGCATATACAAAAGATGTGTATCAGGTGTAATAAATTGTACAGGGGTATTCAGACTTCAATGAAAAACACAAGGCAAAAAAAAAAAAAAAAAAAGTCATGCTTGCTTGATTGGGAGGCAGTCTGATGTCCATTAACTAACCTGACAGTTATTTGGGCAGATCTGTCCCCTTTGGGTGGAGCGAGTGACGCAATTGAGTCACTGGTCAGCCTCCTTTATCCTCCTCCCACTATAACTCCCGATAGTTGCCCCCTATCTGGTGGATACCAACTGCAGTGCAGAAGGTATTAAAACCTCTGACAGATACTTACCAGAGTCCAGCGCTGATGTCCCTCCTCCCCTGCAGCGCTTGAAATGACCACGTTCTCATTAGATATTGCTATAATAATGCTTGTATAAAGCATTCCTACGGGGTTTTAGGCGACGAAGGACGTCCGCTCGCTACGCATGGGGATGTCCAGTGTCACCAAAAGTCACGACCCCTAGCAGGTAATTATTGCAGTTTTTTAAAAACTGCAATAATTACAACTGCAGGGTTAAGTGACCAGGGGACACTGCACCCAGACCACTTAGTCTGCGTCTATAGCCTGTCTCGGCAAGCTGAACACTATAAACGTTGCCTTTTCAGACCACTGTTACTCAATCGGCCACTAGACATGCTTGCCATTTCAGTGCTGCACAGTATGCAGTACTGGCGTTCACCATCTCAAAGTTCTGCATTGAGGCGCTGAACTTTCCCCATAGAGATGCATTGATTCAATGAATCTTTATGAGGAGATGCTAATTAGTCAGGGCAGCATTTGCCACACATGCACAATAGCCTCTCAATGCTTGCCTATGGAAAAGCATTGTGGGGCGGATCCTGCATAATCCCTGGACTTGGTGCAGGACTCCGTGATACTACATTCACAAAACACTATACTCCCAGTTTGCCCACTGTTTTGACCCCCTTTACAGAGAGTTAATAGAGCGCTATTTGAAAGGGAGGTACAGTGGACCACTACGAACAATAGCTACCTGAGAGCCTCTTTTTTTTCCAGCCCACAGGAGCCCCCATTAAATGACCAGCATTTGATATCAACCGTTCTGGAACGGTTTTCGGCCAGGGCTTTCTTAGCGGCTAATTTTAAACGCTAATTTCCAACTCGAACTATCTGGGGATGTATGGAGTGTTGTTTTGGGGGATATTTTATGTTGGGCCTCTGTGCCTAGGAGATAGTTGGATTAAGGTTGTAACCCTCTCCCAGACCCAGAAACGCAAGGGCGGGATCAGATATACAGAAGACAGACTTCCGTGACAGTCACAAGTAAACAGTCAATAAGCCTGTAGTGGTTGTGGAGTAATTTAGGGCATAACCCAACATATACATTAACAGCTAGACTGGATCAAGCATCAAAAAAAGAAGAGTCTGCTATACCTTGAATGGAGACCCCATGCTGGTGGTCTAGGTTTAAAAGCTGCATGGTTTAAAAAAAAACAAAAAAAAAAAACACTAAAACATAATTGTTGTTCTGCCCAGCACTGTGTTGTCTGAGGTCTGGGGAAAGGGGCTGTGACGGACTGCCTGCCTCCGCCAATTGCTGCTTCCTAATAGCCTGGAGTACTACAAGCACCAGACACATAAGCACCGTAGCCCCTCAGCCACCGCAGCTCGACTGGGGTCTCGCTGTCCTCCACCCACCCCGAACCCAAACCCAAGATCCAGCTTCCAGTGGGTGGACCTCTCCTACTCCAGAGAGTCTGGCAGGTACAGCTGTTCCCTAGAATCACGAGACGAGGCTGCGTGTTGAGGGTGAAGTGAGCGGATTTTAATGGTAGCCACAGCTGGCCTTTTATGCAAGGGGTTTCTGGTGACATATTCCAGGGGCATTCCCCACTGGACTTTAGAGGGGACAGCAACATAAGCACACACAGAATTACATTACCTCTCAGGTCCAGGACATGCATAATAAAAATACCCCAAAATATATATACTTAACAATGAGGTAGCCCTTCAAGTTCTATATCCCCGGATAGCATGGATCTGAGCGCCCAACATATCTCAAAATACTCCGATCCCACGAATGTAGCCGAAACGCCACCGGGGTATTAAGCCCCAAACTCCGGAGGGCCGGAGTTTGGGAAGTCTGTTTTAGACCGACCGCACATGAGGCGCATGGCCAAAATAGTTCCATAAATTGAGGCTGTGTGGTCGGTCTCTTTTGGGAGTACCAAAATACATCACATACATATGAATATCAGTTTGTGCGTACGTTACCATAGTCTCTGTGGTTCGGGGAATGTTTCCACAGAACGCCATTATGTTCGTAAGAATATTGTCGAATATGAGTAGGAATGCAAGTCTCAGCGGTGTTCGTGCTGCTGAGTGTCCAATTTTAGTTCCATACACTCAACAACCAAACACCGCTGGCCGTGGTCATATCTCAAGATGGCCACCACCACGTGTTCACACAAAACGGACGACCACCCAGCCGACCGCTTAGAACGTTGAGGTGTTCGCGGTTACGGAGGTGCTAGTAGAGGTCAATAGGGTCAACAAGCGGCACACTCCGCATCTGGGTGGTTGGTCATTCGGTAGTTTATTATTTGAAGGGGACAATGTTAATATACCGGCATAGAGAATTAAACCCTCCCCCAAAATAAATAAATAAATAACTAACTAACTAAAATCCAGGGACAGGGAGATCTGTCACAGGGGCTATAAACACGAACACTCTTTTTCCAGCTAAGAGGGAATTCCAGCAGAGATATCCAGTCAGGATATAGGAGCTCCCCCCTCCCTGACTCTTACCTGGGCACTCCCACTCCCTCCCCCCAACTCTTTCCACTTTGATCAGCAGCAGGTCCTCTGTTCTCGCGATCTGCGAAAGCGTTGCCGCGGATAACGAGAACCTGCTGCTTGGAGATTCCTGTAAGCGGCCCCCTTAAATATGACACGGGCAGAAAAAATGCCACCCCTGTGAAAGTGCGCCCCAGCATCCCCTTAGTGAGTAGCACCCGGGGCGGACCGCCCACTCCGCCCCCCTTAGTACGCCACTGGGCCAGTGACCTAAAAATTGTTAAACACTATATAGTGTTCGGAATACATCTATAGGTATTCCTTTAACCTGGGTAAGAGTGCAAGGCCACAAAGGATTGTAAATTATTGTCCCTCATCACAGCTGCACCCACTGCGACTATGGTAATTATGTTACTGATTTACAGGATGGTAACACCTTAAAATTGCAGCTGCAAGCGTTTGTAGGAACAGCATTTTTAGTGTGTGTGTGTGTTTAATAACTCTGAGCAAAGGTTCATTAGAAGTGCATTGCAAATATGTAGTAGATGTTCCTGTGGGATATTCTCTATTACTCCTGAGGGGGGCACTGTTGTACATTTAGTGTAAATTAGACCAATTTAAAGTGGAATACCTGTCCTCCTGTGTGAACAGCTGGAACCCAGTTGCATAGAACAGAACATACATAAATTGACATTTGGGGTGGAACAAACCTAAGTTTCAGGCTGGTAATTAGAACACAGAATTATCATGAATAACTGCACATTTTTTTGAGAAGTAAAATAATATGCAACATGACAGTAGAGTAGTGTCATACGTGTAATATAGATAGGTCAAGCTTGGGTAGTAAGAAATAAACATAATTTGAGTTCTATAAAAAAAAAAAAAATCAAGCATAACACAGGAGTCCACTGTAGAGAAGAAGGACAAACCTGTTGGGTTGCCACAGTGTTACAGAAGGCCAATAGGAACGCCTGAGCTTTCATCTGATACCCGCTGTGACAAACTGCCCTAAAATGCTCTTATTTTCCCCAAGCTCATGTTATTTGCCCTTTGGTTCGGTATTTTATCTACAGAAAGCCGACCAACCCCTGCCTCATTATCTTAAAAGTAACCATAAATTTAAAGGAACACTATAGTCACCAAAACAACTCTAGCTTAACGAAGCAGTGTTTGTGTATAGATCATGCCTCTGAAGTTTCACTGTGTCCCTTTAATTAAGTGCTCTCTCTGGGTGGCTGCCATTTGTGAAGGACATGTGCGCTGGAAAACGGTGGCCATCTTGTCTCCCAAAGGCAGGCAGCGGTACTTGGTCGTTGAGTGTCTGGAACTCCAAGCCGGAAACTGACTTGTGAACACCGGTAACTTTGTACCCCCACCTGCTTCTATTCCAGACAAGCCAGAAAAGGTACTGTTCGGTGGAAAGGTACACACGAACAATCGCTACCTACGAGCTGGAGGAACTGTTCGGTATTTTGTTCGTTTAGGAACTCCCGAAATTGAACAACCGCTACCACTTTTCTTATGGAACCAATTTGGGCAGACGCCACCTGTGCGGTCGGTCAAAAACAAACAAACCCCATAACCTTTACCCCGGTCGTGATTCAGCTGTATTCGAGGGATCTGAGCGCTATGTGGACAATTTGGGAGCTTAGATCCGAGGATATAAGACTTGTAGGGATTCCTATTAATATTGTGTTAGTTTTGGGGTGTTTTATTCACTGTACCCCTAGTGCAGGGTAGGCAACCTTTTAGCAGCACTGTGCCGAAATAAGAAGCGAGCTGGTCCTATTTTATTTTATTTTTTATTTTATTTTTTAATTGAGGTGTGCATGTTGCCATATTCTGCTTGTTTTATTTATCATTGTATTTGTGTGTATATGAGCCATTATATTGTATATATTAATGAGTAGTTTGTGGTATCCTGTATGATACCTCGAGGACAGGTGCTGCAACAGCAGCTGTACTACCGTGTGGATTCCCATTCACAAGTGCTGGGAGGAAGTGATCTGAGGTAACTTCCTCTACATGCTGCAATACATACATTTAAGATTGTCCCTCACAACCTTTTCGTATTAGCAGATATCTGAAGTTTCCCTGGGACTCCTGATAGGCCAGATCCCGTTTGGCTCTAGCAGCCTTGAATGCCATGCAAAGACACCTCAAGTGCCATAGGTTGCCTCCCCCTGCTCTAGTGCCTGGGAGATAGTTTAAGCAAAGTAAACGCACTTATCTCCCAGACACGGAGGCCTATGTTTCTGACCCCATGTTTGTGTTTATACAAGTGGGCTATCATAATTAATCATTCCTGTTGTACCCTTCAAGAACATGAAGTTCGTTACACCCGCCTTGTGAGAAGACCACTGGGTCTGTGGATGGGTGACCGTAGCTTGGGGTAATGTAGCTTAAAAGTCCCTTGATTCAATGTCTGGAGGAGAGGAGCCACCTATCCTAAGCCAATAATGATGGAAAGTCGCAAAAGGTAATAAATGCGGACCAAGAGGGGGCCAAGGCTGAGTTTAGTCGATTTGTCAAGGTCTCCAATATGTGGTGAATATATATTTTGTGGTGCTATTTGCAGACTGACTGGATTCAATTGCTCAAAGTATCGTCCCAAGCTCAGGAACGAGCTCAGCACACCTCTGCTCTGCTTGCCAGTCAGACTCCATCCCCCCAAAGTTTATGAAATTTACATCCCTTATCATTCAGATTGAGGACGTAGTAAAACATAATAGATAGGAGCCAGAAAGGAAAAAAAAAAAAAAAAGTCAAAGGATAGTAAGAAAAACGTAACCCTACACCTAAGGGAATAAAAGTAAAATATACAACATTTAATATACAGTAGCTGTGTATTTTTCCTATGCTTCACAAAAGATGGCACTTCCTTTTGTCAAGCACTCAGATTTCATTAGATAGGTAAGGGGGAAAATGCTCTATGGAGGATTCAGTGGTATTGCCGGGTTCCCATAGACATCAGTGTTGCAATCTTGCGCATGTGTAAGAGTACAGCGCTCACGTTCGCTACTGGCAGATGAAGCAACAGGAGCAGAAAAGGACCTTGTGTAAGAAGGCGGCGGCGAGTGACAATTAAGTAAAAACTGAGTTTTCCTGCCCCCACCCCCGCCCCCACAGCCAGCGGAAAGTAAACAGAGCAGTCACCATCTGGGGTATTTGCAAAATATGTTTTTTTTAAATGTGTTTTATTACTTTTGTTTAATGCCCTCAAATACAAAATTATGTTGTCCGTATGTAAAAGTCATGTATTGTCAGTTAATACGCGTTTCAAAAAAAATGGCTTGTTTCTGGTATTTAGATTTTATATAAAAATAAATTACTCCACTCCTCCCCCCCCCCATTTTCCTTACTGACAAGAACTAAAACTCTGCATATGCTCTTTCAATATCTTAAAGGAAATGTATGTTACATATTATGTAGTCATATCTGCATTTAAAGGGACACTATAGTCAATGTCACCAAAACAACTACAGCTTAAAGGACCACTCCAGGCACCCAGACCACTTCAGCTTAATGAAGTAGTCTGGGTGCCTGGTCCAGCTAGGGTTAACCCATTTTTTAATAAACATAGCAGTTTCAGAGAAACTGCTATGTTTATTAATGGGTTAAGCCTTCCCCCTAATCCTCTAGTGGCTGTCTCATTGACAGCCACTAGCTTGCGTGCTTCTCACTGTGATTTTCACAGTGAGAGCAAGCGTCCATAGAAAGCATTGTAAATGCTTTCCTATACCGGCTGAATGAATCGGCGCAGCTCTTGCAGCGCGCGCATTCAGCCCAGGAGGAGGAGGAGGAGGGCAGAGAGAGCTCCCGCCCAGCGCTGGAAAAAGGTAAGTTTTAACCCCTTTCCCGAGCCGGGCGGGAGGGGGTCCCTGAGGGTGGGGGCACCCTCAGGGCACTATAGTGCCAGGAAAACGAGTATGTTTTCCTGGCACTATAGTGGTCCTTTAATGTAGTTGTTCTGGTGCCTATATCATGTCTTTGCAGGCTTTTTAACATACACATGACCTTTTCAGAGAGTGGAAGGAGCCAGCCGTGAGGAGACCCATGCAGTGCTAAAAAAAAAAAAAAGGGGAGTAAAGTCACCTTTTACTTTGCTGATAGGGGACAGAGGGGCTAACCTATAGTGACAGGAATAAGTGTGTGTTCCTTTAAGCAATAAAAATAATTGCAGTGCTAATACACATAATTTCATAACTACTTACACTAATGTATTTTTAGTTTTATAGTACTGCAATTAACCTTTACTATATAACCTATTCATTCTTATATTGACAGCCTAATGGAAACCTTATTCATAGCAAAGTGCCAGTTGATTTTGCTAGTTCACAAGAAGATCATGGTGTACATTTTATTTTCTGTGATCAACTTATTCTCAACTCTCTATTTTGTTAAAAAAGGTGACTATGCGATATTGAAACTGTATAATTTAAATGGATATGATGCAGAGCAGTGTGGTCTTACTCTCAGTTCTGAGTCCAAATTTGATATGCAACTCTTTTTTACAATCCCCCCTGCCTTAATCCTATGTTCAATCATGCGGCCTGGAATGAGAGTTCCGAGTTGCCTGTATTAAAGGCTAAACAAATACAAAAGATACACCACAAATGAAAACATGCATGCATTTGTCTGGTCCATTGTGGGAAGGTCTAAAAACCATCTTGCAAAAGCTTTGCAAGCTCGCCTCTTCTAACCTCGCCAAGACTTTCTGTGGTTGTCCAATTATAGACTTTCCAATCATTAAACTCAACTGTTGCTACTCCTGTGTCTGTCTCCCTCCAAGTCATAGGTGCTACCATCAGCTCCACCATGCAGGCTCGCTGCCTAGGTGTTCTCTTTGACTCCAACCTCTCCTTCATGCCTCATGTTCAGTCTATCGCCAAATCCTGTAGTTTTCATCTCAAAAACATTGCGTGCATCCGACCCTACTTGACGCCAGATGCGACTAAGGTGTTGGTCCATTCCATTTTAATCCACTCTGTTCCCAACTTGCGCCGTTACAGTCCATAATGAATGCGGCGGCGAGGCTCATCTTCCTGTCCGCCCGCACCTCCCATGCCTCACCCTTCTGTCAGTCCCTACATTGGCTTCCTATAAAATATAGGGCTCAGTTTAAAATTCTGGTTCTTGCTTTCAAATCTCTACATAATGCTTCTCCCACCTATCTATCCTCCCGTCTAGGCCCTTCCGATCTGCTGAAGACTTACGTCTATCTTCTGTTAGTACTCCTACCTCTGATGCTTGCCTTCAAGATTTGCGGAATTTGCTGGCGCTATATAAATAAATAACAACAACAATGTCTTTGCAAGGCAGGTGCTCTGGGCAACTGCCTGCCTCTTGAGTTCAACTCCATTGAGAAAAACAACCAGAAAGCAAAATGGACCAATTGCCTGAAAGCCAGGGGGTGTAACAAGGTTCATTTATAAAAGTTCCAATTTGTATTTAAATCTGCACTTCTTGTTAAAGAGGTCACATTCTTCACACGCGAAACCCTTCAGCAAGCTAAAATGTTTTAAGGGACTGGAGTTTTGCATCAGTTTGAGGAACACAACTTGAACAGAGATCTGTATTCCCTGGAGGGAGAGCCAAAGTAAGGACTGGGCCTGTGAAAATGTGGCTCAGATAATAGCAGCACACAGCCCAGTAAGCCGAGCTATGGGTAAACTGATAGCAACATATACACACACATATACATATATATATATATATATATATACACATATATACACACACACACACACACACACACACACACCTCTCCATCACCTTTAAACCCATAGTTTTTCTTTAATCAATGGGGTAGTGTGATGTTGTGGTTGGCTTAACACGATATGGTCATATGGTGCAATATTTGTTTGCAAGATGATTTTAAGTAGCCTTGTAAAATTAAAACTGTGTACATTGTTAATCTGTTTACAATGCTGCAACAGGGAGGACGAGCCGGAGCAGGTAACCTTTGGTCTGCACCTCCGCAGAGTGCACACTGAGAAACCCGGAGGTTGCACTCTGCACGAGGTGCATACCACATGCTCCCCCACTTGACCACCAGGGACGTTAACCCTCCATAGACCCCTAGAGACCAAACACCCTCTCCCTGCGGAAAGTTCGGCAGGAGGGGACAAAACAGAACACACATTGTGCCACATCTAGCAAATATCACACAGCAATCAAATATCAAAACATACACAGTCAGTGTGTACCACACATACAAACAAAACAAACAAACAAACAAACAGGTGGCTTAGAACATACAGAAGGAGGGGGAAACAGAGTGCAACAGAGGATGTAACACTCCTGGTTATTCACAAAATTTAATCTGAATGGAAAAACAAAAAGGGCAAAAAAAATAAATAAAAATAATTGTGATTAAAGGAACACTATAGTCGCCTAAATTACTATAGCTAAATAAAGCAGTTTTAGTGCATAGATCATTCCACTGCAAATTCACTGCTCAATTCACTGTCATTTAGGAGTTAAATCCCTTTGTTTCTGTTTATGCAGCCCTAGCCACACCTCCCCTGGCTATGACTGACAGAGCCTGCATTGAAAAAAAAAAACAAAAAAAAAAAAACTGGTTTCACTTTCAAACAGATTTAATTTACCTTAAATAATTGTATCTCAATCTCTAAATTGAACTTTAATCACATACAGGAGGCTCTTGTAGGGTCTAGCAAGCTATTAAAATAGCAGGGGATAAGAAAATCTTGATTAAACAGAACTTGCAATAAAAAAAGCCTAAATAGGGCTCTCTTTACAGGAAGTGTTTATGGAAGACTGTGCAAGTCACATGCAGGGAGGTGTGACTAGGGTTCATAAACAAAGGGATTTAACTCCTAAATGGCAGAGGATTGAGCAGTGAGGCTGCAGGGGCATGTTCTATACACCAAAACTGCTTCATTAAGCTAAAGTTGTTCAGGTGACTATAGTGTCCCTTTAAGGCTATGCTGGCTAAGTTTTCCAAGACCTGCTTTTTTTGCCTCAATTTTTCCATTTGGAATTATTTGAAAAATGTATGATTTTAGTGAATGAACCAGACAGTGTACAGGGTCTGAAATCTTAGGGGTCAGGATACGTAAATTAGGTCGTCAGCAATTTAGTCTCCTGGAAATAAAATGTAAAAACACACACACCACACACTGACAAGTTCCTAAACAGAATATTTTTACAGATAATATTAGCCCACGGACTACATAAGCTGCCAGTCGGCAAGTTAATAAGTCCACAAACTTAAACACTGGTGCAGCGACATTTGATAATAGGGGACTAGTAATGTCGCGAACGGTTCGCTGCAGTTGCTGCAAATCCCTAAACTTTACCAAAATCATCTTTGGACTCAGACGTTTCCAGAAATTAACCTGGTTAGCTAGGACCCTGAATTGTTGGGCAGATTTCACTAGTCACTGCAAAGGTTGAAGGTACGGGAGGGGCTGATTCAAATAAATCAAAGCTCTGTGAACAGTCTCAGGTCTGCTCAGAGAAGGGCTTTTGGGTAGTTCAGTTATCAACCTCTACTTAAAGGGAAACCCACAGCACCAAATTCCCTGGCACTTCCTCACAGTAAGTTGTCAAACCATTTTAGAATGGTTTAACAACTTACCTGGACATTGTTTTGGCTGGACCCTCTTCACTTACTGTTCCTGTACGTCATTCGTGTTTTGTTCGAATTAAATGTTTGTCTTGTTTCCTGACACTGGGTGTCACCGTCAAATACCGGACCAAAAGATCTGTTTCAATCCAGGAAGTGCCCCCCAGTAGCTGATAGACAGCCACTGGAGGCAGACTTAGGAGCTGCAACTAAACATTGCAGTTTCTATGGAACTGCAATGCTTAATATTGATGCATGAAGTGCAAAAGGGACAGTGCACCCAGACCACTTGAATGAGCTGTAAGGATGTCTGTTACCTCAATTAAGCCAAGCCCTGCAAAGTATAAGCATCATTTACTGAACAGCAAGAACTGTAGTGTTTTGAAAACAGAATTTCACCTTTGACACCTAGTATGGACTTGAAAAAAAAAAAATACTATTTAAATGGTTGTATCCACCTAACATTATTTATCATTTGCAAAAAGAAATGCAAAACAGTGACCACAACAGTTTGAGAATTTCTTCCAAATCAGCTATTTTTGCCTCATTTCAGTACTTAATTCACCATTTAGTAAATAAACAGCAGAGCTCTGCTATTTCATTCTACATGCTTCAATTACCTCTCCAATTTACCACAATTCGCTGTTTATTGAATAGGTAACTATAAGGATCTGCATTGGTACTATATCGTCAGAATGATCTTTTCAGAAAACACGCATTACCTCCAATAAAAGCCCCTCCAGGGCTCTCTGGGATCAGCACATGACCCTTTTCTCTACAGTTCTAAAACGAGAGAGACTCATGATCAGCGCTTACCCCTTCCTACACCCACAGGAAGACAATATGGATTGATTTTAATAGAGGGCAGGCTGGCTAGTTTATAAAAAAAAAAAAAAAAAATGAAAAAAGAAAAAAATCATTGCAGAGGAAACAGCGAGAGTGAATTACAACACACACACACACACACAGCTAATTAGTAATGCCATGTGAGGTCACTAATGGGCAGCTTATAGACTGTTTTAGGCGTTCTGCTTCCTGAAGGGGAGGGATCCACATCCTTGGATTGCAGACATCATTCTACCAAGGTTGTCTGATCCTTAGACCTGTGTGTTCTATACACACTCACCTCTCAATCTGCTATTCTATAGAACCTTCATGTTGCTGGATAGTGTGTGGAACTCTCCAGCTGCTACATATGTATTTTTTCTCTATCAACGCAATCCTCTAGTATTTAAAGGACCAGTAACTTGCACACCATCATCCTTCAGCCCAACAGATTTTTTTTTCTTCTTGCTATTTTAGGTAAACTACCCAATACATACATATTGTATATTATTTAAAAATAGTAACCAGGGAAGAGGAGGGGTTGGTGACCCCAGCTGTTGCAGTCATTTGTTATTGGGCTTTTTTGTTGTTGTTGGTTTTTCTTTCTCGAACAGTAAACAAAAAGCAGGAGCTGCAGTTGTTTCCAGCAAAGCCCAGTTCGTATCAGAGTCACTGATGAGAAGCCAAAGGATCTGGGAGCCGAGCCTGCACCAGATACTGCGCTGCCCAGTAAGTGCTCACTTTGTGGCGATCAGACCGCTTTGAATTGGAGTTTTGCTTTAAATGCATATTCGCTGCATTATTGTGATATCGTTAATGTGGATTGAAGGACGCGCAGCAATGTATGGACAGCGGGCTCAGCAATTCTTAGAGGAAGCCCAGCCTACTCTGTGCCATGTATTATTAACCCACTGGGTGCCAGGGTTTGTAAACAATGCATTGCAATAGTATATTTGGTACTAGAGCTGTATGGCCTTATATAGTAGCTGATGTATCACCGACTCCTTGGTTGTAATGTAGAGCGTGTGTGTGTCTTTGAAACCTAAAACACCCACTAAATAACCTTGAATTTCCATTAAGGTTATTCGCTGAACTGAGAAATTATCAGGAAGTTCAAATTATTCAAATCTGCTATTTTTCCATTCTCTAATTTGATCTAAAAATTCAAACTCCCAGTTAGAAAAATAACTTGGTTTGTTTTCTTAACCTTGTGTTTTCCTGTTGGTGGTGGTGTCTGTGTGTGGATTGATAAACTCCTAGCTATGTGTTTTAAACTATAACATTGTTAATTTGTTTCTGAGTTAATGTAAACAGAACGCTTTTTTTTTTTTTTTTTTGGATTCATTCCAAATGACTGTTTGTCAGTTGCATACATGGCAGGTCATGAAGTCACATAACATATTACTGAATAGCTCCACCTTAGATGACATTTCCAGCAGCACTCCTGTATCAAAAGTGCCTCAGTTTATGAGAACCTCTTTAGCCATTTAAATAGGAACTGCCACTAAAGAAATGTACGCGCAAACTGAAAATGTATTAATTTATTTTTGCTGTAGTGGTTATGGTGCCAGAAGTATCCCAGTGATGTGCCAGAATAACCTGTCCAAAAATCTTATCTTAGAGGTTGAGATGCTTAGCTCATTCATTGGCCGAGTTTGCTCGGATGACAGTCTATGAAGTAAATGCTTCAAATATGCTTAGCAGTTGACAGGAGACATTGCTGATTGAGGGTATATTTACATTTTCTACAAACACATCCATATTTATTTATATGCATTTCCCTCTGGTCCAGATGTTGTTGTACTGCATGTACCATGTTGTGTGTCTACATGCTGGCATTGGATAGAAACTGTTCCAATTGCCATTTCTACCATAAATTTTAGGTTTGCGAGACCCGTGACACACAATTTTAAAGTGAAGTGAACGTGGTTTACATAGATGCTTCTTCAAAGTGTTTATTATTATTATTTTTATTTTCTTGAGGATGTAGTTTTGTCATGAAGCAGTTATCCTGTGGTGTTGGAGAGCTGTACCAGTTTGCAACTGCTGTTTTTCATTACTGTATTTTGTCTTTGTGTTGCATGTACTGTCCATCTTATGCTACTGGATGCAATATACTGTATTTACTCAAATCGAGTGTGCACCTCAATTTTCTTTGAAGCCTGGAAGCTGAAAAATGTTTTTGCTGGCGAATGTCATGCGCGTTTTTACAAGAAGATACTACTATACAACATTGTGCTACAATGAAAATGTTTATTGCCATATACCATAGTAACCTTGATGGTATTTCAATTTTAGTGTTACATGTTAAGTCTATTCTTTCTGAAGCCCTTTTTCAGGAACGAAATTCGCCTGTGTGAATTTGACGAAATGCAATTTGCCGGAAAATTTATAATTTGCCCTTCTAATGCGCATTCAAATTTTTTTTTTAGAGTAAAAACTGTGTTGAGTCACTGCTTTGATTCTCAACAAGGTAAGCTCTGACATTTATCTTCACAATGTCAATTAAATTAATACTGTTAAGTTGGGTATTAATACTCCAGACCTGCACATACTTGAAAACTAGAAAAAAATGTACATTTACTGGTAAAAACTTTTACAATGTGTCACCCACTGCAATGACCACTGGTGTCCCCCCTACCACCACCCTTGCATATCCTCCTATACCAGATCTTATGATGTAGATCTTGCATATTCTTTTTGCGAGAGTTCCAGCTAGGATGGTGTCAGTTTTTCAGCTGGTTATCATGGCAACACTAGCATTGGTAGTTCTAGATATCATGAAGGATATGCAGCATTGGTAGCTGATACTAGCATTGGTAGTTCTAGAAATCATGAAGGATATGCAGCGGCTTACTAACAGGGGTTGGTTCGTCCCAGTTAACAAGCCACAGAGGGGTGCTCACAGCACCCCCTTTCACCACAGCAAGTGCCTGCCGAGTGCATTGCTGTGGGGGTGCCATGCGGTAGCGGTCTGCTCTAACACTGTTTTGTCAGTGTCTGTGGAGCTGACGTCAAGGGGCCTGCTGGAAGCTCTCTGCACTGATTTCCGAACTCCCTTGTGCCCCCGGTATTGATGCGGGAGTTGGAATGTGACATCACTCTAGCACTAGGATCGGTACAGAGCAGAAGGGAGCAGGGCAATCGGTACTGAGGCTGCTTCAAGCAGCAAACCCTGTACCCCATGGATAAGGTTCCACTCCAGATCTACCTGTTATAGTAAGGGAAGGGAGACTGTGAACCCCCCACTTTCCCAAAAGGAAATCAAATGAAAATTAAAGGTGTGAGTAAGAATTTGTTTATGTATCAGTCTGCGTGTGTCTTTGTATATAAATGTGTTTTTTGTCTTTGTATAAGATTGTTTTGTTTTTTATGATTGTGAATATATGTGTGCAATTTCCCTAACAAAAGGGGTTTGAGGGTGTAAATTCTACCCTTTTATTTTTTTGGGGTGGGGGGGAGGTGCCAAAATATTGGTCACCCCAGCTTGCCATGTAACCTGGGTATGCCTCTAGGAACATGGAGGATCTGCACCCATCAAAAGTGCAGACCCGAAGGTCTTTGATCATCCTCTGACCGGCTGGCTGGGACACTCAAGGTTAAGGTAGCGCCAGCCATGTGGTCTGCACCCCTCTAATTTTGCCAGTGAATATATATTTTTATTCATTTGTCACTCTGTGCATGCACAAAGTACATGAATTTACAGTTCTTTATTGGGTGCATACATGGATGTATGTACAGTAAGTGCAATATGAGAAGGCCGGCCTTGCCCTTGACTTTGAATTGTGCAGGGAGCTAGGTGTTGACTCAGGGTGTATAACGTTGAACTGTGTATTTGTAAAAAAAAATAAAAAAAAAAATTATATATTATTTGCAGCATTTGAAATAGTATATGGTTAGGGAGGTGTGTTCTGTTGTTACTGTCAACAAACAGTGACCTTGTTTAATCAGTAGGAAGATATTATCTCATCTGAAAGCGGAACAAGCTTGTTACACTAAAAAAAATGTACTCTTACACATTCGTGGGGGGGGGGGGTGGAGAATCAATCCTTCTCCCTCTTTTCCTTGGGAAGTCTTCAGTACACGGTACTGCGTTAGGGTGACCACATTTAGAAAATATGGTACCTAGTGTCCCCTTTAAATCTTCATGTGACATTTTTATTTTTTATTTTTACACTAGTCTAGTCATTAATTGTGCACTAACTAGTCTACACACACACACACACACACATTTAATTGTGCTTTTAGAATATTGCATTGTGGTGCATAAGTGAATCAATGTTATGCTAAATCTATAAATAACTTGCTGATAATACTTTTGGTAATTTTGACACACCATTTGCTAGAATTGTCCATTCTTTACTGTTCGAAATGTGTGCAAGTTGGACCTCCTAGGATTTTCTATTTTAATAAGGGGAAGCCAACTGCATCAAACTCTGATGTGGACTGTTTCTGTTCTGGAATAAAATCTGTGATCACGTGGATTTACTTTTTTCAAACTATATGAAACCATTAAACGTATGTGTGTTTTTTAATTCTGAATGACTGACTGTCTGATGCAGAATGGTGCACAGAGGAGGCATTTAAATGTAAACCAATATAGAAAGGTTTTCAGCAGATTTTACTTTTCCTTGGGTACTGTAGGCACACTGCATCATCGGACAATTCAAAGAACCTTTTCATCTTGTAGATACAAGTAAAATCCTGGCTTTTGGCAGCTAACATCACACACAATGTAGCTTCTGATGTTATTGTTTGAAACTGATTTCATTAGTGACTGTGCAGCTATAAAATGGAACGGTCCCTTCTGTAAAGGTTACACTACTAAATCCATTAAATAAGACACGTACAATCACCTGTGACTTGTATAGGTCATATACATTTTTAGCAATTAAAGGGACATTATAAACACCAGAACAACTACAATTTATTTTAGTTGTTCTAGTGTCTATAGTATGTCCCTGCAGTCTTTTTTTATGTAAACACTGCCTTTTGAGAGATAAAGCCGTGTCTACATTACAGACTAGGAACACCTCTAGTGGTCACTCCTCAAATGGCTACTAGAGGTGCTTCCTGGGGCAGTGTTAAGAGTGTGCGGCTCTAACGTTCAGTGTCCCTATACTCTGCATAAAATTGCTGAACTTTACCCGTAGGGATGCGTTGATTCAATGCTAATTCTAATCATTCAAGGCACAGCCAGGGCACACACTGCAAAGGAAAAGGAGAAATGGAAACATTGTTTCATATGTCTTCCTCCCTACATGAGTGCAAAGGACAGCACTTATAACAATGATTGACAGGGAACTAAGAAGGAGGCGAGGCACTCAATACAGAGTGCAAATTTCTAAGTGTTTTTTATTTTACTTTTGCTATATAACTCTAGTGTGTGTGTGTGTGTTTTTTTTTTTGTTTGTTTGTTTTGTTTTTTATGTGGCATAAGCAAACATAAAATGGAAAATCCTGGTAAGTTGCATATCCTCTTTATGGTAACCGGTAAAGAATCCTCAGCCTTTTCACACTTTATGTGAAATAACCCATACCTGGTAACCTCTATAGGCCCCTGAATGAATGCACAACAGACTGACAATCAATCCAGCAGCCAGCCCACTGTGGGCGTGCCTTGCAGAGAGTACTGTCCTAGTGCCTGTAGTGTAAGTGTATCTAATGTTGTGCTTGCACTTTGCATGTTGTGGACAGTTCACAAGTGTCCCCAAAAGAGGGACACCAGGTTTTTAAGTCTTGGATGGCAGGACAGAACCTGCAAATCGGGACGGTTTGGAGGCATGATAACCTAGTGATATATTTTTAGGTAGACATAAATGTAACGCTCTTTGAATACAAAGTAAAGGTGTTCTGAATTGCAGTGTAACACAGAAGGATTTATAAACTAAATTTTAACTAAAAACTAATTTGCAAAATCTGAGTCAAAATATGAGTTGGGAAAAACGTTATCTGTTATAGCTGCAATCTGCCTATTTTAACCTGACTTTTCCAGTTCAGTTTTCAATTCCTTTGTGAATATGCTCTAGAGTCAGGTTATTGTAATTTATACAACAAGCCGTTTTTGTTAACTGTGTGTATGTCTATATGTACCGAAGAGATAAGAAAAAAAATACAGCCTTCACATGTGCTCAGAGCAAAATCATGTCACTTGAACCGAAAGAGGTCAAGGAGTCTTTTGTCACAATTTTTTCATTCTTTAAGATGTGTAATAAACATGAAGTCCAAGCCATGTTACAGAATATGATATCTCATGTTTGCAGAGAAAACAGAAAAAAAAAAAAAAGTTGTTTGTGAGGCTTGGGAAGAATAGCTGCCTTAGCAAATATTTACAGTTTGGCTATTTTTGCCTTAAATTTGAAACTCATTTTAGTGAAGGACCCTGCAGGTGTCCAAGAGCAAACCAGGTAAGGTCAGTGTATCCTAATACCTCTTGCTTGTTTGTAAGGACTGAAAATTGCTAATTAGTGACGAAGATCGTAATCTTTCTCTGAAACGGCAATGTTTCACATTGTAGGGCTGAGGAGACGGGGACAGATACTGCACCAAAACCACTTCAATGAATGAAGTGATCTGGGTACCTATAGTGTCCCTTTAATGGTTAAACTTGAACAGATGGATGTACAATTTTTGGGTTCTGTTGAGAACCTACTGGGGCTAAGGGGCACCTAGTTGGTATAAATGGCTCCATGGCATGCTGGCAGTGTTACTGATGTTAGTCTTTGCTGCAGTTGAAATTACACAGATTGGTAGCTATTTAAAACCATAGCCATTAAGGTTTACCATCCTTTTGTGGTTCTAGTAGCCATAAGCATGTTCTATGTATTTGGATTTGGCTTTTTTCTGGCTATTTTACCAGTTTTATTTATTTCTAGATTTCTTACCATGGCTAGTGGTATATAATATTTTTCTTACTCTTTAGAGACATATGCACTCTAAGGAACTGTAATACTGACATCTGTCCTCTTTCTGATCTTTTGTTATTTGTTAGGATTTGGTTTGACTTGCAAGTTATCTAATACCTCTTCCTTACATTATTCTGGTGTATCTGACACCTTCTCTTTAAAAAAAACAAAACTGTATATTTCTAACTCTGTAGTGCCCTAGTCACTGTTTAAATGACTAGGCCCCCACTGCAAGGGTTAAATAGATTTTTTTTTTTTACTTTTTCTCCCTGGCAGTGCCAGTCTGCAGAAGTCCACCAGTCTGCAGCGGTCCACTCCACCTCTTTGGCTTAGGTGATCGAGATCGATGATCACAGCCAATCCAATGGTTTCCTACAGGAAATTATAATTTTAACATGCATGTTGAATGGGTGAAAATCAGGGTTTACGCTTCTTGGGGGTTTTAATAGACCATGTCATCCACAAAACATGTTTGGTTTATTAGGAGTGGAGCTGGGGTGTATTGGGAGTGGAGTCGGTGGTGGGGTTCTATTGTGTCTTCAAATTTAGCTAGTGATCACCTTGACATCAAGCCAATCCTGCAGCAAACCTCCTACTAACATGTGCCAGTTCTGTAGCCATATCAAATCTGTCAGGAAGAGTAACTGCTTGATTAAAGTGTATCGGGTGTAAAGAGAAGCTGTGGGGGTAAAATGACCCCCTAGATTTTAATGCTGGCTTTTTGTTTTTGCCAGTACACTAGAAACTAAAACCGTCTTGGTTTATAAAATGAGAACCTTTACAAAAAAACAATAAACACAAAACATGAAGTTAAGTTAAAAAAATATTTTTAAATTCTTGGTATACTTTTTTTTTCTTAGTAAAATAGAGACTGGTACGGCTCTTAGCCAAATGAGTTTGATTCTATGTTGTATCTATTTTCGATGAATTGTGTATATACTTTGGAGACAATTGATCACACTCCTGAAATGGGAAGTATTTATGTTTGCGTACACTGGGTGTATGTACTTTTACTATACTATATACTATGTATGTACTTTAAAATCCCTCTGGTTGTGTTTTGTTTTAATTTATTTACTTTAAAATTTTTTTATTTTTTTTTATCCTTACAGCCTGGTTTAATTTGAGGCTTCCCAGACTTGAAGGGAAATTAATGGAATTAAAACGTTATCTTACCTCAAGGGGTTAAACCATAGACGAACATTCCTCCCAGGGGTTTAAATTTTCAAATTCGGGAAGTTGTGATTGTCCGAGAGCGGTCAACTGATGCTCTCAGTCAGTCAGTGACTCCTCATTCACAAAACTAGCTTGCAAAAGGTACATTTCTTTGCAAGTCAGTTTTGTGATTGGGGAGTCACTGATTGGCTGAGAGTGGTCAGCTGACGCTCTCAGCCTATCAGCGGCGCCCCTGGCTGGTGGTGCGCTTCCTGAATCTAAAAATGAAAAAGCCTTGAAGCTGCCTGTGGGGAGTGGACATCGGCGCTGGAGGCACTTAGGGGTTAGACCGTTCTGTGGTTTAACCCCTTGAGTTGAGTGCCTCCAGGGACATCCTGGCACTATAACAACCTCATTTAGATTTTGTTTTTATTTTTTTATTCCTGGAGTGTCCCTTTAACTTGTGGCAGAAATAACAGTCCAGATCATATAGATAATTTACTTAGCAGTTTCAGCAAAAAGCTGTGGTGTTTACACAAGGCTGAATTCTGTATCTCTCTGCAGACAATACCTGTTAACACTAATAATCCTTTTATTTTACTATTCTAGAACAGGTGAAAGCTGGGAATCATCTGCCTATGTTGGTTTACTAAACAATACCTCTTTCTATTTGAACACGGTATCCACTTGAAATTACCATAGAAAGCTATTTTTACTTTATCCACCCACATACCAGTCATCTACAAAATGAATTTCTTTTTTTTTTTTTTTTAATGCATTTTGTTTTCTTGTCAAATCTGTTCTATACATTTTTCATGCAATTAGCATGTGATTTTTTTTTTATGGGATGCTTATTTTATACTTTATATGTGCACATTTGTAAGATTATTTGTGGGTCCATCACCAATATTGAATATATTAGTGTTATTCCACCTTTTTGTTTTGTTTTGTTTTGTTTGTTTGTTTTTTTTTGTTTTTGTTTTTTTTTTTGAGGTGGGTGAGGGTGACTTAAAAAAAAAAAAAATAATAATAATTTTTTTTATTATTTTAAATGCACGATTACTTAATTTAAAAATGTAATTTCTTAGAAAAAAAATAAATATTGAGGGGATAGGGAAGCAGCAGGGTTCAACTTGGGGAGGGAAGCAGCTTCCCCTTGCTGGCTCTGCCTGCAAAGGGGAAGCTTAATACGTCTATTGTCAGTGCTCACTGGCGATAGGCATGTTTTATACACAGAATTGACATTCGGAAGTAAAAAAACAGTAACTAATCCTTGGCACACAATGGCTGAGTTTCTCTGTATGTGCAGCCTTTCAAGTTTTGAAGTGGTCATGGTGATTGGAGTAACCACTTTACGCATGTTCAATAATCTCTCAACTAATCACTAGTAATATTTTCAGAGGATTGATTACTTAGGCAGCCAGAAGTTGTGAAGGGCAGAGCTTATAACATTTTAACCCCTTAATGGCCGTTTGTCGGTACTAGGTACGTCCGTCAAACGGTCGTTAAGGAGCGTGGACGTACCTAGTACGTCCGCAGGAAATAAGAGTGCTACTCTTTTCTGGGCAATATGGGTGGTATTGTTCTACTCGGGAGACTTCGCAGAACACAAATATGAGTTGTTGTGTTTTTTTTTTGTTTTGTTTTTTTTTAACAGTAAAACCGATCACAGCGATGATATTGTCAGTGAAAGTGAAGTTTTTTTGCATTTTTCACACACAAACGGTACTTTCACCGATGATATCATTGTTGTGATACGTTTTACTGTATTGAAACACTAATATTTGTGTTCAGCGAAGTCTCCCGAGTAAAACCGTACCCCCCCCATGTACAGGTTTTATAGTAAAATTTTCCATTTTTTTCACAATGAAATTTGCCAGATTGGTTATGTTGCCTTTGAGAACGTATGGTAGCCCAGGAATGAGAATTACCCCCATGATGGCATACCATTTGCAAAAGAAGACAACCCATGGTATTGCAAATGGGGTATGTCCAGTCTTTTTTTAGTAGCCACTGGCCAAAGTTAGTGTGTGTGTGTGTGTATGTATGTATGTATGTGTGTGTATGTATGTATATTTTTAACACACAAACAAATATATATGCTAACTTTGGCCAGTGTTTGTGGCTACTAAAAAAGACCGGACATACCCTGGGTCGTCTACTTTAAAAAAAAATATGTACATGTGAGGTGTGATTCAGAGATTTGACCGATAAGTGTTAAAAAAATATATATTTTGAAACCGCAATATCCCACTTGTACTTATAGCCCTATAACTTGTAAAAGAAAAAAGCGAAGTTAACATTGGGTATTTCTAAACTCAGGGCAAAATTTAGAAACTATTTAGCATGGGTGTTTTGGCGGTTGTAGAAGCGTAACAGATTTTGGGGGTCAAATTTAGAAAGTGTGTGTTTTGTTTTTAAAAAAAAAAAAAAAATTCATCACATTTTATAATTTATTTTTATATTACATTTTGATATGAAGAATAATGGTATCTTGAGAAAGACCATTTAATGACGAGAAAAACGGTATATAATATGTGCGGGTACAGTAAATGAGTAAGAGGGAAAATTACAGCTAAACACAAACACCGCAGAAATGGAAGAACAGCTCTGGTCCTTAACGGTAAGAAAATTAAACTGTCTGGTCACTAAGTTGTTGATTTCATTTTTTCACACCTCACAAAACACTTTTCAATTTCAGCTTTTTGTTTTTGGCTTTTTTATTTTTCTTCTAAACAAACTTCAGCTCGGCCTGCTTCACCAAACAGGAGTGACCTCCTTTGTGATGCCAACACTCTCGCTTCATTGACAACATGCAAGGGTCTAAATGTGATGTTGGTCACTCCGATCCTATACTTCCTAGCCAGCGGCGGCTAGGACGCTACCATAGCAACCACAGTGCATGCACCATGATTATTGGCAAGTGAGAGACCGGACAATTAAATTGGGGAAAAAAAATAAGGATTTTTTTTTTTTTCTTCTCTTCTAATCTGTATGTTTCCTTTCACAACATATAGAATAAAAATAGAGGATGAACTGTGCCTGGTGACCGGTAGCCTTTAAAGATTAAAATACCTGCTAACCCAGATGACGCGAAGGCATCCAACAACCCCTACTTCTCGGAAGACTCCAAAGAGGCTCTACACAAAGGCTCTGCAGGAGAGGAAACCAAGGTCTGCGCGACCAAAACGGGGGTATGAGGGAGACGCAAACTATCCTCATTCTCCTTAGAGAAATCAGGGGGAAAGGGGAAAATGCATACCCCTCTCGAAATCGCCATTTGCTGGAAAGAGCGTCCCTCCCCATGGCTAGAGGATCATTGTCCTACGTGAAGAAACCTTCCACCTTCCTGTTCTTTCGTGTCGCAAACAAGTCCATTTGATCTGCTGAGGAAATCCGCGATCTGATTCTGTTTCCCCGGGAGATGAATTTCTGTGAGGCCTGCCAGGTGTCGTTGAGACCACGACATCAACTGATGTGTAAACCCCAGCATCCTGCGGCTCCTGGTGCCACCCTGATGGTTTATGTAGGCTACCACCGCAGCATTGTCTGACTGAATCTTCACCCAACGAGTGACGAATCAGCAGAGAGAAATGTTTCAGGGCTTTGAGAACAGCAAAGAGTCCCAGGAGATTGGAAGGCAAGTTGCCCGCAGGTAACTTCCATTCCTCCTGCGTGAAGTCGCGTTGACAATGGGCTCCCAAACCCCAAAGGCTGGCATTCGTCATTATTACTATCCACGGAATGCCTCCCAGAGGGAAGCCCTTGGCTAAGGAGACTCTGTTTAGCCACCGAACCAGGGAATTGTGAACTGGCAACGGAATCTTAATGGGCTGGAGTAGACTTTTTGAGGAGAATTGAAGGAGGAAATTCGCCTGAAAGCTCCTCATCCTCCTTTGTGCCAACTTTGTCAGTCCTATCGTGGAGGACATGGAACCCAGGAGACTCATCGTCTTCTTCGCTGAAGTCACCTTGCATGCCAACATCTCCACAACCTGTTTCTGTATTCTCAGGATCCTCTCCGGGGAGAGTTGAACCGTCCCCGCGGATGTGTTGAACAGAGCACCCAGGTATGTCATGGACTGACTTGGGCAGAGATGGCTCTTTTTCACATTGATTCTCCAACCATGACGTTCTAGGAACTGAAGGCAAACCGTTGCATGGGAGGACAAAGTATCCTTTTTGGTCAGAAATAGATGGGAGTAGAAGCCGTGAGTCCTTTCTGACTCCGGGACTGGTACAATGACTCCCTCTTTTTGTAGAGAAGAAGTGAAGACCTGAAGAGCATGCCTTTTTACTTTGTCTCCCGGTCACTTTGTTACTTGGAAGGAACTTGAAGGAGGGTGTTTGCAAAATTCTAGAAGATATCCCCTTCTGATGATATCCAGAACCCAGATGTCGCTTACGGATCCCTCCCATGCCACACTGAATTGGAGCAAGCGAGCACCAACCCCGCCTGACAAGGAGATGAGCCCGTCACAGATTCCTGGGGTTCTTGGAGGGTGCTGAACCTCGGGACTTGCCACCTCTTGCACCATGTTGACTGCTCCTCCAGGATTGATTTTCTCCCATATTCCTTACCCAGTCTGTAGGATCTGTATTCTCCAAATTCTCCATCCTAACATTAAGCGCCCTGGATACTGACATAAGGGCCACCGCTGGGTGCAGGCCAGTACCTGAAGCCACATATGTTTTGGAAAGACTGAAGTCCATCTTTCTGTCCATGGGGTCTTTGAAGGAACCCGCATCATCAACAGGTAAAGTGGTACGTTTGGCCAATCTAACCACAGCCGCATCTACCTTGGGAGCGGAATCCCATGTTTCAGCGTCAGCATCCTCGAAAGGATACAGTCTGGAGAATTTACCTTTTGCAGAGGATTTTTTTTTTTTTTTTATCCAATATGGACCATTCCTCCTTCATGAGGTCTTTTTTATTGTCTCATGGACTGGAAAAGTCGCCTTCTTCCTCCTGAGGTCAGAGAAGTGGCGACTGGATGTGGAAGGCTCATCCTTAGAAGATTCCTTCAAACAGAGTTTTGCGGACTCTGGATATCAAATGGTCAATTTCAGCAGGTTTCACGAAATCTGGAGCTGGAAGCACCTCATCCTCAGAAGAAGAACCCAGGTCTCTCATGGATTCCATAGTCATACACTCCACATCAGAGACATCTGGAGAACACTCCGATGGTTCCAAACACCTTGGTTGCTTGCGGGACTTCCCAGCTTCCTGAATGCCCAGAGCGACTGCTTGTGCTGCATAATGTCAGATTGGATGGAGGACTGCCTTTGAGATGGGCCTGCAGCCACAGATGGGCAAGAAAAACAGAGACTTTTCCCTTCCAGGGCTTTATCACAGGATTCACATTGTGTCTTTTTGGATGACTTCCCTTTGGACGACACTGAAGCTCTAGTCCCCTTAGAACTGCGGAAAGAGGGACAGAACAGTGTATCAGACAAATACCAGATAAAACAAACCATATAAAACATGGCTTACCCATAAGACTTAGGTTGTGACCTTTTGTGAGGTGGGGAAGAATCAGAATCAGAGGAATTTGAGACTTCCATATCCATCTGCAGAACCAAATTCAAGCAGGAAATAGGAGGAAGCAATGCAGCATTCGCCAGAACGATTTCCACGAGTGTGTGAACCAGGGGGCTGTTAAATAGGCATCTGACGTCACACACAGAGCACCTGTGAGAATCAGACAAACAAGCCATTCACGTGAACAAACGAACGTTCGCCAGAATTCATGCGAATGGCTAAAAGCACAAATGGACACAAAACCAATCCGCAAACCATAAACGAACGCCAAGTTGAAAACGAAAGAAACCACAGGGACTTACCCCTTCAGAAGGACGCAGAAAAGGCAGAGGGAAGTCGGAAACAGGGAGAAGTCCAGACCAGCAAGGTACACGTCCAAGTCCATATTCACCTGCCCACTGAGACCCCTTCATGTCGCAAACCGGATCACTGCAGCATTAGGGAACCAGGCATAACAGCTTGCTACCCCTTTGGTTACAGCAAGTACCAGACCCCCGGTCACTAAAGGGGGTCACCTTTGCGCAGGGCTGTGTAACTGTAGACTTCCCAAGGGAGAGAGGCTGGACTCCCAAGGGGCCAGGGGAACAAATCCCCAGGTAAGCCATAAAACAAAAATAATGGTTCCAAGGAAAAAACACACGTCCTATAGGGATAGGACAAGAACAAAAAGACTGAGGGAGGAGGGGATAGGAGGAGGTACTTATACATTTATTTTAATTAGTTCCTGTCTAATTAGGGATAGGGAGGAGCTACCCATCGTTGTGCTGCCATTGATATGGCCAGGAAATATATATATATATATATATATATATATATATATATATATATATATATATATATATATATATATATATATATATATATATATATATATATATATATATATATAGAAAATTGAAAAAGAGAGCGCAATTATCGATCAAATGAACGATCTGGATAATAGTTAATATGTGTTCTAATAAATCAATATAACTATGCTCAATACATTCTAATGGTTAAGCAGCTAAAATAATAAGAAATTTCCCAATTCCAATGTGCAGATACTGATATAAATTTCAGCGCTTAGTTGATAATCCCCTTATAAATAACAAGGGTGCATCTATATGCAAGTGGGTTGCATATAGATGCACCACTTGCATATAGATGCACCCTTGTTATTTATAAGGGGATTATCAACTAAGCGCTGAAATTTATATCAGGAAATATATATGTATGACAAAGTCAGTATAAATATTTCATAAAGATTTTATCTTTAAAAGTAGGGAAAAAAAGGATTACTGAATTAATAAAAAAAAAAATATATATATATATTTATTTTTATTTTTTTATTAATTCAGTAATCCTTCTTTATTTCCTACTTTTAAAGATAAAATCTTTATGAAATATTTATACTGACTTTGTCTCAGTATTTTTCCTATGCCTGACACTTCTAGACACTGGGTGGAGCTACCGCCATCTAGAAGTGTCAGTCTCCAGCCGTCCCCAGTGACGGCTGCAGATATTTTAGATGTATCTATGGCGGATCCCGCAAGACCTCCATAGATCTCAATGCTGCACAAGAGTGCATCAGTGACTTCTGCTTCTGGTACTGAAGCACCAGGAGCAGAACAGGACTGGCAAGATGAACATGGCATCTCCCACGAGGAACCAGTTCTGGTACATAAATATCACCCTTCCCTCTGATTTTAACAGAGTTTACATTTCACATTTGTCTCTTTGCACCTACAACACTGATCTGTAAAAGTTTTTGAAAATGTTACTTACAGTGGCACGGTCACCCTACCGCTCCCCACTGAAAAACATTACTTTATAATGATAGAATCTTTTATCAAATTCTCATTTTAACTGTGTTGGCATTTCACTGAAATTTCCAACCCAGTCCAGAAATATACTGCGAAAAAGTAGGGTCTCTGTATATTTCCTATGCCTGACACTTAACTCCTTAAGGACACATGATTCCCTTTTATTCCAGAAGTTTGGTCCTTTAAGGGGTTAAAGACACTGGACAGAGCTAGCGCTCTAGGAGTGTCAATCCCCCAGCCGTTATCCGTGATGGCTGCATGGAATTTGCTCTGTCGATGGAGAATCCCACGGTCTTGCGGGATCCTCCATAGATCTCAATGCTGTGCCAGGAGCTGAATGAGATGGCTCAGGTAAGTAGAATTTACTTTTTCCTGTCCCTACAACCGGGCCCCCAGCGGCAATGTCACCGTCTAGGGACTTTGCAGAATTCGCAGAGACCCCTAACTGTTAGCATTAAAGCAAAACCGAGAATATGAGAACTCTAGGAACAGCCAGAGGATAAGAAAAACTCCATAGCTTGACCTTCGGTAAATCAGTTTCAAAATAGTTTTTGCTCACTTGTGCCATTATAGAGTGAACTGATACCATTTGCATACGTACAAAAATACATCCTTGATAAAGTGCAGTAGTATAAATCGTGTTGTGAAGAAAGTGCTGCCAAATAGACTTGCCTCTCTCAGTTCCACGTGCCAAACATATATCAAAGAAAGTGTTCTGTGTTTCGGGAGATCTTATGGACACACCACCCGGATTATCAAAGAGACAAGTGGCCCCTCTGGGACAAATCAATTTAAGCGCAATTTATTTTGTGCAATTTGCTTGTGAGTATCTGTCTGGGTTTGTTTTTTTTAATTAAATATTACAGTAGTCATGTTTTGTATTGTGTTTTTTTTTTTTTTTCCTCTCCCTCCCTTCTCCCCCCCTCCCCCCGCCTCTCCCTATATATGTGTTATGCAAGTTTTTTTTTTTATTTTTTTTTTTCCCTTAAGGTAAATGCATTATGTTTGGACACTTAATCTTTAGTGTGTTGGCACTCGTCAGCAATTTGCACTTTATTTACATTTTGCGCTAGAGACACTACATATCTGATTGATCCCACCCACATCGACAGTCCATATCCCTAATGTCGGCATGGTTTTGATTTTGTTGCACTACATTTTACTCTTGGACTACCTTTTTAACTTGGAGAGCATCTGACTGAGACCATGTGCTCCCTGCCTAGAGGGTATTAGCTTTGCCTCACTGACGAGGCCCAAAGAAGGCCAAAGCTATCACCCAGGGTCGCTGTATCTGTCATGCTAGGTGAACTTGCCAGCATTTCGCATCTGGACTGCCCTTATGGGCGAGATCAGTCTGATATGCAAATTGTACAGGTTCTTTTTGTAATGGCACACGTGGGCCAAAAAATCCCCAACATTTTTTGAGATCTGATTAGAGAAAAATCAAAAGGCAATCTTTTGAGGTTTCTCTAAGCTGCTTTTTGCCCATTCTTATATTTTTGTCTACATTGTACTCTAAGTGTTTCTTTAAATATGACTACTCTGTAAAGTGTTTTTTAGATTGTTAGCGTTTATAGCTTGGAGGTATACATTTCCAAAAGGGACTGTGGCTAAATAATTAATTCATTCACAGATGGTTGACACAGCTAATGTAAGGCAGAGGAAATTCTGACTTTTAAGAATTGCATCCTTTTTTTTTTTTTTTCTCTTCCTGTTTTTGGTTTTATTTTTATATCTTGCAATGTACCCAGTGCCCGATGAAGCATGAACTTTCGTAGTGTTCTTTTGTTCAGCAGAAGGGGCCCTGGAGGAACCTTTATTAACTAAGTAACGCACCAATCTGGAATTTTGATTTACAGAGTATACAAGGTAACTTCCTAATTGTCATCATAATCTGCTTCCCCTCACCCCCCACCCCTTTATTTACTGTAAGTATCTCTCTTCATTGAAATTCAGAATCTCTGCTGCAGCTGAAACTCCCCATTCTCATGTCATCTCCCACTCCTGCTATTTATGCAAGCTTCTATCTCTTTCCGACCTCTACGTCTTTTTTATTGTTCTGTGGCATTTTTCTGCATTAAATTATGGCATTATACTTTTATATAGGAATTGGATGTGAAAGCACAGTTTTAATCTGGAAATTCCAACTGCATTTGGATTTAGGAAACATGAATCTTGCCGAGGCGGTCAGAATTTGGTAATTTTCTCTGTATTTTTTTCCATCAGGACAAAATTTGCTATTCATTTGTTAATAACCCATTGTGTTACACAGTTAAAATAATCCTATTCCTATTGACCCACATCGCTTCTCCCCTTTCTTTTCTTGTGCCTGTCAGGCCGCTAGTTCTGTGTAACAAACGCGCATCTGTCCACAACCTGTTGTGTTTCTAAAACCTATTAACAACTCCTGATATCAGGCCATCTTCCCCTGACACTGCATTGATTGCTGGTCTCACACCGTGGCCTCCACTTTAACCATACCCCTAGGCCAGGTGAGAAATAAGGTGGCGGTGTTGGGATCTTGCTCACTCCCCTTTCCCCCCGCACCTATCAGTACCTACTTCTGCTCCCATCTCTCCCCTTCTCCTCTTTTGAACTTTACAGCATTCGCCTGTTCTCCTCGTCTCTCTGACTGGCAGTCATCTATCACCCTCCTGGACCAAACTCCCTGTTAGTTAACCACTCCTCCTCCTGGACATCTCACTTTATCTCTCTAAATATTCCGTCACTAATTTTTGGGGACTTGAGCGTCCCCAATGATGACCTGTCTGCCCATGCTGCCTCTAAATGTCTTTCAATCACAAGCTTCTTCAGTCTCTTTCAATTGAGACCTAGAATTTCCTACCTCTGCTCTATACCTGACTGCACCTGTAACCTCTTTCCCATTTCAGATTTCCACATGCTTTTCCTATTATCTCAATGTATCTGCTTAACCAACTTGTCCTCCGTCTCCACCTCCTAGACTGTAAGCTCATGGGCTGTATAGCAAAGTACTCTGTATAAAAGCACTTCAGTGGCTAGAAGGCAGGGCCCTCTACCTTTTTGCATTGGTCGGTGCTTTTATAAATGACCGTAGTAATAATAATCTCAACCTCCACACCCATAGACATCTGCATGGGATAGGACTTTCAACTGTATTTGTTTTGTCAAGAATTGATGCATTTTGCCTTTTTACTTGTATCAATTACACTAATGTACAGCGCTGTGGAATGCACTTTGACACTTCATATTGTTGTTATACTTTTATTTATAGTATAAATATCTTTTAAAGTTGTGCAGTAGACACCCCGATCTCATATACCTTTTTAAACTATTATAAATTCCCTCTTGTATGAGTTGTGTAAGTTTTTAAAGGTAACCTTTTAAGAGACACATCAGGTATGACCTAATGTTTGTATGCATTTTTATTGGTATTAATATCTCTTCAAATATTGAGCACGTGTAATGAAAGATTTACAAACTCATTTAGCAGTTTACAGTCCTAGATGATTCCCCATAGGCATCTTAAACACCAAGTGACACCTCTTTTGTCTAAGAGGGAATAAATGTTTCCCTTACAATGCAGATCCTGGGCAGCAGGGCTGGTACTTTCTATTAGCTCCTACTTCCCTGCAGCCTCGACTGGCTCCGGTGATGTATAGCATCTGAATGTACCACATAGGCAGCAGAATCAGCAGGGAGGTAGGTGCAATTCAAACAAAGTAACCCAGACTGCCCAGAATATAATGATTTAGTAGATCGTGCCTGTGAGTTGATCGTGTTGCTTATCTTGTGTGTAGAAGATAATCCAGCGTTGCCATGATTTAAGAAAGGGAAAAAATAAATAAATGAACATGTCCCTTCTGGGGCTCCTTAAGTTCACAATGGCTAAACAGGTAAAAGTCATAAGTTCAAAATTAATCTAAATAGAAAATAGTAGAACACAAAAATGTAAAATTTTTCAATTCCCCCCATATTGATAGACTGTTGCTCGATTCTCCTACTTCTGGTAGCAAAGAAGAATTTGTTCCTGAGCGTGTCTGTGTTTTGAGAGGCTGGCCATGCTGTATGTTGGAAAGGCAATGTATCAAATTATTGTCATTGCTTGGGGCATCTAAAGTATTGTTCTCATCTTGCTTTTTTAGTATAATTTGCTGCTGAGAAGTATCTACTTGGGGATATTGACGTCAGTCTTCTCTCAATAGTTTTGTATTTCATTTCCTTGAACCAAACTCTGTTACTTTGGTTAGCTGTTGAGGTTAAAGGGACACTCTAAACACCAAAACTAATACAGCTTAATACATAGACCCGCTCCCTTTTCTCTGAGAAATGGCAATCTTTGCATTTGTCAAAACAAGCCAGACTGACAACCAATAGAGGTGCTTCCTCCTAAAAACCTTTAAAACTGCATTGTAAATTGTGCTTTACAGGATCACTATAGGGTCAGGAACACAAACATGTATTCCTGACCCTATAGTGTTTAACCCACCATTTAGGTGGCTTGCCACCCCTTAGCCTCCCTATAAAAGTTTAAAACTTTTCCTTATTTCCAGCACTAAGCGGGTCTGCCGGCACTAGCTCCACCCCTTTGTGATATTATCAAGATGACCGATTTTTAGCCAATCCAATGCTTTCCCATGGGGAAAGCATTGGATTGGCTAAAATCGGCACAGGGACGGGGCCAAATGCTGTTTTGGCCAATCAGAACCTTGATTCTCCTACTTCTGGTAGCAAAGCAGAATTTGTTCCTGAGCATGTCTGTGTTTTGAGAGGCTGGCCATGCTGTATGTTGAAATGGGGACGCTGAATGGCAGGGCTGCTTACTGTGCAGCCCTGAGCCAGGAAGACCCTCCAGTGGCCATCTAAGGAGTGGCCACTTGGAGGTGTCCCTAGGGGCTATGTTAACACTGCATTTTCTCTGAAAAGGCAGTGCTTACATGAAAATGCCTGAAAGGAACTATTATACTCACCAGAACAACTACATTAAGCTGTAGTTGTTCTGGTAACTATAGTGTCCCTTTAATAACACTTTGCTTCATGCGATGAATGATAACCTCACCTATCTCCTATCAATCGCCTGGGACATGCAGTTCCAGAAGCCAGGAGAGAGTGTGTGTGTGTGTGTGTGTTGTGTTGTGTGTGTGTTTTTTGTTTTGTTTGTTTTTTTACAAGAGGTTGTGAGCAGTAATAGACTGACACAGAAGCCACGGCTAAGCTTCCTCAGCCAGTCACTTTCTGCTGTTCACGGTTTGGCATATGTTATTGGGGACCAGACAAGACTGTAGGAGCCATAAGACACTGTTAAGCCATACACATATAGGGCCTATAGGCACCATCACAATTAATAGGCGTTTAAGTGGTTATGGCACCTGGAGTGTTCCTTTACAAATGTGGTGTGATACTCTGATGAGCACAGTCTGCAAGCCCAATCTTCAAGGAAGTCACCCTCCTAAATAGGCAAAAGGGTCGCTAACATAACATTGGTGTCTGTCTAGTATTCTGTTTTAGTAGTGTGATTGTGTGTATTGGGGTGATGTGTGGGTTTCTAGCGGGGTGTTAAATGTCTTTGCTTGTGTATATCTCTTGAGTGTGTGTGGAATGCTTACCTCTCTGTCTGGGAGCATGTGATTGCATGTATGGGAGGTTTTGTCTGGGTATTGGGGTATCTCTGAGTGCTTAGCACTTGTCTGTCGGAGTTTCTGTGATTATTTGTTTTGTTTTGGAGCTCTGTAACCCACACATAGACAAAGTACATTACTATGAGTTGTAGTGCTGTGGAGCTCTCTGATACACACTTGCACACTGTAAATGCCAGTATAAAAGAACAAAACAAGGAAATATGTTGCACTCACATTGTGGTTTATATCAGCGCTTGACACATTTGCTTTAAATCTAGGAGCCAGCTAAAAACTGACCGAGACACTGACTGACACACATTCTCTCGCACGGTATCAAAGTATTTATTATTTGATACTCTCAAATAAACACACACACACACACACACACACACACACACACACACACACACACACACACACACACACACACACACACACACACACACACACACACAGATTCAGACACACACACACACAGATTCATAGATACAGACACACACACACACACAGATTCATAGATACAGACACACACACACACACACATTTAAAAAAAATACATATTTTTAGCCACCCTCCTGCTTCCTACGTTTTGGGCTCAGAAAGATGGCTTCCCTGAGGTCTAGTGGAGCTGGTTGCGGATAATGGGAGTAAGCTGCCACTGTTCCAGACTGCGTCTTCCCCTCCCCTCGTCTCTCCAGCCCCATGTTTATCTCTGTGTGCCAGGAGGAAGTGAAGGGAATTGTAATAACTTTCTCTCGGCTCTAAGACCGTGCAAGGGAATGGGTGGGCAGCTGGCTCTGCGTAATGGAACGGTCTGGAGGGGGTGGGGGGGGTGGGGGGCTTGCAAATGCCCTGCGGGATTGTGATAGGAGGAGGAGGATGGAGCGGGCCGACCAATCCCAGGGGCCAGGACAAAATTCATAGTCGCCATGGGGACCTGGCTACTGGGTTTTGTCAAGCCCTGGTTTATATGAATTTCTATCTTAGTGGGTGAGATGGGGACAACATTTATTATTTTGACCCAGGCATGTAAATGGTTATAAAAGGCCTCATGAGGTTGACTCTGTTAACTTTACTTAATTGTTTGATAAAATAAACTACAATCCTTATTTGGAAATCTGGTCTGTTTAAGCTCACTACTTGCATTTGTTGATTGCATTACAGTATTGCTGGGTCTTTCTCTTTGGTTGCTACCAATAAAGACCCTGCTTAAATACTGTTATTTTATTTATTTATTTTAATTGAAATTATTTTGAGTATCAGTTAAAGTTAAATTCATAAGGGACACTGTCTAGCATTAAATATATAGCTTCTAAAGGCAAGCTTTTGGCAAAATGTTAAGCATTGTGGTTTCAGAGAAAAAGCAATGTTTGCATTGCTGCAGAGAACTAGAAGGTTCTAAGCAACAACCACTTCATTAAAGGACCACTCTGAAACTGCTATGTTTACAGCTGCAGGGTTAACCCTAGATTTACCTGGCACCCAGACCACTTCATGGAGCTGAAGTGGTCTGGGTGCCTACAGTGGTCCTTTTTTTTTTTTTTGTCTTTATTTGTCTGTGCTCGAAGTGGTACAGAAGTTCGTGTTGTCATGACAACATAAGCAAAGAATAAGAACAAAAAAATAGCATATACATGGCATATAACAAAGGCACAGTTTTTATAGTACTTTGACATTCAAATAATGATGCTTAATAAGGGTTCAGCATTGGTCTTATGGTCTAGCCTAGTTTGTTGAGGCTGACCGCATAAGATGGTGCATGGCTAATTTAAATGTAGGTCAGAACCGCGTGCAAGTTAGCCTAATATGCTCGTCACTTAGGAAGGGTTAATAATAATATTAATATTTGTGCTGTAGATTTTAAAGATTAACTGTTGTCCTGGTCACAGGTGGTGGGGTCGGCCAGCGGCGCCGGTTCTATAGTGGTCCTTTAAGATGATTTTAAGAGGTTTTGGTGCATTGTGTCCCTTTTTAACAAGAGTACTCTGTAATCAAGTTCTCTATGAAACTAGCTGTATGTTGTGTTTGTGTGTGTGGGTTTTTTTTAATTTTTTAATTTCATTTCCAAATGGAGTTCGAAATACAAAGGCTTGTACTGTATTAGTCTCTTAAGCATCATAAAAAATGCTGGTTTGTACCCCATGTACATGTTTCCTGTTAAAGGAGGACACATTGGCTGTTAATCTATAAACATATCACAGTTGGGAGCACTTGATATGCTACTTAGATAACCTATTGATTTTATTTTCACTGAAACGCAAGCTGTCATGTTTCAGAGTATCATGCGTGTATGTAATTGAGAGAACAGTAGCACGTCATTATTCATTGTGTTTTAGAAAGTATAGACATGTACTGTGAACACACATGGATTATGGAAGAGTAGCTTCCTTCAGAGTTAAAAAAAAAAAAAAAAAAGTCTCCTTATAATGAATTTTAAAATATAGCTATTGGTTGTATTCAGATGTATGTAATATTTATTTGAATTTTTTTATTTTAATTGACTGTATCTGCACAGTTTTCAGACTGATCCTGACTGGCATGGCATGCAAATTTCAAATATCCCATCATCCCCTGGGCTAAGCCAATGATTGACTGTGCATGCTAAAAACCATGGAAATCTTTGATCCGTATGCTTGTATAGCATCTCAGATTTTCAATACTGCATTAAAGAGAAACTGTTATTAATAGGAGCCAGCTGCTCGTTAAAGGTGGTGAAAACTGATCTTTCATGTAATGTTCAAAAAGACACTTTCACTGCATTGTATTACAAAATGGCTTTGATTTCATGGCGTACAATGACACTGTGTGGCAGAAGGTTTAAAAAAAAGCACCAACAGGGTTTTAAACCAGTTGCTAAGTAGAGTTTGGCTGCTTCCATTGGGAATAATGAGAGCCATTATCAGCTGCTTAGTGACTCCCTGTCAATGCTTGTAAACCTTTCCAGTTAATAAACGGCAGTTACGTTTTCTAAAAGTAGTGAGAGGCACAGTAATGAGAAAATTCAGTGAGATTTACATAGGCCCAAAATGAGCAAAACTATGCAAATGTCCTCTGTACCAAAAATCTTGCTTTTTGTTCAAGCAAACTGCATTTTCAATACAGAATATGAGTAACTGTTGTGCATCTTCTGTATGTATTTGTTTTGTTATACGGATGTATAACAAGTACCTTTTGCCATCTGGATTCTAGGCTAACTTTTAAAGCTCATCACTATAAATAGAATTATAGGTGTTTTATGAATCATAGGACATTTTCTTCACTGCATTGTGGTTTTGGGGGCATAAAATATTAGTTATTCTGACATTAAGTCTACGGGTACTGGGCCACTAGTCATGCCAATGTGTAGCTTGCTTGTGAATGCAAAGTTAAATAACACTTTTAGTGTCACAACAGCAAGTAGTGTGATACACTGCTTTTGTCTGTGATCATTGTTAAAGGAACACTATGGGGTCAGAAACCCAAACTTGTATTCCTATAGTGTTTAAAACCACCGCTTAGTTGGCTTGATCCCCTTAACCGGTAAGAAAAGCATTGGATTGGCTGAGACCATGATGGGTGCGGGGACCAAAGGCCGGCCTGGCCAATCCACATATCCTCAAATAGATGCATGAAATCTCTATGAGGAATGTTCAAGTCTGCATGGAGACACTGAATGTCAGTATTGCACGCTGTGCGGCACTGACACAGGAAGCACCTCTAGTGGCCATCTGAGGAGAGGCCACTTAAGGTGTCCTTAGGCTTTAATGTAAATACTGCCTTTTCTCTGAAAACACTGTTTACTGCAAATTGCCCTGCAGGGACTCTCCTTAATCTGTAGTTGTTCTGGTGACTATAGTGTTCTTTTAACAGTAAAAAAAAAATGTGCCCTTATTCCATTTGTCTTAATTTGACTTTTCTGAATGTGTGCTGTTTACATAACTGTTTTTTGCGTACTTTACCCACTAAACTATTGTAGTACATTTAAGGGGACACTCCAGACCCGTAAAGCATTTTAGCTTGCAGAAAGTCTCTATATGTGAAGAGTGAGTCCTCCCTCTTTTTTTTTTATTTTTTTTTGTGTGCAAATTGTTCAGATTACAACAGATTTTGACACGTTTATAAATTAACCTGGTTCAAAAAAAACTAAAGCAGACAACCGGCCCTGTTACTTACTGGTTTGGTTAGCTCAGTAGATCTAAACTCAAGAGGCAGCATTTGCAGAGATTATCTGTCTTGCAAAGATTAAGATACATTGGAATGTCTGTGATTGGGCAGCCACAGAAAGTGTGGGAGGGGATAGAAAGGGAGGACTTGCAAAGGCTGCAGACAAGAGAAATGCAGGCTTTGCAAGAGGTTTTCAGATATATCCCTAATAAAAAAAACAAAAAAAGCCCACAATTTTAAAGCATGTGTGTTGTCATTTGAGGCATATCTACTAAACAGTGATTTTTATTTATTTTGTATTTGGACGTTGGAGTGTCCCTTTTTAATGTATAATATGTATTCCCTTTTATTTCTGTACAGATGGGAGGTTTGTGAAGATAGCTCTATCCCATCCTATGGAAACTCAAGGCAGCATGGAACAACCATTCAACATATCATCTCTGGTATTTATATCATGTTAAGATATTAAATAGTAAATATCAGATGGGGTTCTGTATCATCTGTGAGCAGTTGGCATTGACACCAGTTGAATATTCCAAGTGACCGTTAATTGGATGGTTTATTAACCTTTTGTTTCATTGGGCACACATCAAATATATAATATAAATAGATATATGTATATAAGTAATATGATTTAAAAGCCCTTTTCTTAATTTTGCTATTTCACTTGTTTATGAGTTAATTCCCTTATTTGTTATCCATATGTGAAATTGGAGTATTTAAGGAAACCAAATAAGGGAGCTAACTTTTAAACACATACGTGTGTGTGTGTGTGTGTGTATGTATATGTGTGTGTGTGTGTATATATATAAATATATATATACACACACATACAATCACACACCTATATACAAACACGCAGTCCCAGACCCACACACACCTACAATCACAGACCTATACAGTCACATACATACACACAATCAATCACATATGTACACACACAATCACAGATATACCAACACACAATCACACACACAATCACAGACCTATACACCCATACAATTTTCATACACTCATTATCACAGACATATCCACAGACCTCCCCCAAACCCCTCTCCCCACCATCCCTCCCACACACACTCACACAAAAATCACATACACATTTAGTGCTAAAGAGGTCCACCCAGCCTCCCTACCTTGCTCTGGGAAGGCTGGAATGGATCCTCTGTCCCTGGTGGCTAGCGGTTGCTTCTGGGCTGGGACCTCTTTGATTTTGCTGCACAGGTCCCTTGTGTGCCCAGCCTCGGCGATGGAGCTGTCCAGGAGGAGCATGGTATGTAAACCGCTCCATGCCTTCCTCGCCGTCCGTCAGCGCGGACAGCAACCGGGCCACACTGCTAGTAGTCTCAAAGCATCATGCGGCCCGCAGGTTAGATACACCTGGTTTAATCGATAGCAAATGTATGAAATATCTAATTGGTGCGTTGTAGTCTGAAAAAATACAGGGGGGAGAATGTGAAAAAAGTTGTGATACATGTTTGTGTCAGTTGCTTCAATTTCTCAGCCACGATGAATAGAGCTGGAATAGGACTTGGAAGACCGTGAATTGCTTTGGTGGCCAAATAAATTGCACATGCTGTTAATCTCTTCAGGACATCATTCTATTTTGTGAATATTGCTCCCAATAAACGAAGGTGTATTAAAATAATAAAGAGAAGAAAAAGCGAGTCAAAAAAAAATTTAAATTGCCATTTAAAAGCATTTTAATAGATTACAAGTGATTTATTTAGAATAGCAGGTCATCAGAACAAGGGGTCCTTTTCAGAGTCCGCGTGTGTTTTATTTTGTTGTTGAAAATGTGTGTTTTGGGAGATTCACTGGTATTTTGTAGGTGCTCTATGTCTGCGTTTTTGTTTTTGAAGGTTGTACACACATAAATAAGTAAATGGCACCCCCCTAGTGGCTAGAAAATGTGAACATGCAGGATAAATAGAAATATGTTACTAACCTCATTTATTTTGACAAGATAAAAAGGAATCTACTTCCAATCAAATACCCTGACCCCACACCTAGATGAAAGTAACCAGTAAATTACTGCATTTTCTCAGCGCACCAATCCTCCTCCAACACTGCTTGAAATATATGAACCAGTGAAACAGGAAAGATTTTTTTTTTTATATGAAGACAACAGAACATTTCATATAAAACACTTCAAGGATTGTCCAACCGTAGCCACCGTTTTATCTACCCAAGTTGTATAGGGTTTGAAAATGAGATTTAAAAAACATCCATTTAGCTATCAGATAAAGGTTCATCTTTAATTTTCCTTTTTTTATTTTTTTATTTAGGAAGGCTTTATCAGGAAGATATGCTGTGTAAAGTTCTTGATTTTCTTTTTTAAATTTATTTTTTATTTTATTTATAGAAACGTCTAACAGCCATGCCGGACCACACGGATGTGTCACTAAGCCCGGAGGAGCGTGTTCGTGCATTAAGCAAACTGGGCTGCAATATTACTATCAATGAGGACATTACTCCACGGCGTTACTTCAGGTCTGGAGTGGAGATGGAGCGCATGGCCTCTGTGTATTTGGAAGAAGGAAACCTGGAAAATGCGTTTGTCCTCTATAATAAATTTATCACGTAAGGAACCATTCCGTTTTCCATCCAGGTTTTGTGCATTGTTTATGCATTTACAGATCATTTTCAAACAACTTTTTGCAGGTTGTTTGTTGAAAAACTGCCCGGCCATCGAGACTACCAGAAATACGAAATCCCTGAGAAACAGGATATTTTGAAGGTAATTTATATTGAATGATAACCATACCTAAGCCTACTAAACCTCTTCTCTGTGGAATAGTAATAACGTGTTTTCAAAGTTCTGGGCCTTGATGACTACAGTGCAGGCTTATTGGTCTTCACCAAAAATTGTTTAGAATGGAAACAGGCTGGAATTGAGTGTCCTTTATTTATTTATTTATTTATTTATTATTTTATTTGTATTTCATCAAAAAGAGAACTTGTTAAAATTTGCAAACCTAAAATAATAAAAGCTAGAAAAATATTTTTAAAGTTACTTTACATCTGTACTTGCACAGCAAAGTCTCCTTTCTAACGTAGAATTGGTTCCACCAATCGGGAGCCTTTAACATCTGAAATTATTTTAGTGAATAACTCTTTGAATGTAACAAATAATCTGTGGGCAGCATCTAAAGTTCAGACTTCTGCTGATTTGGTAGTGACTCTATGTACAGTTCTGCTTAAGTATCATTGTGGAATTACTATGCAGACAACATGACCTATAAAAAAAAAATAGGTCTATATGTGTCACATTCTGTAAAGTTATGTTAACATAATTCAAACAAATTTCACACCATTTTTTTTAATCCTTCCTTTTTTTTTTTTTTATAAAGAAATTAAAGGAAATTGCTTTCCCAAGAACCGATGACTTGAAAAAGGATATTTTAAAGAAATATCATTTGGAATACCAAGAATATATCCATGGGATTGTAAGTTCTGCTAAGCCAATACATACAATGTAGTGCAGTACATGCCAAACTATAACTTTTCATCTCTTCATCCGAGAGCTATGATTAAGTACCCACTAATTTTTTCAAAGTTCATAGCTCGATTGATTTACTCACATACTGCTAGACCTGTAATCACAGTGGTGGCAATCATTCACTTGAATGAATTTATGTTTATGTTGTATGGACATTCAGTAATTCTTCCTTTTAAGTGAATGAGAGTCCAGGAACTGTATGAAATAGCCCAGCCATATCACAAATATTATCTTTGTTCCTGGAGTGAAATATCAAACATAAGAAATATGCTGCAAATTATTTTTATTTTTATTGTAAATTGCATTTAAGGTCTGGTTTGGGCTTCACACAATTTTCTTTTCAGAACAAAAGAAAAGCAGAATGTATGAAAAAAATGGAACAGCAGCAGCTCATAGAAGCTGAAAGGAAACGTGTGGCACAGTTACGCCAGCAGCAGATACAAAATGAGCAATTTAGCTTCTTTGAGGATCAGCTTCGGAAACAAGACTTGGCACGAGATCAGCTGAAAAGCAAAGAACACTCCAAGGTGTCTGAGCAGATTGATGGATGCATGTCCTCTTGTATCTCTTCTCCCAAAAGCAATTCTTTATGCAATGCGTTGACGGGACAAGCTGGAAAAAATGATGCAGCCATGTATGCTGGGCAGTCGCCTCCGGTGAACAGGGCCTTAAGGCCGGCAGCTACATTAAGTGCTGTACAGAGTAAGTACTTACTAAGTATTGCCAAATGTCTTATATGAGCATCTCTTTGGAAAATCTCTGTGGCTGTAACCCAACTCTTCCTCCTTAAAATGTAGATTTTCTCTGGCTCTGCATGTTTGGATAGGAGCACACTCTACTAGTCCACACCTCTTCTAATTTAATTCTTCATAGAGAAATATAAACTGGCCAGTTTTGTGTGTCATGTCCTTTGCTGCATTCAAAAATTATACCTGAATGGGCAGCCTAATAAACTGGTAGAAGTCTGCTAGTATTTGCATTGAATTAAAGTGCTGCAAGCGCTCATTGTAACAGTTTTGTCAGTGTTTAGGAAGAGTTTGTTATCCGCTATCCACATTTCTACCTCTGTGAATTGGTTTTGGAGCACGGCCTCAAGCTGCGGTAGATTAGTGTCGTCTACATACATGTGGACAGTTGAAGATTTGCAGACGTTGGGCAGAATGTGAATAGCAGGGGGCCGAGTATGGAGCCTTGGGGAACACCACACATGACTGGAAGAGGGAGGGAAGCGCTATCAGAAATGGCCACATATTGCTATTGGTCTGAAACATACGCTCGAAACCAGGTTAATGGACGATCACCAGTGCCTGAGTTTTTGCAAAAGAATGCCATGATCTACTGTGTCAAAGGCCTTGGCAAAATCAAGGAAAATAGCTCCAGTTAAGTCTCCTTGTTCCTTACCAATTTGGGTGTCATTGCAAAGAGGGCAGTCGAAGTTGAGTGATTGGACGAAAGCCTGATTGATCAGGGGTCAGATAATTTGATTGTTAATATTCACATAGCTGCATATGGATGCATTTTCCCAAGATTGTTGACACTACAGGGAGCAATGATATCGGGCGATAGTTAGATACCAAAGTATTGTCACCACTTTTATGGATCAGTACAACTTTTGCAGTCTTCCAAAGTTTGCATATGTATCCTGAAACCAGGGATTCATTGATAAGGGTAGTGACAGGTTTAGCAATTGCTGTCGCACAGAGCTTCAGCAACATTGCTGGGATTTGATCTGGTCCACACTGGTTTTTTCATTTTTAAATTATGAAGATGTTTAGTAACAACACTTTTCTTTGTTTATTATTTTTAATATGATTGGATACATCAGTGGCTTACACCCTTTTGGCAATCGACACAATATAAACCTATTCTATATAAGCAATTCTTCACGTTTAATAAAATATATATAACTACATTTTTATGCAATCGCTGCATTTTCGGATTATATGCCTGGGTATGAAATCAGTCTATAGGCTTAAAGAGCTCTATTGGATAATCTGAAAGGGTTAACCAGCTCTCCCTTTGACCCCAATATGGCGTTAGCGGGGCCATTTATTGTAATCAATTATACTCCAGACCATTGAGAGGCATAGCCACGATCAGGGCACAGTATATCAACCCAACAGGAATACTATTTATGCTTATTAATGCAAGTTCATTATATGGACATCTGTTCAATACTGCACTTGTCTTTGCTGTGTATGCCCTCTATTCCAGAGAATAACTCTAGACATGGACACTTATGTTAAGATGATCTACTCCATATTAAAATGTCCATCTCACCTTTACACCGATGAGACTATTCATATGCAACAACACACAATTGCATTTCTGTACTCTTTGATCATCTATTTATGTACATTAGCGATATGTCTTTGTAGCTATAACGGTTCTCACTTGGTTAAATATGCTTTTACACGTAGGAAGGTGTCAACCAATTGCATGACGATACAGCATTGGGGGGCGTGGTGAGTTCGGATCCCGTTTTTTTGGCGCAAACTTACAGCACACGCCCCCTCTGCTTATTGGTACAATGGAACTATAAAGGAGCCACTGGTGTCTGAGGACGCCTGTATAGCCTCAGAAGAAGGCGCGTTTAGCAGCGTCGAAACACGTGTTAGGTAGCAGGTAGTTAGGTTGGATAGGTGGTCGTGCTCGAGCCGTTACAGATTCAGCTCGTCAGTTAGTCAGAATCTATTGCTTCGACGATTGGTTAGAGTTTTGCTACACTGGGGGTTGTGTATTAGTAGGGGTACCTTTCCTTTTGTGCGGGGGAGACTCGACTTTCTTCATCTCCCCACCTCGTAGTGAGGTTTCATCATTCAACAGCCACAGAGGCACAACCTACACTGTATCACTTCGTCACTGACTCTGAAATAGCTGAGTAATCTAGCAATTTAGTAACAGACCTCCTTGTTATTTGCAAATATATACTTCTCTCCTTAATATGTAGCTTTATTTTGCTACTTTCTACCCCAGAAGATTCTCTAAGCAATTGCTGGGGGGTTTCTTGTTAGGAGGGTCATTAATCACACATTATTATTCTAGATGGCAACATTTTTACAAGTTACCATTACTCTGTAGCAGGATGAGCACTGTAGTGGGATCCTTTTTAATCTCAAGATTATATTAATTTTTCTGAAGTGGTATTTTTAGGCTATATATCCCACTCAGGAATATCGGTTTCACCTATCTATACCTATTTTAATCATTTTTTGTTATCCTCATTTCATCACTACTAATATGAGTATTTAATACAGTAACTATTAAAGGTTATGTTTTATGTGTGTGTGTGTATGTATATGTGTGTGTGTGTGTGTGATCTACTAGGGGGCGCCCTATTTCTTCTGACCCACCAGGTCTGTTTTTTCTTTATACACATAAGTGAGGGTTATCCCCTGTCTTGGTCGCCCCAGATACACACTTAGCTGGTCCCCCTAGGTGTATCTAGCTCGTTCACTAACAGGCACAGGTCTAAAATTGCCTCCTCCTCTCCTTGCTCTGTCATTTCTAAAACATGAATAACCCTGTATGTATGTGTTATTGATTTTAAATACTTAACGGCAAATAAAACGTGTGTTTACAATTATTTATCAAACTAGCAATAAAAAGTTTGCTTCATGCTGTTCTGTCTGTTGTATGAAGTGTTTGCTAAAGTAAAGTGTAGACTCCTTTTATTTATGGCCCTTTCTTTCTGAAGGCTTTGAAAGGTTATGTACAAAGCTCATTGGCTTCCAAAGCTTAGGTCTTGCAACTTTTACCTTGTAACGCATTATGGTCAATTTTACTGCTTGCTGATCTCAGGCTGATCCGAGCTATTAATTATGTAACACAGCAAAGTTCTACATGCCCATAAAAAGCATAACATTAAACTAGGATGATTGTTTGTTTGTTTATTACATTCATATTTGTTTAACACGATTTTAATATTGTAAGTGCTCGAAATAGCTACATTAACGTTCTAACATTCCTCAGTCCTGTCCAGTACACTGTGACACATACAGTACGACACAAATTCCGGTCCGCATTAATGTCAGTAAATAGATTAATTCCAAGATTAACTCTTTTAATTTGTTAATTGTCTGGGGCTTCCTCTTAAAAACTTTATTCCTTACTAAACTCGCCCCCCCTCCCCCCCCCAAAAAATCTTTTTTTTTAAAAGCTGGTTTGTGCTTGTGTTAAAATCACCCTAATTTTCAGGATAAAATCTGCAAAATGAGTGTTATTGGTTATTAGAGGGTTTAAAACAATTTGATTGGTTTGCATTTAGAAGATAGTCTTTATAATTGGATGCCTTTTAGAAATAACCCACACTTTATCATCAGAGAAATGTTAAGTAGTGTTTCAAAGTTCTAAGATAAGAACTAAATGACTTCCTGGTGGCATGAGAGATAAGCTCCATATAAACAAGGAATTCATATAGGAAATGGTTTGTATTAAAAGAAGAAAATAAATAAAGTTAAATAGTATCGTGATGGCATTTCTATAATTTGAGGTCTAAAGTGTTCTAACATTTTAATATGAAAACAGTATTTATCCAATTGCATGTGCCTAAATCACAATTTTCCTTATGTCCCATGTGTGGTGCTACATCTTGATTTGCAATCTGTACATTTTTGTTATGCTATTTTTTTTTTATTTTTTTTTACTTCATCAGAGAGGACCATTAGTCCTATCTAGAAGGTCTCTGAAACAAATTGAACATGGATGTTGGTTGAATGAGATATAAACAAATAGTTGTTAGTGGGCACTCAAGGTTTGTGTAGAATTCATGGATGATGGCAACCACTTAATCATTAGACATTTGAATGAGCCTGTCGGAGAGAGAAATGTAGTCGTACTTTTGTGATCTGTGCGTGAAACTAGAAGGTTACGCTAACCTCAATAAAAGTAGCTTTGTTTAAAAATACAGGTTTTTGAAGAGATTGAACAAGCCCGGGAACAACATCTTGTTTCTCTGACTGCTATGGTCTGATGTTGCCCTGAGTGTGCCACATTGATGTTGGGCTTGACATTATGGCATGACATAACCCTGTATTAGTCTGACACATTTTGGCAACACCAGAGCAGTGTGAAGCAGGAGTCTACATCTGGGAAATAGGCACATCCTCCTCCAACCATTAGACAAGATGAGGCCAATCTCTATTTTAGGACAGAAGGTAGGAAAATCCAAATCAAAGGACCTGTGATAATGGAAAGGATACTGTAAAATGGCAGTCTTGCAGATATCTTTTGTGCAGGCCCCTGCTAATATTGAGAATGACCCTGCTATTACTTTATAAAATATCCAGATCGTTACTCTTTTTCACATAATTTCTTTACTTCTCCTAGATGAAATTGTAGAAGGCTTACGAATAGTTGTTCTGCCCAAAGACCTGTCACAAAAGTTCTTGCAATTGGCTGATGCGAACACGACCAAGGGCATTGAGACCTGCGGGATCCTCTGTGGCAAACTGGTAACTATTAAAATCTCCATTCTATGTGATTGAACGGAATTAGTCAGGCAATAAAATGAACCTAAGGATTAATCGTCACAAGGCTAGAGCAGAAGCTTTATTAGTCTAAGATTATGGTATTGCAGACCACAATTAATTGAAACTGATGAGAATTCTTTATATCTGAGAATCTGAAGGTAAATCTATGTATCCAGTACTAAAAAAGCTGTTCTTGTGCAGCTCCTAAATTGCTTCTAGTAGGGGGGTGTGAAGTGCTTATGTTAGGATAAACTGAGCGTGCATGGGGTGAAAGCCAAATTTCTTCAAATAAAAGGACAGTATTTATAACGGATATAACACGTGACTTAATGTTATTCCCAATGTTTAAAAGCTCAAACTATCCGTTATACTCCTTTGCAATGTTAGAACAAACTGAGGTTATAGTTACATGGTTTTTTTTGTGTATTTTTTTTTTTTTTTTTTTATCTTGGCAGAAATGCACTTCCGACAGAATTGTCTAATTGCTCAAAGTCGCAAATCTCAGTACAGATTCCATAACTAACCTGAGTTGTGCTTAGTAGAAGCCTTTGAATTCCAGTACTTCTAGTTCTGAAATTTGAAAGTAGTCCATCAAGTAATCTACACCCCCTTTTTACAAATGAAGATGTAATGTGTATTAAAAAGGGGGGGGGGGGGACACAAAACCATGAAACAAAAAAAAAAATGGTTTCTTTTATATCATTGTCACCAGACAATGCGATGGATTCATCATTTTACATTGACCTTCCACTTAGTTTTTGGACTGCATTTCCAAACAGAATACATACGTTGTAGATTGTCCATGATATGTAAATCTGTAAAGACCAATTATAAATGCAAAATATGAGGGGAAACTCTCTGCTTTGCATTTATCAATGTAAAGTAGTTACAGTCCTTAACATAGAAAATATTGGATTCATATGTCTTAAAGCATAGCATTGCCTACTGCTTTACTAATCCTTTTGAATTTATTTTGTAGACACACAATGAATTCACGATCACCCATGTAATTGTACCTAAGCAGTCTGCAGGACCAGACTACTGTGACATGGAGAATGTGGAAGAGTTATTCAATGTACAAGATCAACATGATCTGCTCACTCTGGGCTGGATCCACGTATGTGAACTGTATTTACTAAAGACTATTTGTTTTATAAATGTACTATTGTTCTATAATGGAATGTGTGTTGTACTACAAGACTGCTGTATCAAACGATTGGCTTTCGCTCTATAATCTGTCTATCTAATTGGCTAAATGGTAATATAATTGTTATATAGATTGCCAAATGATACGCAGAAAAAGTAGAACACTTTGGTGCATTTCTGTGTATAAAATAGTTGAACCCAACATTGACATGTACATGCGCCAATGAATAATTCCAGAAATTAAAGATGTCACTGAAAGCCTGATGCACATCCAAATTTTCTCAGATGAAACTTTTTAGAGAATATAAGACTGAAGTGCACAACAGAGTCAAGATGCCAATCTGGTAATTTAAAAGTCCCGTATGGTGCACCGCTTCTTAGGACTGCAAATTGTATTTTATCTTACCAAATGCTGCCTCCTGCAGAGCACTTCAAAGCTTAGAAGGAAAAAAAAACTTAATGAAAATTAAAGTAATTCCTTGTTGCTAGCTTGCCTACATTCCTTTCCCCTTTGCAGGGTCTGCCTCCAATTCCACTGTAAAGCCGATTCGTATGGTCAGATTGACAGTAGTTTGGGAGTTTGTTGTTGTTAGTATTGTTAATCACATAAAACTTGCAGGTGGTGGGCTATGCAGGAGAGAACTAAATTACATATTCTACTGCTTCTTATAAAACTCCTGGTTCCATTGGATGCTGCTTCACCCACCAGACATTATGGTACAGCAAATGCTTAGTGGGAAATAGTTATACAGGTGATCTACATCTATCTGAGCATGCAACGATCTGGTGTATACAGAGCCTGGTTGGGGAGATAGTTGTTGCTCAACCCTAAGCCTTATGGATATAATTTAATGCCAGTGAGAGGTGATGGTTTTCTGGCTTCTTGTAAAGTGATCATAATTTGCTGAATTTGAAATACTGCTCTTCATGGCAGTCAAGAAAGATATTATATTAATTACGCCGCTTGGCTGAACTCCCCACTAGGTTACATGTCTGAGGAAGACCTTCTTCCATGCAAGTGTGGTTGCTGAATGCCGAATGTAATACTGGAGTGGATTTTGAGTGCTGTTCTATATTATGTGTGTTGAGAGGGTGGGAATTGCATCCTATGTTAGAAATGTGTTCTGTATATGATGTTGGTGAAATGTCTATGGTTGGTAGATGGTGTGTTTTTTGTGGATGCTGTTTTGAAGATATAAGTGCTATAAAGCACATGGTGCATGAGTCCCAGGTAGTTCAAGCTGGTGGCACAGACTAGATGGCTATTTTTATTTATTCACTTTTGCAATTTATACATTTGGCAAAGTTGATCTGAATCTAGTAGTAAATCTGTAATGTCCATATTACACTAAACACTATAAGCTCCCCTTTTCCCAAGGAAAATAGCTACATAGTGCTAGAAGTCTACTTGTTTTCACTAAATTTGCAGCACTCCCAACCAGTCTGGGATGTACTGCAGCATTGGATGTGAATATGGCCATGGTATGGGCTTGGACAAACAATGTTTCAGACCGTAAACCTCTCTGATGCTGCAATAAACTGCAAATTTATTAGGAAAGAAGCATTGTCATCGGGCCATAATGTAACCGTAAGAAGAGATGCTTTGAGGGAGGGCAATTTATAATGTTTCTCTTTGCACAGCTCAGTAAACAGTTTTCTAATTCTAAAAACCCATGATTTGTTTTCCAGACCCATCCAACACAAACTGCTTTCTTGTCCAGTGTTGATCTCCACACACACTGCTCCTACCAACTCATGTTACCGGAAGCCATTGCTATAGTTTGTTCACCAAAGCACAATGAGTATGTTTTTTCATTTTATTCATTTATTTATTAGATGTTGCATCAGTCTAATATTGGTGTTTAAACATAATAATTTCAATAAAGCAGTCACAATCTTTTTAGTATGGAAATGGTGCGAAATGTATAGGCACTTTGTTTTGACGACTGCATTCTTACAGGAGTTACATTTATTGGCTCAAAGCCAATAGCTTGCTCACCTATTGAACGCTAGGCATCATGGAAACAAACCTACAGATTAAACTGATGAAAGAGTGGTCACACAATGGAGGCAAAATGGGGATTTCATGTGGGAAATTATAGAGCAATTGGGTTCCTACTTTTGGAGTTCCAGATAAACTATGTTCCTACAGCAGGTTTTACCAGTAGTGATTATATTGGAATATGCACATCCTTTACCTATACCAACCACTATAGAGCTCTTTGAGTGCAGAATTTAAGGTGCTTCAGTGTCTGAATGTTTATCAGGTAAATTATCCAAGCGTCTTTTCGACTTGAAATGACTATAAATGTAAAGGGTGAAAATGCAGTAATTAAATTTCCAAATTGTTTGTTTAATTTTTTCTAACTGATAAACTGCTTCAGTACATAAAAGATTTGATTACTCCTCTGGCACTGAAAACTTCTAAAGGCTTCTCTGCCACCATTGTTTCAAGCTGAATTATACATTCAACAGCTGAGCAAGGACATTGTTCCAGGGCCATCACAAACTTGTATCTCGTCTGACCTAAAATGGGGCCCCGTATTTTCTTCCTCTGCTCCCATACTAGCTGTACTATACATGGCACATAAGTTCACTACTGGGGGGCGGAGCTTGACCGCGATCGCGAGCGGCCGCCATTTCACGGAGCTCCGTGTGTCCCAGCCACAAAAACCTGAATATAGGAGACAAATCCTCTCTCCCTACCTGCTACAGGCTGTCACCTAACAGAGCAGGCGACCGGGAGAGGACCTATGCCGTTCTTTCAGCCGGCGAGGGTCAAGAGACAGAAATCACAGATCACCACACACTCCAACAGAGCCTGCACAACCAGACTCCCCGCCAGAACAGGTACCAAGCACTGCAGAGGGTTTGGCACCGGTCACTCAATGGGACTTCCGTAATCTAGTCCAAGAGCTCAAGACGCTTCTGGCAACAGACGTGGCAAGTATAAAAGCAGACATTCAGGCAATGGACACCAGGGTGAAGGCCTCTGAAGAGGAAATAGCAACACTCAGACAGGGGCTCTCAGACCTCCAAGCTACAGCAAATTTTCAATAGACTGTATATATACCGGCTGCTGGTGGAACCACCTCTACAGTGGCGAGAGACGTGATAGTCCGATGCTCCACTTCACATGACAAAAGAATCCTGATGACAGCACTACAAGGCAGGACGCCACTACCCTTTGAGGGGAATAATCTCTCATTCTACCAGGACCTTACCAGGTCCACATTGCAATAGCGATGATTCCTGCAACCAGTCACTAGACACCTAAGAGCAACAGGAGTGGAATACCACTGGAGATCCCCCTAGGTTCCTGGTGGTCAATCATAAAGGGACTGTGCATAAAATCTCATCGCTGGCTGAGGCATCTAATTTCTACAAAGCCCTGGGAATCCAGAACCTGCAGACCCATCCTGAGTGACACCCCGGACCCAGAGCCGAAGTGCCCTCAACGTCACCGGGTCACTAGAAACCTGAACTCTCAAGGGAACTTACCTACCCAATGAGGCACAAGTACCAAAAGTTTAGCCCAGTTATTCTTTTTTGCATAGCTGACATAACAGCACAACACACACCAGACGGACACAGTTACATAATAACATAATAAGATGCAGCCTGCTGAGATGTGCAGACACCACTCATAAACTGCAGACCGATCGCAACTCCCCTCCCCCCCGACAGCCCCTTGGTTTGGGGCACATATAGAAGACAGCCTGCCATCACTACCCCGAATGGGGTACACACCTACATACAAACGCTAACGACTGATCTTCCTAAGCTAACCATACCCACTTGACCGAATACCAATGCACTCGGACCGGTTACAGGGACACATACAACAACCCAGACACACATACACCTGTAATGTTATGTCTATGTACTCCCCAACCACCTTTTTCTCTTCTGTATCCCAAAATGCATTGATATGAAAAATTTCAATAAAAAGAGATTGACAAAAAAAAATAATAAGTTCACTACTACTCAGAGCGTTATGCGCAAGAGGTCTACTTCAAACTAGACCATTAATATCTCCCCTCCATCTACCTGCTGTGCTGTGATGGGGCAAACACATGGAGGGCAGTGCCTGCAAAAGGCCAACTGATGCCTGCTCAGCTATGAGACAAAGCAGCACTGTTTGTAACTGGTTAGCTTGGTTCATATTAATCTGGCAAATAGTTATGTACAGTATTCCTTAAGTAAGCATTGTTTCTTGTAATGTAAAGGTTTTATATTGCATAATATTTTACTCGCTTATTTTTGAAAATTCCTACTTCACTTGATTCCTCATTGGTAGGAACAAGCAGCTATTCAAAAGACCAAGAACACCACCCCTAATTTTATTTATTTATTTATTTCATGTGATATCAAGTTCCACTAGTAAACCATGGGAAACTGTTTTAAATGGGACACTCGGGCTTTGTAAAAGATTTGTTTTAAAGTCAACTGCATTATAATGGGAAAATGGGTCCTTTGGCAAATTTGTTTTTATAGAATGTGTTTGCACTCTAATGCCATGTATAAAAAATGACTAAAAAAGGTTAAAGTAGACACTATAGCCATATCTGCTCATTAAATTGGTAATAATAATTGATGTCTATTGGCACTGTCTATCCATGCCATGTTAAACCATTTACATGCAGTTTAATATTTAATAAAGGCCCCTGGTCATGCACAGTCTGACCCCTAGTGGAGGTATGACTAAGGCAGATATTACACAGTTCTTTCTACCTATACCTGCAGTGGTCACTGTGATGGGCTGAAAGCACAGAGGATGAGCTTCTGAGGACTCTCGTTTAACATTCAAAGATTAAAAAAAAGATTAAAAACTGCTTAATGCTAAATGGAAGGGTAGAACCTGGGCTCAATAAACTATAACCACTTCAAGGAGACTAAGCAGTTACAGTGCCTGCAGTGTCACTTTAAGAACCAATGGAATAAGTCTAGCCTCTGCAGCCTTTAGAAATTGCATTTAGATTTAGTCTTATTGTAAATCTCACAAATGGCAGAGAGAGCATATTTTTGGTTTGGTTTGAGACCATATGTTTTGTTTTTTGTTGTTGTGGTTTTTTAGTACGGGGATTTTCCGACTTACAAACGCTGGTATGCTGGAAGTATCTGTATGTAAAAAGAAGGGCTTCCATCCACACAGCAAGGACCCGAGGCAATTTAACGTAAGTGATGTGCAATTGATGACCGCTGTATCTATGCCTGGCAGTGTGTCCATTGATAAATCTAATTGGCAGACAGATTGCTAGAATGTTTCTGTAGAACTAATCCTGTGGCATATCATTTCTCAGTCTTGAATATCCTCTGTTTTCACTGCAATTCATCAGCCACATCTGGAAATGCTCTCTATAAGAGCATGGGTAGGCAACCTTCAGAATTCCAGATGTGGTCTGCATCTCCTCTGATTCTTTGCCAGCATTATGACTGTAAGAGCATTATGGGAGATGTAATCCACAACATCTGGAATGCCGATGGTTGCATATCACTGTCTAGAGTGTCTTTATAATGTTATCCTATGGAAATAGAACATTCTACAGGGTTTTTCGCTTATATGACAATATGAGGTCAAAATAGCTAAACTGAACACACAATAAAAAATACCTCTAAATCTGCTACATTGGCCTACATTTCGAAATTTAATTTAAATTCCTGACAAATCTCACTTTCTATGGGGAGGGCCTAATGCACGCCTCCCTCGTCAGGAACATCGGAGGAGGCAGAGCCTCAACCCAGAGCTGAAGGACATCGGCACTGGGATCAGGTAAGTAAAGGGTTTTAACCCTTTATTTACCACCGAGGGGGGAGGAGGAAGAGCGAGCTATAGTGCCAGGAATACAGCTTTGTATTCCTGGCATTATAGTATCCCTTTAACATAAGTTTCTTGAGCAATATTTTATTATGTTTTATTACACCTTTAATCTCTGGGTTTAAGGTCATTCACTGTGTAGGGATATTGAAGTTAAACTAGAATTTCAGGTATAGCTGGCTGCAAAAAGAAAAAAAATTGACCTTTGTGAACACTTTCAAAATGAAATAAATCTAATTTATAGAACGAATAAAAAAACAAAACCGAAAGCAGTACAGTGTCCAAACGTAGATGCATGGATATTGTTGAACTACAACTTCTTGATGCGTTGTCATTCTAAAGAAAAGTGTTCAGATAACAAAATCATTGAAAAATAGCATTTACATAATATACATCAATTTAAAAAAGAAAAAAAAAGCTAATCTTGTTTTGGAAATATGATTTAGCAAATGATTAAATGCTTGCTCCCTATACAAGAAGACTCAAGAATATATGTAAAACAAAAATAAAGATTTTTCAACTGGAGATTTGTACATATACTATGTGTAGTTCAATCCCTAATGGTCTATCAAAGCCGGAGTAGTTTCATTCATGAATAGAACAGGCTTGAAACGTTTTTGACCAGAATATTGAAACATTTCATACTGCTTCATTTAATTTGCTTAATTTGCTTTATTCTTATCATACCTGCAAAGATACATGTGTAAATCTGAACAGGGGTGGGCAGCCTACAGAGGGTGAGCCAGTGACCCATGTGCATCACTGGCACTCCCCAAGGGCATGTCATCCAGGCAATAATGCATGCCAATGTGACTAGCAATTTTACAAACCGGATTATGTATTGCATGGTGTACTGTTTAGATGCATTCCTTACATGCCTGGATTGTATCTTTAACTCCCCTGTCTTTCTGTCAGCAATATATTTTAATTCCGTATCATAAGAATTCCTTACTATGGGATTAGTAATATATCTTTTTTTTTTAAATTTTTTTATTTCAGACTTGCAGGCATGTGATTGTAAAAGATGCAAAAATCACTGTGCTGGACCTGAGGTAATAGCGATTGGGGACTGCTGTTCTCACCGATGAAAATGGCTTCAAAAGTGGCTGCCAGTTTTCTTAAAATCATTTCCAGAAGTAATAAGTGGACTTTTTACTAATTTATACATTTTAAATGTGATGGTTTCATATTTATTGCTCCTGCACATTTTTTTTGAATTTTATTGAATTCCGTTAGTTGTTCACATAGATCAAAAGTGGCCTACAATTAAAATAAAGCTTCTACTAAGAAATCTGTATCGTCTTTCACTGTGTCGTGCCACCGTTTTTTATTCTGGAATTTAACCTTTGCTTTACAAATTGCTGCAGTTATTCTTTGTGCTGATTGGTGCAGGGTAGTCTTTGGGTCATACGCTTTGCAGCAATGCAAATTGCTAGGCTGCCTAGACTGTCATTTTAAAGAGATATTCCAAGCACTAGTACAACTTTAACACGCTTATCTCATTAATGTGTTTTTTTTATTTTTTTTTATTTTGCATGCTAAAATCTTTATTGATAAATAGTTATTGAACAAATATTTGCAGAATGGTACACCACAAGCATGTCTCCTTATGGTCATTAACCACATGCCTGAAAGACTTTCTCAGCCACCAAAAGCACGGATTGAACTGCTTTTAATTCACAACCTAGCTGCAGGCAGGCAGAGAAACTATAAACCTGTAGTGAAATGTTTACGATGTTTCCCTTGAGGTTCCCTCCTTCTAAAGCAGGTTGCTTTGTAGTTCAGATTACCCAGTGCTGTTAGTGGTTGAGCCGTATGCATACATTGAATAAGGAAGCCAGGATTTTGTTGTAGCATTCTGAAAAACTTTAATTTTAAAAAAAAATATATAGTGCCAATACTAAAAGGATTTTGAGCATTAAACAAATACAGCTAGGGGGAGGCGGAGCCTGCTAGCATACCTAATAAGACGCCATTTCCATTTGCTCCTCAATCACCTTTTTAATCCTGCTAATATCTGCACTCCTGAGCCTAATCCAGCTCTAAAAAACACCAATCTTAAAGGGACACTCCAGTGGCAGAAAAACAAATTGTTTTCCTGGCACTGCAGGTCCCTTCTCCTTCCCACCCCCCATCCCATGTTGCTGAAGGGGTGAAAACCCCTTCAGTGACTTACCTGAGACCACCACCAGTTGTTTAGGGTCCGCCCACGCTCCTCCCCCAGCGTCGCTAAAATCCTATGGGGATTTTAGCGACGCTGGACCTGAGCTATAGACCAGGAAGTGCCCTCTAGTGGCTGTCTAGTAGACAGCCACTAGAGGAGGAGTTAACCCTGCAAGGCAATTATTGCAGTTTATAAGAACTGCAATAATTACACTTGCAGGGTTAAGGGTAGTGGAAGTTTGCACCCAGACCACTCGAATGGGCAGAAGTGGTCTTGGTGCCTGGAGTGTCCCTTTAATCACTCACAACAAGCTGCATCGATGGATGCCTTTCTTTCTCTGGAACCCAAACAGGGACACAGGCCTGGGACCTACAGCAGTTCAACGCTTTTTGGCCTAGAAGCATTCCTAGGCGGTGCCACGGCAAAGTGTGTCAAGAGAGCGTCCACTCCAACACCTACCTCACTAGCTGGTATGCCAACAATGGGCCGACAGTTTAAAAAACCGAATACTGCAGTTGACGGTTGGGATATTGGGGCCCTGTTTCAAAGGCCACGCAACCCAGACCCACTCCCGCAGAAAGCCCGCATGCCTATAGTGGGGCGCGGAGAGCTAGAGACATTGCAACAGTCTCTAGCTCCACAGGCTTCACCACATGAATCTCCAGACAACTCAGCCCCAACCACCAAGCGGGACTTAAAGTCTTACTGGCTGATATACATAAATTGCTGGTGACTGACTCTGTCCTTATTGAAACAAAGGTACAGGTGGTCAAGGAGCAAGCGCGGGCCTCCAAAGAGGATATTGTGGACATGCATACCCACCTGTCTAATCTGGACGGTACAGTGCAGCTAATCCAGAACCATCACTGGAATTTAAGACTGAAAATATCAGCCATGGAGGACCAGCCAACAGCGAACTCACATCAAAATCCAGTGCATTCCCACCGTGATAACAGCGTTGGAGCTATCACATCACATCCGCAGGCTCCAGGTCACTATAGCCATATAGCCACTTGGAGCCCCATTGTATGTGGTTAGCACTTATTGTAGGCCCTCCTGGCTATAAACTCATACATTCTGTGCCCTTATGGTTTTACAAAAAAAAAATTTAAATGGTGCACTAATCCTGATATCTATCACCTTCATCTTTATTTTCTTTGTCGTCTGCTTTTTACTTATTGGATGTATGACCACTATCCACCTCAAAAATAAAGAATTTTAAAAAATACAGCCAATTAATGAGGCCAAAATCTATTAAATGAACTAAAGTTGTACTGGTGATTGGAATGTCTTTATAAAGGGTCAGTCTAAGCAACATGCATGGTTGCAAAGCTTATGGTTCCAAGACTACCTTGCACCAACCAGCTCAGAGAGTGACTTATAGCTGCAGCAATTTGTAAAAACAACTGTAGCTGTAAGAGTTTTGTCAATCAGGCAGTCAGAACACTCTGTTATTGGCGGCATATATAAATGTTGCCAATATTTGGTGTGTAAACTGCATTCACAACTTGCACTGAGCTCCCTCTCTTGGACGGAGCCATGGATCACATATCTGATATCTGCACACAGTCCGGTTCACGAAGCACTGAACAATCTCTAAACTGACAGCACTGTGATATGTCTGTTCACATAGTTGTTCCACGTATTCTATCTGAATGGAACTGCACTGAGAATTTGACCCATAAACTTCTCTTATCCTTTAAACCTCTGCTGTAAAGACCACATAGACCAGAAAAAGAGGCTTCTGATTGGTGAGTCTATTCCTGGTAAGGTCTACCTGTTACTGACACTTGTGTGTATGTCTGCAGTATTAGAAGCATGATCCGGGTATCAATTTTTTATTTGTTTGTATATCATGTATTGAAAATGGTGCTGGGGCAGCATGGCCTCATCCGTGCCACAGATGAAGATTCATTCTCCTGATTAGAAGCCCTATAAAAGGAGAGATCTTGGACGAGAGTACCTTTTTGCCACGAACAGACTGCCTGGTTTACAAGTGGGTGACCTTTCCCCTCTTTTTAGGATTGGCTATCGTCTACAAAATGTCAGACCATGGATCCAGAGAGAAAGAGCCCTTTTAGGTCAATGCACTGTTGGCACAATTTGTTTTTTGCTTTGTTTTCTTTTGCATTGTGTTTGTCAGTAACTTTTAAATGTTTCTATGTATATTGAGATTAAATCTACTACACTATAATTTGCCATATATCTGCAAGATCTTGTTTTGGGTTTTTTTGTATGTTGATTTAAAAGTTTATTGAAATCAAGACTTGATTTTAAATCATGATTTTTAAAAGTAATGACTCATTCTTGCTGGTTGATATAATCTTCAATATTTGCAGCCAGATGAATATGACCTATTTTACAGTAATAAACATTTCTGACTATTTTAATTGTTTTATATCACAATGCATTTTGTTACATACCATTAGAAATACATAGCTAATAGTGAACTATCTCCATTTAATCATGCAAATTTGGAGAACCTAAATTGTTTTATTTAACTAAAACATTAAGAGTATATGGCATATATATTCTGGTATTTGCTTAAACCTCAATTTTTGTTAACCAAAGTGGTTGAACATCTGTTAAAAAAACAAACAAAAAAAACAACAACTTAAACTACAATGGTAAAACCGCTCATCTGGTTTTCCACTTGGCATCAAACCTTCTCTGATGCTGGGTGCTGTGCATCTATTTTCTGCAGAAGCCAAATGCCGATTCATTTGGTTGAGAGCATTCGCTGAGTGCTCTCAGCCAATGATTGACCCACTGTGCAGCAAATATGCATTATTTTACTTTACTGAGATGGTAGTGGATGCATGGAATAGCCTTCCAGCTGAAGTGGTAGAGGTTAACATAGTAAAGGAATTTAAGCATGCGTGAGATAGGCATAAGGCTATCCTAGCTATAAGATTAGGAATGAAAGTATTTAGAAAATTGGGCAGACTAGATGGTTCTTATCTGCTGTCACTTTCTATGCATAGGACTTTAGCCACTCTGGAACTCCTGGTCTGGCTAATGACGTTACTGGGTGTGGAGGTTACACCTCTGTACATACCAAGATATTTTATGTTGGTGACAAGAGTTTCATAATGAAAAGTTGCAATACAGTCTCCAAGCTCCATGACCACTTCAAACACACGGGACTATAATGTATCTTAAATAGAAGAGAAAAAAAACTATCTTTAAATACATTTTCACTCCAGAAGCATTTTATTAAACGAAATCAGGCTTTTATAGAAATCTGTTTATTTTGATTTTATTTTTTATCTACTTTGAGTTTGAAATGGTAACTGTGACTTAAGGCTAAGCCTCCCTTTCAATGGACACACACACCCCACCCCACCCTCTTGTCTGTTCGATTTACTTTTTACAGAACTAACCAGGTACTATTCTCTTTTTTTATTTAATGTATTTTGTAGATAATGTATTTTGGCCATTGTTTACTTGTCTTATTTGACTTTAATAAAAACAGATTTAAAGTAATTCTACAATTCTGAGAGTGTGCTAACCAGTAAACTTAGTGGACATGCCAGGTACCCCCCAAAGTTTCAAAACAAAGCGAGTGTCCACAAAATCTTTGCCTGCTGTTCGTCAGATTCTTGTAGTATCCGCTCTTCCTTTTAATACAGGAATATATTGATGTATAAAAATGATATATATATATATATAATATATATTTAAGGAATCTCAAAGCTATTACTATCTAGAATATTTGCTTAGTTGGGATATTTCCCCCACCTATAGAGATTTAACAGTCTCTATTCATTTCTTAGTTTGAAATATCTTTTTCTGTCAAGTGTTTTATCTAAACTATTCAAAATACCTCTGTGATATTTACTGTCGTTTAGCAACATATGTATTTTTTCAGTAAGTTTAGAAATTCATATTTCCTGATTTTGGCTTATGGTGGGGATTTTAGTGATAAATCTGTATAAAACATGTTCACTGTTAATGTTGCATATCCAATAATTATTTTGATCTGTTGCTCTTTTGTAACACACTTTGGATTTTCAGAACTGTCATTTTTTTTTGCCCTGTACTCCTAAATCCCCTTTTATAAAATAAATATGAAATATTATGATTTTATTTTTGTAGCATAGCATTATCCTCACTTTATACCTTTAGTCATATAATTTCACTTAGTGAAAGGATACAGGATAACTATGTGTTATCCTGTATCCTTTCAGGGACAGTATTTTACTGCACCTTGCACTGTTAGGAGCATTTATTTTTATTTTTTATTTTATTTTAATCATTTATTTTTTCTTATTTGATTCATCCTCTGTTTTTATATATCACATATGATTAAGTTTTAAAATCTATCAGTTACATTTTAGAGTCCTACTTTGTATATATTTTTCTTAAAGGCATAGTACCCATTTTTGAGTCCCCTTTTTAGTCACATTTTTATTGTTACATCCTTGAAGTATTTTATACAGATTTTATCCAGCATTTCATTTCCGGATTTTTGAGTCATATGATTAAGTTTTAGAATTTATCAGTTACATTTTAGAGTCCTACCCTTGATATATTTTTCTTAAAGGCATAGTACCCATTTTTGAGTCCCCTTTTTTTTAGTCACATTTTTATTGTTATATCCTTGAAGTATTTTATACAGATTTTATCTAGCATTTCTTATCCAGATTTTTGAGTCATATACTTATTAGCTCCTAGGTCTTTTGCATTTTTTAGTGTTTTTCCACTTTTTAGTGCTTTTAAGCACTGTTTTAATACAGATGTAGTGTCGTTATTTTAGCAAGTAAACAATGTATTTTTGTTTATAGTCCTCCCATATTTTTAATGTCAGTTTGTGAAAATAACCTTTTGTATAACTTGATCAATGCAGTTCCTTTTTAATTTTTTTTTTTTTTTTAATCCAGCACAAGATTTACAAGATCTGTCCATGCTAAAAGTAATACATGTATATTACAGAAATGGTGTTTTGATAGAAAAAAAACATTTCAACAAAAGCATGTAAGGAATATCCTGATTAGATTTTAAAAAGTCCTATGTTCTATATTTACCAGACCGCATATGGCTTCTATAAGCACTCGTCTGATTTCAAGGTTTTGAGGCAAAAGTGACATTTGTATTAATGTGTCTTATAATGGTGTTTGTATATTTTAATGGATATATGAGAAGCATTTTGGAAGACTAATGGCTTTGTATTATTTGCAACCATAATTCATAGTAATTAGGCCTTGTTTTTGTACGTCCTTTAACATTCCACTAGAGGGTGCTCAAATAACACACACACTTAAAAACAAGAACTGTAACTGGTAGCATAAGCTTTAATCAAAAAACAAAACAAAAAACAAAAAAATAGATTTGTATCCAATCAGAGCATATAACATATTTTTGGAATGAAATGGTGGGCATGTACTTTTCAAGGTACACTTAATATATTGGAATTGAAAATAATAATAATATAAAAGGAGACAGAAAATTTTAAAAGCATTTGCGGTGAACAATGGAGGGTCCGGCTTCATCGTATTCTGGTTTACTGATCCACATCTGCTGGAAGGTAGACAAAGAGGCGAGGATGGAGCCTCCAATCCAGACAGAGTACTTGCGTTCAGGGGGAGCAATGATCTGGTTAAAAGGGACAAAGAAACAATGTGTGAGATATACCATTACAGAGTTATAATTTGCTAATGTAATAGTTACAAAAAAAATAGCTAAAGGAAAAATCTTATACTTCTTAAAGTGTAAAGAAAAAGGGACATTGGATGCAAGTTTCCAATGCAAGACTTGTATACACAAACAGGTCTTAGAGGAGGGGTGATTGATTTAGAGACTTAGAAATGTATCAATTGTAGCTAATTTAGGACTTTATTTAATATTTCAAATTATCACAATCTGATAGAAAAACTTTTAGATACAGAAATCACCATTAAACTCTATGGGAATGTTTGTAGGTCAATAATATGAAAACTTTTTTTTTTTTTTAACAACAGATTGTGACTATTTGAAATGCTTATATAAATATAATAATATACTTTTGGTGGAAGTTTGTGACCAAAAAGTCAGTGACCAAAAGATCAATTAAAAATAAATAAATAAATAAATTGACATGAAGACCATTAAATAATCAATTGCAGTTATAAAGTTTTACAAGGCTTTATAGTCTTGCGAGAGCCTTTTCTATACATGTTTCAAAATTAATTTAGACTATTCATCCACCTCTGTGAAACTGTAATGTCTGTGATGTATGCTGGTGCTGTAAGATCTATAAATGTCAATCCAATGTTCCACAATATTGTGTTTGGCTTCTAGTTTTGACAACATATTTTTCAAGGTTTGTCGAACCTTGTCATGCATACAATGATGGCGAGTATATACCTTGATTTTCATTGTGCTGGGTGCCAAAGCGGTGATTTCTTTCTGCATTCTGTCAGCAATGCCAGGATACATGGTGGTACCTCCTGACAGTACATTGTTAGCATAGAGATCCTTTCTGATGTCAATGTCACATTTCATGATACTGTTGTAAGTAGTTTCATGGATGCCAGCAGATTCCATTCCTGTGTGAAAGATGATTTCCCAGGTAAGTCAAATAATTTCATTAAAATATATATATATAGATATATATATATATATATATATTTTTTCCCAATGTATATATGCAAAAAAATCTATTTAAATTTATGTATTTTAATCTTCCGGTCCCTTGACCTATATTGCAGATTTGTTACCATTTTTTGCACTAGATTTGTACCCATTTCTTCCAATACCTTTTAAGATTTTAAATAGATCTATATAAAATGGTAACTTTATCGTCCAGTGCATACCTGTTTTAGAAAGGTGACTTAAAGAAAAAATGCCTCATGGTTGATTTAAACTATGCATTAAGTCTTCATGTAATGCATTTGTCAAAAATTAAAAACCAAACCCATAAACCTGAATTGTTTCAATACTGGTTTATAAACTCACCAATGAATGATGGCTGGAAAAGTGTCTCAGGGCAACGGAAACGCTCATTGCCAATTGTGATGACCTGACCGTCCGGAAGTTCATAGCTCTTTTCAAGAGAGGACGAAGAGGCAGCAGTAGCCATTTCATTTTCAAAGTCCAGGGCCACATAGCACAACTTCTCCTTGATGTCACGGACAATTTCACGTTCAGCTATTGGCAGGAAAAAAAAAGAAAATCCCAGTATGTTAACTTTTGAGCTTCAGTTATAACTAGAAAGCCAGGTGTTGCAGATGACAACTCTGTTGTGTGTTTTTGTTCATAAATTGTCTACTAGGACATACAGATATACAAAGAAATGAGCAAGGCTTTCCAACTTACCAGTAGTTACAAAGGAATAGCCGCGTTCAGTCAAGATCTTCATGAGGTAGTCTGTTAAGTCACGGCCAGCCAGGTCAAGACGCATAATGGCATGAGGGAGGGCATATCCTTCATAGATTGGTACATTGTGGGTGACACCATCACCAGAGTCAAGTACGATACCTATTCGAAGGAAGCCAACATGAAACCTGTATCAATTTTTTCTTTACTTGTAGAATTACTCAATATAACGTTTTCAAGAAGGTTTATTGAAATCATACCAGTTGTACGTCCAGAAGCATAGAGAGAGAGCACCGCCTGAATAGCAACATACATTGCTGGTACGTTGAAGGTTTCAAACATTATCTGGAAATGACAATGGGAAATGTAATTTACTGAGTGACTTTCTTGTTTGTATTTTTTACTATAGATTTATTGAATGACTTTCTTGTTTGTAGTTTTTACTATATATTTACAACTTCCAGATTCTTTAAAAATAAGATTATGTTCAACATAAAAATTATAAAATTAATGGATCACCATGGTTACGTAGTAATTCAAGAGTTTTTAGTGTCCTTTTATATTGAAACACATAGACCTCAATTTACTAAGCTTTCCAAATTATTCAATACTGTTAAAAAAACTTTCCAAATGAATTATGTACAGAAGTCACCAATAGAGTTAACTGTGGTCTCTATTTTTAGATAAGCTTTCCAAATGATTTAGTTTTTGTAGATAAACTTTTAAAATGTATTTTTTTTCTTTTTTCAATATATAAAAAAAATCATAAGATACCTAATATACATAACAAAAAAAACAACAAAATATATTTTTCAGAATATTAAATAATTTTAAAAATGTATTTAAAAATATTGAATCATTTGGAAAGCTTATAGCAAACTATTTCAAGGTCTTTGTCTTTTTTTTTATAATATAGACTGTTATGTCAAGGTGCCTCTTTAACCTCAAGGCAAACCTCAGACTACACAGGTCATCCTCCATCTGTCTTGTATCTCACACGTTTCCTAAATCTTACCTGGGTCATTTTTTCTCTGTTTGCTTTTGGATTCAATGGAGCTTCTGTTAGGAGGGTAGGGTGTTCTTCGGGTGCCACACGCAGTTCATTATAGAAACTGTGATGCCAAATCTAAACAGAATTCACAAGGTTACAAACATGGAATCTGACCACTTATTAGCCAGTTGTCTATTATGGCTAAAATAACTTAAATTATTCATACTTACTATTTAAAATATATATATATTTGTGAGATGCATCTCAAAGAAATAAATAAAATCATGCAGCCACACTATTCAGAACACACACTGGTGTATGTTTATGTGTAATGCAAATTGCTAAATATCAAAGTATATAAATTATACTGTGTAATGTTGCATCATTATGTTGTGTATATGTTTTGTACTGGTAAACTCTACCTTCTCCATATCGTCCCAGTTAGTGATGATGCCATGCTCAATTGGATACTTCAGTGTCAGGATACCTCTCTTGCTTTGGGCTTCATCTCCAACATAGCTGTCCTTCTGACCCATACCTACCATCACACCCTATTTTAAAGAAGAAGGATCAGAATATGAAGTATGTTGTTGCAGCAGCAATCCACATTTTGACAATCATGTCTGAATTACAATGTGATTTTTATTTTTTTATTTTTTTTTTTCAAACAGAGACTGAAAAAAAATCAAGTTTCCGTGGTCAACAGCCAGTGGTATGGCAGGAGCAAGACAAAAGTAGGGTATGTGTCTTGATCCTCTGTCCTTTTTATGTTTTGATATATTAAGCTATAGTAATGAAATGTCTGTACATGATACACATTTTGGTAAGGCATGGTGATGGGAAAAATGGAATTTTATAAAATGTAGAGCAAAATATAACAAATTCTTCTACATTCCCAACCTAGCAATTGGGCCTACATTACGCTTAAATTTTTATATCATTGGTCAAAATATTATTTCCATTTGTGGACATAACTATTGGTTAATGTACTCACCATTGCAAAACTGTACAAAAATATACCATCTACTAACATTTTGCAAAGATAATTACTAAATGAGGACAAATAAAGTAACAATTCAAGGTAACATATTATCCATCTTCACCTCTTAAGGTAAAAAGGCAATGTCGTTTTTTGGGGGTTTTTTTTGTATGATAGAAAGGGATTTACTTAACTCTACAGAGGCTAAATATGATTATGGATACATGACCTTGGGAAATCACTATCAAAGAAGAAACCATATGCAAACTGGTGCAAAGTTAATTTAGGAAGATAGGAATATATTATTGCATCGTGCTTCATGGTTCAAAGTTTTTCGATTTAAATCCTGTTCCTTCACTTTCTTACCTGATGTCTGGGTCGACCCACAATGGAAGGGAATACGGCTCTCGGAGCATCATCCCCAGCGAAGCCAGCTTTGCAAAGTCCAGAACCATTGTCGCACACCAGTGCAGTAGTGTCTTCCTCGTCACACATCTTTTTATTTCAACTTGCTTGAGCCTCTCAACCAAAAAAATCTAGACAGAAAGCAAATATTTAATGTAATGTAAATACGAGGATATTTTTTACATTCTGTTAGAATTATACCTCTCCATAGCTTCAGGGCAAGATGTAGCTCAGACACAGATTATAGGCTCAATTTAGGTAGGTTTGATTTATTTTGGTGGAGCTCTGAGGACATGCTACACTCTAGTCACTTTAACTGTTCTGGATCAAGGTCATAATGGGATATTCACACTCTGCCTGTCCCTGGTAATGGGCTTCAATTAATGGGACACTTCAGACGCCTACAGAACTTAAGCAAAAAAGTTCAGTTTTCAATAGAAATTGGCACTTATATGAATTCATCTTATGACATCCCATGGCTGTCAATCGGGACAACCAGTCTTGTAACTTCTTGGTTTGATTAGCTCCGTGGAGGTAAACTGAAGAAGCAGGCAATAGCTCAGAGCACCTGCCTTGGGAAGTCCGTGGTTGGACAGCCACAGAAAGTCCGGGCAGGGTTAGAAAGGGAAGGCTTGCAAAAGCAGCAGGCAAGAGATCTGCAGTAGTTGCAAGCTGTTTTTAGATATATCCCAAAGGAACAAGTGCATCATGAAATACATACATGTTTTTATTTGGGTAAATCTACTAAACAGTGATTTATAAAAAAAATATTTGGGCAGTGGAGTGTCCTTTTAACCTTGGCTTGGTAGATGTCAAAATTGAGAAAACATCCATACTGGATTTTACCAAGATAATGATGATGATGATAAAAAAAATTAGTCCTTAAAACCAATTACAGTAATATAGAAGCACTAATGCCATGATTTTCTTCAAGCAAAGTCTAATTTGTTTTAAAATCAGCCAAAAGTTAAATGTTCCAGACTGCTTTTAAAGATCTCCACACGAGAAGGCGAAATGGATTCTGTTTTCCTCTACCTTTCCAAGAAAACCCTTAAATTGGCTAACATTATTTTTTTTTTAAAGATAACTAATATCAAATCCACATGTTAATAAAACGCTAGAATTACGTAGTTAAATTCTTATCCATGATGATGCCAAAAGACTAAACATTTATGGGGCCTTTCGTTTTTTCTAAGCATCATTAGAAGATGCAGTTCACAAATTCTACAGTACCAAAACTACAATACTTTGTTGCAATAGACAATTATCCAAATGGTGGAGTTTCCTGCAAAATATGAATAGATTCTGTAATTCTGTAATCTGTTGTGTTAAAATATATGGTTAACTGAAGCACTGATGCTTCAATTAGCAAATGACTCCTAAATCCGATTTTTCAGAAATAACCAGTAAGATTATTTTGACATGGAACTGAAAACCTTGAAGGCTGGGATATAGCAGTGCTCCAGGTTTTAGTTGAACTAAAACTCCTATTACTCTTGGCCAATGACTTGGTGTTGCTATAGTGAAACACCTGCCAAAATGGTCACACCCTCTTTACACCAACAATTATTAGAACATTACGGAAACATTAAAAAAATATAATAAAAAAAAGATCTAGGCTTTGCAATAAACTCACTGAAATAAAATAGAAAGCAAGCGTTAAGCATTTAACAATCAATAACTTTTGGAAACTGGTATTTGTAGTTTTCTGTCCTTAAGTAACTTCATTCATAGATTCAATGTTAATATTTTGCTTTTTTTTCCTCAGGAGAAAAAAATAAAAGTAACTTTTTTTTTTCCCTTTAAGCTTGAAGAAAGAAAAAAAAAATCCGTTGTCATATCTGAAGCAGTTTGATTTGCGGTTATTGCTTTTACAATGAATGAAGTGACTGAATTAGAACGAGCCATTTCCTAATTAGGAAATAGTCTGTCCGATGCCTGCTTTTGGAACAGAATTCCAGGTCAGGGGTTTTGTTCATACACCAAATCAGGCTTTCTTTGAGCCAAAAAATAGACTGTGGGGAGGGGCCTGTGGAAAGTTATCATTTACTGAGTTTGTTCACAGGGAATCCTTATTTAGCAATAGCCCACCGAACCAACATGGAATCTCTCCGATCAGAGGACACAGTGATATCTCCTGTCAAACTTTTACTAAACAGGCCTGGGATAGACAAGTCTCAGACAGCAAAACATTGTTTTCTTAACAAATCCAGCAGTCTTGTTGCACCATGCATTTGTCTGCTTGATAAATGACAAGTTAATGTTCTAACTGGTTAAACCCATGCATACTACATACATACAAAATGCAGATCTAAATGTCCCATTATTCCTTATTATAACTAAGAAAATAAATGCCCAATTGCGTTAATATTTCATCTCGCAGAAAGGGAAATAGTTGAACATCTGCTTTATATTTCCAAGAATAAAAAAAATAGTAGACTGGTTCCAATCTTAAACACAAATCATAGTACAAGCAGCTCATATTAAAGAATTTCTAACAAAACTCAGATTGCCATTAACCCTTCTGGCACCAAATTATTGCTTTCCTGCAATATGCCACAATATATTTAATTGCAAAATAAATCAAATCAAATCAAAACTTTAATGCAATTCAATATTCAAACCACTTTAAAATCTGCAAATAAAATGAATGCATTATATATATATATATTAAAATGACTAGGTATTGTAATGTGGCTGTGTACTATTAAGGCTGGTTGCTAAAGAACCTGTACTGATACAATATAACGGACCACAGTATACACGCAAGGCATGTTACACCCACTTGTGATAGGCTTTTACTTACCCTGCTTTGCTGGGGTTAGTCTGCTCCGGGATGGTGCACTGGTAATCTGCAAAATGTTTGACTATATAGTCTGAAGGTTTGTTCCCCTCCCACCAGCTTCCCAAACAAGGAGCACAGACAGACTTCATCTCCATCTCTCACTCTAACACATCCATATAGGGACCTCAAGACAAAAAACTCTATTCTGGGTGGATAAGGGCTCTGGGTCTCTTCCACTGCATTCCATTATAGTAGTCAAGAAAACAGGAGGAGATTTCGGCTGTGGAATATAAACAAAAATTTAGCACAGCTGCTAAAATACACTGACATACTATGCTTCTTACAGGCAGACCTTGGCACAGAATAAACATTCTCCCAAACTGGGCAGATGATTCGTATAGGACGAAAAAAAGGTATGCTATGCATTGGTAAACTATGGGTTAAAGTACACATTTCTTCTCCAAAAAGGGAGTGACAAATATATGCCAGGAATGAAGCTGCTGGTCTTGCCCCATGGTGGTAAGATGGCTGCGCGTAAAATGAACAGGGATAGGTGGTGTGGGGCCTGGGCAAACACTGATTGCAAGGTCTGTCTATTGCTATAATAAGCTATATTAGATATCAATTATACCACATATCCTAAACACCAATTTAGATCCCAGATTTCTTATTGATGAACAGTTTTAAAGAGTGTTTAATGTTACGGAAATATTGGAAGAGGCTTTACATAAAATTTTCAATAGTCAAATAGAACAAAATTATAAACGCAACACTTTTGTTTTTGCCCCCATTTTTCATAAGCTGAACTTAAGATCTAAGAATTTTTCTATGTATACAAAAGGCCTATTTCTCTCAAATATTGTTCACAAAAAATAAATCTGTGTTAGTGAGCACTTCTCTTTTGCAGAGATAATCCATCCACCTCACAGTTGTGGCATATCAAGATGCTGATTAGATAGCATGATTATTGCAAAGGTGTGCAATAAAAGGCATTGGGCTGGCCACAATAAAAGGCCACTCTAAAATGTGCAGTTTGCACAATGCCACAGATGTCTTAAGTTTTGAGGGAGTGTGCAATTGGCATGCTGACTGCAGGAATGTCCACCAGAGCTGTTGCCTGTGAATTGAATGTTCATTTCTCTACCATAAGCCGTCTCCAAAGGAGTTTCAGAGAATTTCGCAGTACATCCAACCGGCCTCACAACTGCAGACCACATGTAACCACACCAGCCCAGGACCTCCACATCCAGCATCTTCAAGTCCAAGATTGTCTGAGACCAGCCACCCGGACAGCTGCTGAAACAATCGGTTTGCATAACCAAAGAATTTCTGCACAAATTGTCAGAAGCCATTTCAGGGAAGATTATCTGCATGCTACTTGTACTCATCGGGGTCTCGACATGACTGCAGTTTGTTGTCATAACAGACTTGTTGGAAAAATGCTCACATGCGATGGCGTCTGTCTCTTTGGAGAGGTGTTCTCTTCACAGATGAATCCTGTTTTTCACTACAGGGCAGATGGCATACAGCGTGTATGGCGTCTTGTGGGTGAGCGGTTTGCTGATGTCAACGTTGTGGATCAAATGGCCCGTGGTGGCAGTGGGGTTATGGTATGGGCAGGTGTGTGTTATGGACAACGAACACAGGTGTATTTTTTTGATGGCATTTTGAATGCACAGAGATACCGTGACGAGATCATGAGGCCCATTGTTGTGCCATTCATCCATGACAATCACCCCATGTTGCAAGGATCTGTACACAATTCATGGAAGCTGAAAACATTCCAGTTCTTGCATGGCCAGCATACTCACCGGACATGTTACCCATTGAGCATGTTTGGGATACACTGGATCGGCATATACGATAGCGTGTTCCACAATCAACAACCTGATCAACTCTATGCAAGAAGATGTGTTGCACTGCGTGAGATCCTGACTGGTTTTTGGGACTCTCCCAATGCAGTAAAGCTGCACATTTTAGAGTGGCCTTTTATTGTGGCCTGCCTAGGGCACACCTGTGCAATAATCATGCTTTCTAATCAGCATCTTGATATGCCACACCTGTGAGGTGGATGGATTATCTCCGCAAAGTAGAAGTGCTCAATAACACAGATTTAGACAGATTTGTGAACAATATTTGAGAGAAATAGACCTTTTGTGTACATAGAAAAAGTCTTAGATCTTTAGTCGAGCTCATGAAAAATGGGGGCAAAAACAAGTGTTGCGTTTGTAATTTTGTTCAGTGTATATGGGGTATCATTGTAAAGCAGCAGCATACAAATATGGTGTGTTTATAGTAGTAGGATAAATATGGTCTGTGAATTTCCCCCAAAATAAAACACGTGGAAAACCACTAAAAAAATTATTATATTTTGTCTGAGGTTCATAGTAAAGTGATTAAATGAAAAGTGTCAAAATGCTCCTGGTTAAATATCATGGGTGTCTACTTTTTATAAAGTAATTAAAAGCTTACATACCTCATAATTACTCTTGTTTGCTGAAAATGAGTAGCTTCTGCATTTTCAGTTCTTGTTTGCTGAAAATTTCTGATCTCCCATGGGAGAGCATGACTGTTGTCCCATGACAAAACTTTCCACACCATTGCCAAATAATCACAGGAGATCCAAAGTTCCGTCCATATATGCGTTCCTCAGCCCGACATGGTGCTCAAATATTTGAGCAACCTAAAAGCCAAGCATATCGGGGACCAGGACCTATAAGAAAACAAATTGATTATAACCGGTAATGACGAACATATAACTGGAATCTCCCAGATCCCCACATACCTAACAGAATAACCAAAGCCACAGAAAGACCCAATAAACTAGCCTGTGTCACAGCTCCGATGTGAAACTATTGAGACAAATAATCCAACGGATCACTACCACCTGCCACTAATGTTCCATGCAATACTTTTAAAACTGATAACGCGAAGGGCGGAGCCAAACAGGCAAGCAGCCAAGATGTGCTCAGCAAGAGCTCCCACGTCTGGGGACAAAAAACGGGGGGTACCCGAACTTCGACACCCACTGACCGCAGACCACGATACCCGTAACCAGGAAAGACTACCGCATCGAATAGTGCCTCTTGCGCTCCTGCACAGCTGACCTGACATAACAAGTCTTGCGGCCTACATGAGACTGAGCCACGGAGAGACATCTGCTCTCCGGGCACATAAGTAATTACAGGGACCGTGGCGAAACACTTCCCTTCCCTCTACCCCCCCGGACTGGCGGGGGTCATCCCGGTCCACATATCGCAGCCCCACTCATCTGACTCTAACTACTGGTCAGCCCACACTGCGCACACGGTCGAGCCACAGAGACCAAGATGGCGGCTGCTGACCATACGGCCGAGACAGACGGGCGGTACAAAACACTTGAACAGCGACTGAACGACCTGTTCAACAGATTCTGGCAGAAGCTACTACGCAACACAGAACGAAACCTGCTGGTAAAGCAGAAGTACTCTGCTGGGGACAGACAACGGGAGTTCCCCGGATTAAAGCACTCAACAAGCGCTGACCACGAGGCAGGTCCCGCCATCATTACCACGCGTGCTCTGCCAGAGAGACCACAAGGCCCCTTGAAGGCGGACAAACCTGGCCGGCTAAGGAGACCGCCATATTCCCTGAGGGGGCGGAAAGCTCAACATGGAATGGCCCGGTACAAGCGACACATATTTCCCCAGTGAGGGGGAAGAATGAGGCGCCCAAAAGGCGAAAAGCACCAGGGCCACCTCCGGCCTAGCCTAAACCTTTTACATACTACAGGGACTGACCCGAAAACGCTCTACACCTATCTGCAATCACCCGCATGGAACTCCTGCATGCTGCATCCCTGGGAATTCTGGAAGCAGTTTCCATCGACCGAAGTGGCCTGAGGACTATCTCCTCGTTCAACACCAACCTTGCCACTTACAGGGATCGGATGAACGGAGAAAAGGGCCCCAGAATGTGAAAGGCTTGATCACACGCTGACAGACACCATTTGCCTGATGCAACACTACCCGAGCGACCGGAGATATACGCTTAATGCTTAATTTTAGTGTTTATTTTTTACGTTTTCCTAACTATACTCTTAAAGCATGTATAATATGGGGGGAGCATAAGGGGCTGAATTCGGTGGTTCAACTTGTTAACCTAGATATGTTTACGTTTAAGTCTGTACTAGTTATGATTATTAGCTATAGTAAGCGAGAGTCATGAGTCTGACAAATGAGGTAGGATACCAGGAATATTAGCCAATCTGTCTAGTCACTTTTCTCTGTTGACAAGCTAACCTAACTCTTAGACATGCATAATCAGCCTACAGGTTATTTTCCTTTATTTATCCGCTCTATTGCTCTTAAGCGTAAAAGCAGTATAGAAATAACCATAGCCCTAAAACCCAGTGGTTACCTCACTCTGCATGTATATCTCACACCTAAACAATGGGTACTCCTGTTAGTCATCATGTATCTATGTATAACCTCTCACATACAGGTTAGATTGGAATCCTGTGTTATGCCTGTTCGTATCTTGATATGTAAATCTGCGGACTACTCTACTTAACATATTTACCTACCTAGCCTGTGACCTATTACCTTTACTAAATACAAAATTGTGCAAGTACTACCGCATACCTCAATGTTACTAATGTCTGAAAAAAGCATGAGGATTGCCGTTGGGGTACCCCATGCACGTTTGTTACGTTCATATGCACTGCAAAAATAAAATAAAAAAATTAAAAAAACAAAACAAAAAAACTGATAACGCACCAAAGGACACCCCACCTCCACTCCCCTCACTTCCAGGAACATGAAAAACAGCTGAACTGGACGAAATTCCACACCCTATCCTAACCCAAGAACCTTTACCTAATTGATACATCTTGGCTCTACCAATTAATATATCCACAGACTTTTCAGACCACTTAACATCTGATAACAGTAGTGGAGACAGCAACCGAATATTTCGTGCCACTAGCTCACAGAACTTCAAAGCACCAAAAAGAGAATGCCACTCTAAATAATAAGACTTCATAATCAGAGTGAGACTTCTGGCAAGACCATCAATAACAACCACGGCGGCGGGACTTTTTGTGTTTTCTCACCATACTGTCCTCTGGGGGGGTAGTATAAAATAGTCTTGGTTTGTGTCTGATGACCGTGGCAATTTCAGGGTTTTTTTCATGCAGCTATAACGGAGCTCCACATTAATATGTCTGGTGCTGCACACTGTTGGCCACGCCCCCTAGCTATAGCCAATTTGATTACACTGCACGTAACACAAGAAGCCACAGACAATGAATCTGAAACGAGATCCTGTAAGGATGGCAGGCAAGTATTTCCTTTCTGCTTTTCCACTGGTGCTGACTCCCAAAAGTGTTCCCACTGAAACCGAGCGAGTCAGCCACAACATTCACCACACCCAGCATATAACAAGCCTTTACTCAAACATTGAACTGCAAATTCAACAAAACTAAATGCCTAAGTATGTTCAAAACTGTAGGGCAAGTGAAAGTAGACCGTTTAATCACATGGACAACACACATTGTCTGTGTAAAAAACCAATGTCCTATCCCCAAGCTCCTCACCCCATAACTCCAAAAACACTACAATTTCAAAAAGTTACAAGAAAGTAAGAGAAGATCCACTAGCCAAAGGAGGACTACTAACTTATCAGGCAAACGAAAAACCATACATAACAAATCAATTTCAATGCCAAGAAAAAAAGAACCCTTCTGTAGGTCCCAATATGTTCTGCTCCGCAAGCAGCACCCAGAAATCCAACGCCACCATTTCAAACCTGTGCAATAACTCCGAACACACACGGGAACCTTCAGATCCAACAAACAAAAAAAATCAAGGTAGTACGTTAACTTATCTACACCTGAAACCTACACTACCGCCCACTCTAAAAACAAGGAGAACATCTCAAAACAAAAGCAAGATATGGCACATCCAACGAGAAGGAGCATGTCATAATAGAAAATAGACCAGGAAAGGACAGCCTTAGAGGTGAAAACAGTCTGGAAGCACTGGTAACAACCGAAAAGCAGCCTCTTGCCAACAACACCTCACACCAGCTTCCCATACCAGTCCCAATGACCAAGCAAAGGATGCATCTCTCACCTGACCGACTTCCTTATCTATGCCATCATTCACTGAACCACCCGCTGGGTAGGACAAGTCATGAATCAATCTAAAGGATCATTCCTCCTTTTTTGGGAATAACCCTTAAGGTGAAACCCGTAAATTCAAAAAAGGAGGAAAATCAAAAGACCCTGCCAATCTACCTAGTCTGAAAAAAGTGATTGATTCTTCCACATATACACAAAGAATCCAAAACCCTTTTCCTGTACCCAAGCATCTCGCTACTTAGTATTCTGGTCACGGGACAGGCACATCATTCATCGACATCCTTGCTTTTACAAACGTATTCTTTTGCACCTTATTTTCTCAAAAGTAGGTTTGCTTTCCTAAACCAAAGCAACACACCAACATTAAGAAACCATATTCAGATTGATCATTTTCAGTTTTCATTCACAACTTTAGATGCCTGACGTCACTCCATAAATATATTTAAAAAGATTGATTTACCCCTTTCTCCAATGGATGGTCCTTTCTTGTCACTGCTCCGCTCTACCCCAAGTCACCTTTTCTCTTTGCTGAAATTGGTGCATGTGCAGCAATTGCCACAAATGCACAATCAGATGTTACAATTGCCCAAAAGAATGCTTCTCATAGGAAACTCTAATTTCCGCTTGAATAATTTATTCAGCCCCCTGTCATACCCTCCTTCCCTTACTCTGCCTCCTGTCACCCCCTCACTCTGCCCCCTGTCGCCCCTCACTCTGGCCCCATCACCCCCTCCTTCCCTCACTCAGCTGTCACCCTTCACTTTGCCCTCCTTCTCTCACTCGGCCACCTATCACCCCCTCCCTCCCACACTCTGCTACCTCTCACCCTCTCCACACTCTGCCACCTTCACACTCTGTCATCCCCCTCCACACACATACACGGTCACCCCCCCCACACACAGTCACCACTCGCCACACTGTCACCACACTCCCTCACACAGTGTCGCCCCCTTAACCCTGCCACACTCACTTTAACCCATCCTGATACTGTCACTCTCACCCCCTTCAACCAAACCGCACTCAACTCCCCTCATTCTTCCACACTCACCCTATCACATTACCCACTAATCCTGTTAAACTCACCTTTTCTCTCACTGTCACGCTCACCATTCATTTTCCTGTCATATTCCTGTCACACTCCTTCCTCCAACTCTGCCACACTCACCCTGTCAATTAATTCACCTTAAACATGTTACATTCACCTCCCCTTGCCCTATCACACTCACTCCTCCAACAATGCCACATTCACCCCAACCATGTGATACACACCTCCCCAACCATGCTACATTCACCCTGTCACATTAACAATTAAACCTGTCACGCTTACCTCCCCTCACCCTGTAACACTCCATCCTTCAACCATGTCACACTTGTCCTCCCTCATTCTGTCACAGTCACCCCTTTACGCACCCTGTCACAGTCACCCCTGAAGACAATCATCATACACACAAAGTCATAAAACATAGCTTGGCCATAAACAAAGTGCACAAAGGCCGCAGGTAGACTCCCATATACACAAAACATAGCACATACACACAAAACACTCACTGTCAGACACTCTTAGGCGCAAACACAGGTAGACAATGCCAGACACACTGAAATACACACAGCCAGATAAATACACATTGTGACTATATGTCTTTATTAGTCAATATTTGTGTTTGTGTGTGTGTGTGTGTATGTATTAGTGCTCCTTGCATGTCCTGCCCTCATTAGGCTGGCCTGCTTGATTGACAGACAGCTTGCATGCATACACACCAGTCTAACCTGTCAATAATTTGGAAAGAGCCACCACAATTGTTGACGGGCCTTCCACTTTCAGCAGTGCTGAACACAATCTACACATACAAGGCACACATGCAGGTCATGCAGACAGACATATAGAGACATACATAAACAGGCATACAGTGACAATTACATACCTATTCAGCCGTGAGCATGCTGTGGAGTCCCAACCCAGCCCCATCACTAAGGTGCCGCCGCATCAGCTGGGCTATGTGTAGTACGCATGTAGCAGAGATATGATGTGTGCATATCCCCACACCCTCCACACAACCTCCAGTATGAGGCGGTGCCAGGAAGCAGTGCTGCAGCACAGCCACGCTACACAGTGATTGGAAGGAGGGGAGTGCTGGCCTTTGTGATATGCCCACAAAACTACCAGTTTTTATTTTGTCCTTTACCTTAAAAGACCATTAAAGTTACCTAGACCACTTAATCTCAATAAAGTGGTATGGGTGTAGTGGTCCTGTATGTTTTGCCTTGAACGGTAAACTTGCCTTTCGTGGCCATCTGGCTACTACTCCCACTGCACTGACATAGTAAAACTCTGTCACATAACATTGCAGCGCATAGGAAACCGTTGGATTCAATACTTTCATATGAGAAGCATTGGACACACACGTGTCACTCGCCATGCATGCACATCAGGTCCCCAATACACCTCTATGAGGAGCATTGGACTTTATCTTGACAGAGAAAGCCATGCCTCCCCCATGATGTTGCAGAAGGTGAAGAGGCCAGCAACGCTGAGGGCGTCCTGGCCCTGGAGAAAAGGTAAATGAAAACCAGCGGCTGAGCTGTCACTGGGGACACTTGTGGTGGACCCTTGGTGGCATTACTGGCAGTAAAATGTGTTGTGAAAGAGCCATACACCATGTAGTGGTTATGGTGTTTGAAGTCCGTTAAATTCAATCTGTCATTTAGAAGGCTAGCACCAAAACCACTTTAGCTCGTTGTAGTGGTTATGGTGCTAAGGGTCTATGGTCAGTGTTCCCTGGGTTATTAGACAAAAATAAAAATAGAAAAAAGGGCA